GAACTGGGTGGGGGGAGGGCATTTTTATTATTTAATTTTTTTTTATTTTAATATTATTATTTTTTTAATTTTTTTTTGTCCCCCCTCCCTGCTTGTTAACTGGTCAGGGAGGGGGGCTATCTTAATCCCTGGTGGTCCACTGGCATGGGCTGTGAAGTGGGGGGGCCGGCAGGAAGCATTTACTTACCTTTCCTGCAGCTCCTGTCAGCTCCCTTCTCCTCCGTTCCGGTCAGCTCCACTGTAAGTCTCGCGGTCTGGTTGCCGCGGGAACGTTGCCATGGCTCTGACGGCCGCGGCTCTCTAAATTGCCATAATACAGACAGTGACTCGAGTATAAGTCGAGTGGGGGTTTTTAAGCACAAAAAATGTGCTGAAAAACTAGACTTATACTCGAGTATATACTGTAGTTGCATAGCCTGAAAAGAGACAAGTGTCAATCAAGCTCAGTCTTCCTCACATTAGTTTTTTTTGCTGTTGATCCAAAAGAAGGCAAAAAATCACAGGTTAAAGCACTTCCAATTTTGCAAAAAACTAGGAAATAAATTCCCTCTTGACCCCAGAATGGCAGTCAGATTTATCTTTGGATCAAGAAGCTATTGCCCTACAGTTGTTAAATTATATAAATTAATATTATGTCTTATGGACAAGCTTAAAGTAATGCCTCAAATCTACGTTCAGGGATCTTAGACCATGAACAAATCTTTATATATTTATTTGAGAAAATGAAATTATACTTTATTCCAATATACATTATATACTGTCCTAATGTAATTGTAGAAACGAATATGCCAAGTTCTGTACCTAGAAATGGTTTAGATATAACTTGTATGCACCAACTTGGGTTTAGGTATAACTTGTCCTTGTCTATGCATGCCATGGTAATAGGTGTTGTGATAGCATATTTTCATTTATGCATGTATATTTTGTTTTAGAACTGCTGTGTTAGAGGATGGGTCACAAAACAGCTCAGGAGGCAGCATTGGAGACATGGCAATTAAGAAAAATAAAGGTCAGATATTTAACATCACATTTTCTTTTCCTATAATGATGTAAATATACAAAATATAAAGCTTTTAAGATCTTAACTGTCTAAAGTAAACATGTTGTAAGGCAGGGCTTGACCAATTACTAGTTTAATGTAGTGGTTCTGGTGTCGATAGCATGTCTTTGCAGGCTTTTCAATGTAAACGCTGCCTTTTCCAAAAAAGGGAAAAAAAAGGCAGTGCTTACATTGCTGCATAGTAACACTTATAGTGACCTTCACTTAGATGGCCATTAGAGGTGAATCCTAGTTCATGCTGCAGTGAAGTTCAGCGTCTCCATGCCCTGCATTGAGGCACTGAATGTTTCCCATAGAGATGCATTGATTTAATGCATCTCTGTGAGGAGAGGCTGATTATCACATGCACAATAGCCTCCCAAAGCTTTCCTATAGGAAAGCATTGGCTTGGTCAAGATCCTCAAGATTGTTTATCTCAGCTGTGGAGTTGGGGTCAGCCATAGCGAGACCGGCACAGCGTGGAAAAGTAGTGCGATCAGAAGGGGGCTGGGCACCTAAACAGACAGTCTTTCTGGCAGACACACACACTGACAAATTATAATAAAAAAAAATAATATTTCATATATTTCAATTTAAATCCACTCAGCGTGTCTGTCTTTGGGAGAGCTAGAGTGGTTCGGCTTTCTCTTGGGTCTAGTGAGGTTGCTATCATCCTGCAGATGGAAAATGGAGAGGCCAGATGCCTGTGGTAATGGAGGTGAAGAGGGAGCTATAATTTCCTACAGGCTCTTAAATCAGACCTGGCTCCTGGGAGTTTGTCGAGCAATGTTGTAATGCACAATACTTTGTCATATTTTGAATGCCCACCTTCCTGTAAACTATTGAATCACTAAATTAACATGTGGGGAGGGATAGCCATTGGAGAGTAAAAGTTTAGCCCTGACAAATAGAAATTCATCCCTGGTGAGTATGCTGTGACTATGGCTGACTAGAATGAGGTCACAGTATGCATAACACTCCATGATAGAATTAATATGAATGGAGAAAATACTTCAGACAAAGTAGGGGCCACTGTGGCTTTTGTAAAACATTCGTAATTGTTAAAAATTTTAACAAGCATATCCTTTTATAAACCTTTACATAACTGTCAGAATAATAGCATCATGGGCACCTTGCATGAGATGCTGCAGAAGATGCCACCATGAGCTAGGTCAGGGCTTGACAAATCCCAGGTCTTTTCATTGGTGAGATAATCAATCTTAATGAAGACCGTGTCTGGGTTTTTTCAGAACCTGGGAATCTTAAGAGCAGGTGGAAACTTATCATGGCTGGGCACTCATTTTAAGCTCTGCATACAGTTCATCTGTTAGTCTTTGGCCACTAAAAATGGCTCCAGTCAACAAATGGGAGAGCCAAGTATTGATTGATCTCTCTCTTCCCAATTTGAGCTTTTATTTAACCCTGCTGACACCAAAGCTGCAGGACATTTAATGGAGGGCTTGACAAATCAACACGTCGACTAGGAATTTTGTTCTGGCACCTGGGCATTTGTCAGCCTGTTCCCTCAGAGGCAGGGCACTAGTTGTGCGAAATGGAGGCTGGCAGCGAGCGGACCCCGGGGAAGCCACCCTGATGCGCCCAAAAAGTAGCAAACAGGATGGTGTCAAAAATAGGTGTTCATTCATATTTTTTCTGTGTGTGTATCTGTGACCATGTGTATGTCGGTGTATATGTGTATCTCTGTAAGTGTGTGTTTATCTGAATATATTAAATAATACAAAAATACTTTGTAAGTATGTAAGATAATGTGTCTCTGTCAATGTTTGCATCTGTATGTGTTTGTCCGGTTGTGTGTCAGTGAGTGTGTATGTAGGTGACCAGCACCCCTTCAAACGCATGGGAATGGTGTTTACGCGCCTTTTTTCCAACACCATGCTGGTCTTGCTGCTTCTGGCCATCAAGCTTGATGATCTCAGCCAAGGGAAAGCATTGGGAAGCTATAGAGTGTTCACAGTAAAATGCTACGCCAATCAGCATCAACACATAGAGATGCATTGAATCAATGCATCTGAATGGGGAACGTTCAGCGCCTTCTTGCAGCGGCACTTTAGTGGCCTTTTGAGTAACTGCCACTAGAGGTGTTACTAGGCAGCAATGTAAACAATGCATTTTATCTGAAAAGAAACAGGAGGTAGGTGCAACGTCTGAATAGTCCATCTTGGGATATGTGGAATGACAAGAAGAAAAACCAGAGGAAAAAAACAATAGTGTTTAAAAACTCTAGTGGGTATATATAAGATAAAGAATGTGCACTCACACAGAGCCTATGTTTAGGTGAAACGCGTTAAGTGTACTATTCATAATGTCTTGCCAATTTTTTATCTTGCTACTTTTTTTTTTAACATTAAAGTACTCTTTTATTGGACCTTTTGCTGCTGCTGCTGGATCCTTGGGCTACATCCTTGGTGGTGATAATACCCTTAAAGGAATAATAATTAAAATATTTTAATGTGTGTAAGTATATAGATGTTCAGGAATGTTTTTTTCTTTACCACAGTTAAGTTAATAAGCAACCTAAGCATCCAACACTGTAACAAGCACTGTGCAGAGACCAATAAAATTAGTTCTTCCTTTGTTCAAGTTTTGGGTTTACGGGAATTGTGCATTAAGTGTCTGTGGACTTGAATGCAGCTTTGTTTTGGTATATGTTGAATTGTCAATGATCTCTCTATAACCAGAGTTGTTTTCATGGTAATTTACTTAGTGTTTCCAAAATAAAGTGTTTGATTAAATTTCTGTTTTTGGGATTATGGTTCTTGGTACACCTATTAAACATTTTTCCTCCTTAATAAATAATAGTCATTCTGAAGAAGATAAAATACATGTCTTGAATGAATCTGACACTAAACTTTTAGTTTTTCTGCACAACGAAAAATTATACATTGCACACTGTTAAGAGGAGAGACTACAAATGTGTCATAGCTCGTCAAACCACTGTGCAATGGATGTGTAGGCTAGGAGCGTATTTTCAAATACATTTCTTTAACCAAAGAGGAGAGAAAGTTGAGGATGTAAGCTGACTGAGTTGAAGATTTCAGCCGTTACCTCCAGTCTGATCAGCTGTAAGGGGTACCAAGGTTAGTTGCAGACATACATATATGTGAGAATTACCCTGTTTGCTCTGCAAACTGTAAATAATTCTATTCTGTTTAACCCCTTAAAGACACATGACATGTGTGACATGTCACAATTCCCTTTTATTCCAGAAGTTTGATCCTTAAGGGGTTAAAAACCCAAAAGGTTGCAACGGAAGTCCTTTTATATTTAAAATATATTTTCTTTATTGTCCCCTTTAAAACACTGAGCTGTTGTGGATATCTGACTCCTTTTGTGTGAGATCATATATCCTGTCTTGGTGCATTGTTTAGCATAGAACTTGCTTTACACATCCATTTCTCAATGCCATATAGGGATTGTTATAAAAGCCACTCATCAGGAAGCATTTTTATTTACAGAATGAGCAAAGTCATGCATTGTGTGCTTTGCTAAAATGGGTTGCATATCAGCAAAGGGCAGGAAATCAGACTTTCTGTAAATTGTGTCAATACTTCCACCCAGTGGCCTAAAATGAATAGTGTTCTATTTGTACTTGATTAGGAAATCTTTACTTGTTCTGTATATAGTACAGTATAATGAGAATTCTTCTTCCCCAAAAAGCTGCTGTGATTGGCTGAGACACAGTGCCATTGCCGGTATGAATTGGTATGACTAAGTGTATATTTTTTGCCATAGCCATACTTCCAGTAGAGGCCTGGCTGTGCGAGGCAAGGCACCCTTATTTAGTGTTCAACTGTTCAAAAATACCTTAACACTGGGATGGATGGACAGTGCCAGAGGACGTTGAGCACTATAACCTGTTCAATGAGATGAAATTGTTACAGTGACTACAGTGTCTCTCCAAAGACAAATTACCTGTCCAGTGTTGCTTTATCGTACATTTCAATCTTCATTTGTTATTTCCTGCTGAATGTAGTAGTATATCTATAACAAGTTTTCTTGAGGTATGCCACCTCTGCTATAATCACTATTGTGCATCTCTAAATAGCACTTGCATGCAGTTGATTTGCACAGAATTGTGAGTTCATTTTATTTATACAAGAATTTCAATTTTGTGTGTGAACCCTATGTGCACTTTGTACATCACTATGGGACTTAAAGGAACACTGTAAAGTCGTGTATCTGATTGAAAAATTGAGGCAAATATAGCTGACTCGTCATTTGGATTCCTTTTGCAAAAACTCAGTTTTGTGAATTACCCTGAGCTTCTCACCCTTAGTCCTCCTGTAAGACCTTTATCATAGTGTGTGTGTGTGTGTGTGTGTGTGTGGTATGTGCTAGCTGTATATAGTGTGTATTGGCTTATATGTGTGTGTGTGTGTGTGTGTGTGTGTATATGTGTATATATATAATTTAAATAGAGAAATATTCCAGTGAGTCTTCATGAGGCGGTAAGACAATACATGTTACTGTACTGCTTATTTAGATTTCTGCACATACAGCTGGGGGACTTTGATCCCATGCCTTCCCTCTGTACTCAGAACATGTCAGCTTTGTGTATCTTGCACAACACACAGCTAAAATGTCTCTCTTCCCCGTAGCTGTGGCAGCCCATGCATTCAGTGAGTCAGTGCGCACTGGAAATCACGGTGTGCACGCTGATTACGTAGAAAGCACTGGCACTAGTTCTCCAAGGTAGCTCTACCACCCTAACATCGGGTGATATATATTTCACATCCCTATAAAGCGTTGTCTTGTATTCATTATTTGTATGTATTTATTAAAGGAACACTATAGGTACCCAGACCTCTTTCTCTCAATTATGTGGTTTGGCTGACCTGACCCCCTGTTTCAACCTTGCATCTGAAAACATTGCTTTTCCTCTCGTATAGTGGCAGTACTCACAAGTGGGATGATCCTTCTAGTTTTGGACAAGAAGCTCCCCCTTCTTTGAAGAAAATTGCTGTGCTCCGCCTGCTGCCTCTATATAATCTGTAAGCCAGAGGAGAAATCCAGTTCTTCTTGTCCTGGCAACTGGACGGACAAGTTCCTTACAGGTCCAGGTAGATAATGGTGCGGTCAGCACAGGCTGCTGACCGGGGAGGTGCGTGTCCGATAGCTCCCCGGGTGGGAGCTGAGCAGCAATAGCACTTGCGGATTTGCGTTACGGAACGCGACCGATAGCTCGTTATTTGTGGTATCTCTGGAAGTTTCCCGGGCGGACCTCCCACCATGGGGCAATGCGCATGCACACAGCGGTTGAACGCACACCCGGGAGGTGTTGCGTTCCACCGAGCACCGAATCGCGCCAAGCAGACTGATATGTTATCCTTCATGTGCTGGTTTCTGGAAAATTTGTCACAGACGTTTGAATCTTTTAAAGATGCTGCAAAGAAAGAACCGGCTATTCAGGAGAAGCAGACTAAGAAACGTAGGAGAAATAGATCTCCTTCTCTGTCTGATATCTCTTCAGGAGAATGCTTTCTCATCACCTTCTGATATTTCCAGCCTAGCTTCAAGTGTGGAAGAGGGTTTTCCACCAGAAGAGCTTAAAAAAATGTTATAAAGGAGTGGCGACAGCTGTAAGTGAACCAGAACCAGAACCTACCAAGGGTAAGGTTAAAGGTTTCCCGATGCCTCCTAAGATTATGGATCTCCTTCATAGAGAATGGAAGAATCCTGAAAAACGTGCATTTATTTCTAAACATTTTAAACTTCTGTTCATACTACAGTCTGAAGAGAAATGGGAGGATCTTCCCAAGGTAGACATTCAGATAGCCCAGCTGTCAAAGAAGACCACTATTCCCATTGGCGAGGTCTCTGGACTGAAAGACCCAATGGACAAACGAGCCGAAACTTCATGTAGAAGAATCTTCCAGGCCGCAGGCTACCAGTGCAGAGCCGAAATAGCAGGTTCAGCGGTTCTCAGGGCACAGAGTGTTTGGCTCCAAGCCCTTGAAGAGTCTCTTATGGGGAAGTCTGATACCGACCCTGTCCAGCTTATGTTCCTCCTGAAATTATCTAACACATTTCTTTCAGATGCCTCTGATGAGATTCTTCATTTATTCGACAGAATTATGGGTTTGTCGTCAGTGGCCAGAAGAGCACTGTGGCTACGAACATGGACAGCTGATTCAGTTTCTAAGGCAGCCTTGTGTGAATTACCTTTTGAGAGGAACAAGCTTTTTGGCACTCCTTTGGAAGACATTATTAGACAAATGTCTGAAACAAAGAAGGCTCTACATCTGGAATCAAGACCCCAAAAATATAAAAGATATCAGTTCAAGGGTCAGCGTTCCTTTCGTTACCAGGGGAGTTTTCGCAGATTTAAAAAACAAGGTGAAACCAGCAGGCAGTGGTCTAGACAGGATTTCAACAGGCAAGAGAAAAAGAGAACATTTTGACACCAAAAGAGTAGGAGGACGCTTTCGGTTCTTCGCCCACAAATGGGAAAAGATTACATCAAACGGGTGGATTCTAAGAACAATTTCAGAAGGTTACAGAATCAAGTTTTCCGCGATACCACAACCATCCTTCCTACTGTCAAGCTATCCATCAAGAAAGAAATCGGAGGCACTCCTAGCAGAAGCTCTTATCCTTTTAAGGAAAGATGTAGTAGAGAAGGTACCCAAACAATGGGAATTTCAGGGAGTGTACTCTCTCCTGTCCCTGGTTCAAAAACCAGACGGATCCTTTCGGCCTATCCTAGACTTAAAAAAGGTCAACACCTGCATACCGTATCAAAGGTTTTGTATGGAGAATATTCTGTCTGTCACACACATCTTGCAAAAAGGGGAAATCATGGCAAAGCTAGACCTAAAAGATGCTTACCTCCATATTCCGGTATCAGTGTCTTCCCGGAAGTTCCTCAGATTTGCAGTCTTGACAGGAAGGCGAAGAATTCTCCATTTTCAGTTCAAGGCTCTACCCTTTGGCCTGTCATCGGCTCCTCAGTATTTACAAAAATCCTGGCACCCATAGCAGCAGCTTTACGACTGAAAGATATCTCGATAGTTCCATACCTGGACGATTGGTTCTTGAAAGCCGAATCAGAACAGCTTCTAAGATATCATCTCGGGATCGCTATAAAGATTTTGAAAGAACAAGGTTGGCTCCTAAAACTAAAAAAATCCAAGTAGATTCATTCACTAAGTCTGGAATTCCTGGGACTTCGGGTGGAATCAAAGTCCCTGTCCCTTTTTCTTCCAATAGAGAAACAAAGAAGGATTTTCCTTCAGGGATGCAATGAGTTTACTGGGCCACCTCACTTCTGCAATACCAGCAGTGGCTTGGGCAAAGGCAGAATTAAATACTTTACAATTGAACATTCTTTTGCAATGGTAAAGACGACAGGAGGATCTAGACTCTGTCTTTCACCTATCCGAAGTGGTGAAGAAACAACTGAACTGGTGTAAAGAAAGAAACATTTCAAAAGGCCTCTCGTTTGCACAAAAACAGTGGATTACGATAACCACAGATGCTTCCCAGACTGGTTGGGGTGCTCATCTAGGATCTCAATTCCATCAAGGTCTTTGGAACAGGGAAGAGGAAAACACTTCCTAAAACTTCAGGGAGTTGAAAGCTGTATGGAAGGCACTAGAATCCTTCAGTTCAGTCATCACCAATCAGGCAGTAAGGGTTCAGTCGGACAACGCCACTACACTGGCTTATTTAAATCGCCAAGGAGGCACAAGGGTGAAAGCTCTCCAAGACTTCTGATATCGCATCATGTCTTGGGCCCAATCGAGACTTCTCGCGATCTTGGCTACCCATATCAGAGGGTCTCTAAACGTTATTGCAGACGACCTCAGCAGGAGTCATTGGTCTCAGGCAGACTGGTCACTATCAAACCAAGTTTTCTTAGAGCTGCTTACCCATATAGACCTTATGGCCACAAGGAGAAACAGAAAAGTTCAGATTTTTGCTTCTCTCCAAGCACGAGATTGCCCAGATGTTTTAGTCGGTCTATCAATCACTTGGAACTTCAACATGCCTTATGTTTTCCCTCCAGTATCTTATTCCACGAATTGTGCAGAAGATAAGATGGGAGAAGGCAAGAATTCTAGCCATCCTGCTCATCTGGCCAAACAGGAGTTGGTTTTCAGAAGTGGAAAACATGACAATCTCACGTTGGTCTCTCCCAATTGCTACCAACGTGATAGAGCGGGTAACTCTTCCCGTAGAAACCCTAGAAATGTTCCACCTGACTGCATGGCTGCTGCAAGGTTGATCCTCCAAGGACATGGTCTTTCAGACCGCTTATGTGACGTTCTGATGTCTTCAGTCCGCTTGTCCACGACAAGAATTTATTTTTTAGGGTTTGGAGAAAGTTCAGATCCCGATGTTTCGTTCGAGGTTCGGATCCTGCCAGCGCATCAGTACCGGAAATTCTTTCCTTTTTTGCAGGATGGGTTTGAAGCCGTCCTAGGGGTCTCTACTCTTAAGGGCCAGATTTTGTAAAATCCATACGGCTGAAGAGGCCTCCCAAGTTAGTTCCTTTCCCTACCTGGGATTTGTCCTTGGTGCTTCAAGCCCTTTGTGAACCACCGTTTGAACCATTACTAGAGGTTCCCATTAAACTGCTTACCTTCAAGACAGCATTCCTGGTGGCTGTCACCTCAGCTAGGAGGATAGGTTAAATCTAGGCTCTATCTTCCTCTCCTGAGTTCACCATTTTTCATCAAGAAAAAGTTGTCCTGCACCCTACGCCTTCTTTTTTGCCCAAGATTATTTCAAGTATTTCTATGAACCAACCTATTATTCTGCCTTTTTGCCAGTCTCCTTCATCAGATCTTGAAAGAAAGTGGCATCTCCTTGATGTTAGAAGAGCACTTCAAAAAAACTCTGGGGTTTAGGACCTCGGATCATCTCTTTGTCTCCTTTCAAGGCACTAACAGGGGATGTGCTGCCTCCAGACCCTTTTTATCCAGATGGCTGACCAATACCATCAGGTTGGCTTATCAAGCCAGAGGGATTCCACTTAGATTTCCATTAAAGGCTCATTCCACTAGGGCTATGGTAACCTCTTGGGCTGAAAGAGCAGCTGCCTCTCCTGAAGACATCTGCAAAGCAGCTACTTGGTCATCATTACATACCGTTATTAAACATTGTAGGCTGGACATATTCTCATCCTCTGAAGCTCCTTTTGGGCGTAAGGTGCTACAGGCATACCCCTCTGAGTCCCCACCCTTTTGTTTTATTTGCAGGGCTCCTGCTATATCCCACTTGTGAGAAGGGATCGACTGATATTGATTTTTTTTAGAGCCGATACCGATATTCTGTGAACTTTCAGGCCGATAGCCGATATAATTTGCTGATATTCTTTACATTTACCATTTTGGAAAATAAAAACAATTTCTAAAGGTAAATGCACAAAATATACATGCTACGTGTAGTGGATGCAGTGTGACAGGGGAGCTGTGTGTGTTTGTGTAGGGTGTGTAGTGGATGCAGTGTGTGTTTGTGTAGTGTGTGTGTGTGTGTATTGTGTGTTGTGGATGCAGTGTGTGTTTGTGTAGTGTGTGTGTGTGTGTGTGTGTTGTGGAGGATACAATGTGTGTTTGTGTAGTAGATGCAGTGTGTATTTGTCTAGTGTGTGTAGTGGATGCAGTGTGTATTAGTGTAGTGTGTGGGTAGTGTGCGTAAAGTGAATGCTGTATATACTAAATGTAAAGTGTGTGTGTGTGTGTGTGTGTGTGTGTGTGTATAATGAATGCAGAGTGTGTATAGTGAATGTAGTGTGTTTATATAATGCAGAGTGTGTGTGTTTGTATAGTGTGTGTATATAATGCAGTGTGTTTGTGTAGTGCGCATTATATAAACACACCACACAAACACACTGCATTATATACACACACTATGCAAACACACTGCATTATATACATACACTGCAGCATATAAACACACTGCATTATATACACACACTACACAAACACACACTGCATTATATACACACACTACACAAACACACACTGCATTATATAAACACACTACACAAACACACTGCATTATATACACAGTGTGTTTGTGCAGTGTGTGTGTATTTGTATAGTGTGTGTATATAATGCAGTGTGTTTGTATAGTGTGTGTATATAATGCAGTGTGTGTGTTTGTATAGTGTGTGTATATACACAGTGTGTTTGTGTAGTGTATGTGTATATAATGTAGTGTGTGAGGGGGCATTTTTTTTTTATATATATATTGAATTATTTATTTTTGTTGTCCCCCCCTCCCTGCTTGTTACCTGGCCAGGGAGGGGGGATATAGCAATCCCTGGTGGTCCAGAGGTATTGGGGGGGTCAGGCAGCCAGCAAGCGCTTACTCACCTCCCAGCAGCTCCCCTGTGCAACTTTCGCGGCCAGCGTGTCAACGCTCTGACGGCTGCGGGTCTCGCGAGAGTTGCACTGGGGAGCTGCTGGGAGGTGAGTAAGCACTTGCTTCTTTCCCCCCAATCTGAATTGGCCGATACCGATATTGCCGAAAATACCGAATATCGGGAGATTATTTCGGTAAAAACGATAATCGGTCGATCCCTACTTGTGAGTACTGCCACTATACGAGAGGAAAAACAGTCATTTTACTTACCGTAAATTCCTTTTTTTTTTTTTTTTTTTATATAGTGGCATTACTGGCTTTCCCTCCACTTTTATATGGATTAAATAACTTTTGTTAGTATTCAGTCTCCGTTTTTATTTTTAATTACTGGAGTTCTCCTCTGGCATACGGATTATATAGAGGCAGCACAACAATTATCTTCAAAGAAGGGGGAGCTTCTTTTCCAAAACTAGAAGGAACATCTTACTTGTGAGTACTGCCACTATACTAAGAAAAAAGTCATTTACGGTAAGTAAAATTACTGTTTTTCGGCAGGACCAGCAATGTTTTCATACTGACAGCCACTACAGGCGCTTCTGCCGAAATAGTGGAGTTAAATTGTCAGAGATACCATCTGATTTGCTGTGTATGCACACTAGCCTCCCAATTCTTCAATATGGAGGAGCATTTGATTGGCTTGATGGTTTCTGGCAAAGTGGAACATCATAGACCAGCGCTTCGAGGGAGAAAACAATCTTTAGGTAGGTGGTTCTTGTTAAAGTAACATCCCCATGAACACCAGTACCCAGGCTTTTGCAGTAGAGCATTGCTCAGAGCATAACACTACTTCCGCCGGCCTGCCTTCTTCCCATAGTGCATCCTAATTCCACCACTTCTTCAGTTAACGACACACATGACTTCACCTGATCTTCAAGAAAACGTGATTCATCATACCAGGCAGCTTTCTTCCTTTAATCCATGGCTCAGTTTTCATGCTCATTGAAGGCCCTTTTGGCAGTTGCAGGGGGTCATGATGGGCACTTTGCAGCTACGCAAATCCGTTAAAGCTGCCGTGTGTGTCCTTTCTCGCATGGCTTGCATTAAGTTTTTCAGCAATTTAAGCTACAGTAGCTCTTTTGCTGAGTGACTGTAGCATCCCTTTAAGTTGGTTAGAGCCCCTAAACCAACATTTAAATCCTATCAAACAACTTGTAACCAGCCACATACACCCATTAACCCTGCACATATGCACCCACATGCCGCACATATGCAAATACATACAGTATAGTACTATAATAGCGTAGATGTGACGCACGCCCCTTTGCCTGGACACTTGCCACTGGCTCCTGAAACGAAAATGCTTTTTTATGGGGAACTGAGCGACGCTGGAGGTCCTTACACAGCGTGAGGACGTCCAGCAACGCTCTAGCACAGAAAACCTGTGCTATAGACCAGGAAGTGCCCTCTAGTGGCTGTCTAGTAGACCGTCACTAGAGGTGGAGTTAACCCTGCAAGGTAATTATTGCAGATTATAAAAAAAAAAAAACTACAATAATTACACAGTCAGGGTTAAGGGTAGTGGGAGTTGGCACCCAGACCACTCCAATGGGCAGAAGTGGTCTGGGTGCCTGGAGTGTCCCTTTAATGTAACGGATTCCCTATACTCCGACTGAGTATATCCGTTAGTAGTCTCCCGAATCCCAAGTGCTGCAGTGATTATAGCTCTCCTGTTTCCAGCAGAGTAGTGATTAGAGCTCTCTAATCCCCCAAACATGAGTCTAGACTTCATGAAGGGGTAATCCAGTGGCCTCCTTTTATACACAATGCACAGCAATAATTACATTATGTAGAACACACCCACAATACAGTCTCCCTTCAGGTTCATACGTAAGCTCCTCCCTTTAATTCCTGCAGCTGAGAGATAATTGTAGATTATGCTAACGTAGTGTACCTATAATCTTAATTTTAATAATGACAGGAGGCGAGTATTTTGCATAACTTTCTTTACTTTATGCCTCCAGCAGCACAAGTCAATCAATAAACTTTAAACCAATCAGTAACAGGCATCACATTCATATATAAAGCCCTGACAGTCACATGACTTCCTCTTTCTTTGATGCGAAAAACAGTCTATTATAACGTCAGGGAATTCAAATAACAGTCCTGAGTAACGTGTAGAACATAACTTGAAACCTTCCAGCTTTATCTTGTCGAATCCATCTATGATGATTACGCTGAAAAGAACAGAAATACGTGAAAGGTGATGGAAACCAACTGTTGTCCACATTAAATCCAGTACTATATGTGTCTATATTTATATTAAGTTAATATACTGAAACATTAAACAAACCATAGTATACTTAATAATCAACACGGATCTAACACATATCAACCAAATAAGCATCCCATAAATATACTGAATTACCAAACCTTATAATTTACACTGAGAAAATGACAAACCAAAATATAAAAAATTTCCAGAGTATAGGGAGGGAAACAGGGAGGGAAAATACTCGCCTCCTGTCATTATTAAAATTAAGATTATAGGTACACTACGTTAGCATAATCTACAATTTTATCACATGACAGGAGGCTTCATATTTTGCATTTTTAAAGCTGTGGTATGAGCGAGAAGGATGCGTGTGTGGTTGACGAAAATAAATATACGGAAGTAGTCTATCCGTGTCCAATTCGTCGCTGAAAATATAGAGGCCCCCTCGTGAAGGCCTGAGAAGCAGCCGCGCCTCTTACCGAATGAGTACCCAAACACGTCTCCACCCTCGCTAGCGATAACAACCAATGAACCCATCTAGACAGAGTGTTCATGGTAACTGGCTTGTACGGTTGGTATAAGACCAGCAGATGTCCTGAATGTGACATTCTAAGTGTTGTCGTGATCTCCATGTAACAAAGTACCCCTTTAACTGCACAAAGGCTGGGAAACCGTCGGTAACAGGGAACGATACGGACACGGATAAGATATAGTTCTACGAGACACTGTAGAAATTATTCTTTCCGGTGATACCGAAAAGACCGTCTACGTTGAACTCCAGTACATCTGATACCCGACGAAAAGACCTAAAAGTAACGTGACTCTGGCTAATGGCTGACTGAGGGATAGGACTGTGATATCTGACTAGCTCCAAAAGAACCAAATCAAAGTCCCACACCAGTGATACTTTGACGCATGGTTCTGGACGGTTTGATACCCCACAGAAAATGGCATATCAAAGGCTCTTGATTGACCGGAGTGTCGTGAATCGTGCTATGCATCGTCGAAATCGCGGAACGTAGCCCGTTAATGGAACGTTCCGATCGGCCTGTAGTGAAAAGGTATGATAAAGATCCAGCATCGTGGAGATAGGTGTAATAAAGGGATCGCAGTCCCTTCCCATACACCAGCGAACTCAAGGTGTTCCATGCGGATAAGTTATTTCGGGGGAATACCTGGCGTCCATGAGTCCCATAGTAGGTCTCTAGTTGGTTGCGATAGTCCCTTGACATACCAGTCTCCCCTGGAAGACACCAATCTACCAACTCCAGATGCTCCTGCATTCTCAATGGATGATGTTCTCCTTTTGGATCCGCCCGAAGGCAAGTTAAAACGGAAGGAGCAGAGGATGATCCTGATTAAGGACAACCCTTCTGGGTGTCACGCTTGCCTCCTTTACCGCAGTAATGAGTACTATCGAAGTCTTCGCTATTCTGATCCCAATTTCATAGGTGTGTCCGTATCTCAGGCAGTGAGCTTTCAGCCACTGTCTGGCCTGGTAGTGAAGCAGTCCTGGGAAATAGTCAAAGGGTTATGGTGCCTTTCCGCCGTACCCGTCGAATTTCCTTACGAATCGTCGCTATCAATGATGTGGGAAGGTGTAATCCGCCCAAGGTGGAATCTATTCTGAAATAGAGGAACTGAATCACTCGGAACTGGGATCGAACCAACTCCTCTCTGTTCACTATGAATCCCAACAATTCCCGAAACTGTAAACATAAATCTCGTTTGTAAACGTAGTCATGAATTGGATTTGCAAAAGGTAAGTCGTCTAGGTATATGACAGCAGATACCCTTTGCTTTTCAGTGCGCAGTGACCGACTTCAGAAACTTCATGAGGCACCATGTGAACCTATAGGTAAGTGCCCTTCAAGTCCAACCTTGTAGATCCCCTAAGAGATGGATACCTTCCTTCTTGAGTTGTCGGTACGCCCCAAAACCATTGGGTTGGCATAGGTTGATGACTGGGTGATAGTCTCCTATCTTCTTCCTTACTACCAAACCGTTGCTGAGATAAATGGTTCTCCAAACGATAGTCCGTCTGCCTGAGGTCCTCGCTCTTTCGTCCCTAACTTCAATAGTTTGAAATCCATCTTTAATCGGGCTACTTTGCGGCGTTCTGTGCACCTGTCTGCCTTGCGTTCCCCAACTTATATATTGCCCTTTGCACCCATTCCCTCACATCGTGAGCTTCTAGAGGTGAGTCTTGTGTGGGGTCAGGTCCGCAAAGTATAGAATTTTTTCCCGGGCTGATCATATCCAGTATTTAACTCATTTTGAGTCCTCCTCCTACACACTGATCGGGACATACATATCACCACGAGCTCCATAGTGAGGACTATCTTGTTCGGACATAGAGGGCGTGGGCATTCCATCCTGAGCCGGTCTCGGATTTCTTTTCCCATAGGCCTCCTAAGCCAGAAGTGGGCCCGGTGCTCCAGTTAACCCCATTCGGATGACCCTGGTTGTCGGATGGTGCGTGAGTCAAAACAGGAGTGTCCAGTGTGCCAAAGAAAAAACCTTTCTTGCTAGGCGTGTCTTGTCACTTTTACCTCTTCTGCCCTCCATTCTTTCATGATCTCCAGAGAAGGGGGGGGAGGATGAAGTCCTCGTCCCCTGATGATGGGTGTCCGACCTAACGTCGGTATCTCAATCTTCCATTGGTGTTGCTGCCGTTGCACCCGCTCTGTCGGATGGGTTGTTAGCCAGCATACTGGAGAGGACTTCTTCCCCCGGAGCTGTCATGGCAGCCTTAATCCTCGCCTGAAAATCGGTCGGGGATATTGAGGTAAGTCCGACATGTTGGTTCACACCCTTTCGGTCCGTGGGAGACAGGATCGTACAACAGTACACTTATTGCCACTCAGTAGGCCTCCGCGTATAACTGGGGGTCACCCAGAATTTTGATCAATCAGTATCATTTTCGCAGGATCCGGGGAGTGGTCTGAGAATGAGGACACCCTCAGTAAGACCGGGATGAGCGGTCTGCAATGTCGGGACGTAGCCCGAGTCTGGGAGACGTGAAAGCCTCAATATATATATAGTCCACGGGGTTCATCCTTATATGGTCTAGAATTGTGGGGTTTTGGCAGCACTGTGAGTTCTCCTTCTCGGTTAAGGGAAGGGCGTACGGAACCCCAGTTGAAGCATAGAGGTGCCAGAATACATGCATCTAGTGCGCCCTGGTCTGTGCATACAATGACAGAGCGTACTCTGAAGGTAGAAGCCCTAGAAAGGGTGCACCCCTTTGTACCTATGCCACTAGCACCGGAGTAAGACTCGCTTGGGGTTCACCCAGCATAGGGGGGTCACCCCTGTATGAATGTCTCTTATGGCATGTTGGGACACTCTTTCGGTCTATGGGGTACCGAACAGGTGTCAGGTACGGTAGTACACTTATTGCCACTTAGTGGGCCTCCACGTACAACTGGGGGTCACCCAGAATTGTTTCAATCAGTACCACTTAGAGATTTCCTGGGAGTGGTCTGAGGAGGGGGTCACCCTCAATAAGACCGGGATGAGCGGTCAGTAATGTCGGGACGTAGCCCGTGTATGGGGAGGTATGGTAGCCTCCAAATTATCCAAGGGGTCACCCTTATAGGATATAGTACTGTGGAGAATTGGCAGCACCATGAGCTCTCCTTCCTGGCTCTGTCGATATACATGTATTCAGTGTGACCCGGTCTGTGCATACAGTAACAGATCGTACTCCGTGGAAATGAGCCCGCCCTAGGGCGTGGGGGTTCCCCCCAGTATATGTATGTCACTAGTACCGGAATAATATTCGCTTGGGGTTCACCCAGAGTAGGGGGATCACCCCAGTATATGTATGTCACTAGGACAGGAACCAGATTCGCTTGGGGGTCACCCAGCGTAAGGGGGGTCACCCCTGTACCACAATGTCACTTTGGAGAGGTGTCTGCCACGCTTGGGGGTCACCCAGCATAAGGGGGGTCACCCCTGTTAATCACTCCGTTATGTGCCTCCACTACTGTGTCCTGGGAGGTTTATCCCTGTGGGGAAGGAGTGTATCCAATGGTTGTGAGGTCCAGTGGGAGTAGGGAGCGGAGTAAGATATCAGCTCTATTTAATTTCCCTGCCAGTAGATAGAGTAATGCATTGACTATATACCCATAGCAGGGGACAGTCCATTCATAATCCTCCAGATGTACAATAAAACTGTTATTCAACATGTCAATTGTATAGAACAGAATAGAGAAAACTGTCAGCAGATGCACACAGCAGGGATCAGTCCTACATATTCATGCAGAGTTACATATAAAACTTTTATTTCACATGCCAATGAAATATGCCAGTATAGAGCTCAGCAGTGAACAGTCCATTCATAATCTTCCAGGAAAGGTACATATAAAACCTTTATTCCACATGCCCATGAACAGTATTGAGCTCAAAAGTACTTGTAAAACTTTTATTTCACAGGAAAAATATATGAAACAGTACAGAACTAGCCGCCAGTTCGTGGGAATCACGAACTGGCCAAACGACATGGCCGACGTGAATCTCGCGAGTGCCGCGAGATTCAAGATGGCCGCCGTTCGCGCGCAAAAGTGCCGTGCGGCCCACGATCGAGGATACGATCGCGGTCTGCCGGCATGGAAAAGAGTCCCCCCGACATCCCCAACCCCCAGAGACCTGCCCTGAAGTCCCAGCACCAATGAATAAAAAGCGTGCTCGCGGTAAAACGCCGCGATCCATGCGAGACCAGAGTAAAGCATAGGAAAGAAAAGGTGCCAGCAACAGAAAACAGGCTAATAAAGCAGAAAATACAGGGTTAATTCAGGGGAAGGGTAACAGGGGGAGAATATCACACTATACAAATCCAAATGGAAGGCAAGTGCAAAATAATGAAAAACGTTTAGGCCAAAATTGCAGGACAAGCTAATAAAGTTTAACAAAAGTGGCCATGCATATCCAGAAACAGTTTGGAGCAAAAACTGAATGTCTAGCATTTAAAATCTAACTACAGTAGCAATATTAATAAAAACAGTTGGAACAAACTGAAAGTTAAGCAATAAATGATTAACTAATGACAATTGCAATATTCAGTAAAACAGTTTGGAGCAAAATACTCTGACCTGTGCCTTGGCTGGTAAGCAGCAAAGAAAGAGGAAGTCATGTGACTATCAGGGCTTTATATATGAATGTGATGCCTGTTACTGATTGGTTTAAAGTTTATTGATTGACTTGTGCTGCTGGAGGCATAAAGTAAAGAAAGTTATGCAAAATATGAAGCCTCCTGTCATGTGATAAAATTGAGTCTAAAGGACCTTATATCTCTGTTACAGGAAAATATACACAAAATCATAAAACAATCAAAAACATTATAAAAATACATAATAACCACACAAATTATACAATCTTAAACACCCCTGATCTGAGCGCCCAAATTGTGCAAATTGCTCAATGCAGTACAGAGGAATCGCCTATGCCCAAAACAGTTCCAGAGCATTTGGTGCGTTTGCCGGTCAACTTTCTGGGGCTCCAGCGGATGAACTACAGGGTGTTCCGCCTGGAACGCAAACAGCATTTGTTCCCCATAGTCTCAGACACCTTCCCTCCAAACAGCGCTCTCCTGGCCGTTTTTAAAGTGTTCCCCTAGCTGAAAATAGTTCCAGGGCATTCGCGGCTAGGTCCTCCTGAAGTCTATATTTGCAGTTTTGGTCCATGCGAATGGCCGCCAGGGAGCTTGCGTTCGGTTCTATGCGCACCAATGGTACGTGCCAAACCAGGGGGAATAAAATATGGGTCTTTACAGTCGCTGACCTGGCCCATAGTCGGTGTGCACGAGGCCAGCTTCCACACTCCTCCAGGAGCCAGAGGCGAACGTCCAGGCAATGGGGCGTTCGTCACAGTAGATAACTACACAACTATGTTAAGAAAAAAATATATTGCTCTTGCTGTATATAAAGATATGTTATGTTAGGACATCTTTTGTCCAAAAAAGTCTCCTTTATACAATGTTCTGGAAACAATGTATTTATTATTTCCCTGTTATTTAATTTAAAGGGACACTAGAGTCACCAGAAATATTACAGCTTAATGTAGTGTTTTTGGTGTGTTTAGCATATCTCTGCAGTGTGAGCACTCTAAACTGCATTTTTACATAGTTTACATTGCTGCCTACTAACACCTCCTAGAGGCAGTTGCACAGATGGCCACTAGAGGTGCTTTCTAGTCCAGTGCTACATTTGAATACTAATACCAGTGCTGCCGTGTGTTCCACTGGCGTTCAGTGTCTCCACACTCTCCATGTAGTAGGTGAACGTTCCGCATTGATTAAGTTCATCTCTATGAGGAGATGCTTATTGGCGCAGCACTGTGTTTTGGCCACCCATGCGCATTAGCCTCCCAATTATTTCCTACGGTAAAGCCTTTTTTACTGAGATTGGAGGGTGGTGGTTACCTAAACAGCCAATTAAGGACTATAGTTTCCAGAATGCATGTTTGAATTCCTGATACTATAGTGTTCCTTTAAAAATCCTTGCAGTTATAAGCCACTCGCAGAGTTGTGAGTGGGTGCAGGCTACTCTATTTGCAATAATACAAAATGGTGCCTAGAGTGACCTTTAACTTAAAGGGACACTGTAGGCACCAAGACCACTTCAGCTTTTTGAAGTAGTCTGGGTGCTGTGACCCTTCTGCACTTAGTGCTGCAATGTAAAACATTGCAGTTCCAGAGAACTGGAATGTTTACTTTGCAGCTCGAAGTCTGCCCTCTGTGGCTGTCTAAGAGACAGCCACTAGAGGGCTTCCAAAATCCAAACTTACGTTTGGTCTGTTATCTGACGCTGGAGGTCCTCATGGATCTCCAGCGTCAGATTTTCCCCATAGCAAAGCATTGAGTAATGCCTTCCTATGGGGAGGTCTAATGCGAGCGCGGCCATTGCCACGCATGTGCATTAGGTCGCTGACTTCTGCGGGGGAGGAGCGTTGGCGGAGCCTGACCCAGCGCCGAGGGACATCGGTGCTGGGTTCAGGTAAGTGACTGAAGGGGTTTTAACCCCTTCAGTGACATAGGATTGGGGGCAGGAGGATTGGCCCCATGAGAACACTTAAACTCACTGTATGTCTGCAGGTTAGATAGTGGCATATTGGGCAGAGATTTGTCAAAGTTTCAAGTAACACAATCATCGTATACAATCATCATAGAAACTAGTGGAAGCAGGCACATTCCTCCCATTTAAAATATTTGCACCACTTTTCAGAACAAGACACTTTGCTACATCCCCCCATAGTCTCACTGAAAGATAGTGATTCTCTAGAGCCAGACCAAAAACCAATCATTGTGTTGATGTATTTATAGTCCAACACCTAATCAACATAGAAAGGCAAGCCAACTTACAGCCTACGCCACAAGATTGCATTTGGAAAGTACCATTTGTTAGCGGTTAGGTTGAAGGGAGTGTTAACTGATAAAGTCAAACAATGATGCAACGTATTTCTCTTGGAGCTTTATACAATACAAAAAGCATTAACAAATATGCACAGAAAATGACTGCAAGTGAAGTAATGTATTAAATATTTTTTTTTATTTTATGGTTTCTTTTTCAGTTTGTATATTAAATGTAATCTAAACCGTTTTATCTCATTTAAGAATATTAATACTTTGTTTTCTCTTAATTCAATCCCATATGTACAGGTGGAAAGATCGTAAAATCCCGTTACATGCAGTATGACAAGTGCAAAATTGCAAAGGTACATTTCTGCAACTTGAATGTTCTAGATAAAATGTTCAAGTCTCTGTGTTTGAACCTGCAAATTTAACATCTTATAGGGCTACTTCAGCATTGTAACCAATGTTTTCCCAACAAGCACTAACATGGGATATGTGGCTTCTGCGGAGCATCTTTTGGCAGAGGGCATGCATTGAGACACTATCGGGGTCTCTCCAGATCCTGGGAGGCTCCTTTTGAGTGCAGAAAAGCAGAGACTCAGATGCTGAGAACGATAACTCTGCTGTGGTGATTTAACCCCTTAAGGACACATGACATGTGTGACATGTTATGATTCCCTTTTATTCCAGAAGTTTGGTCCTTAAGGGGTTAAAGGGCTATATCCAGTGTTCGCTTTGAGCCCTGCTTACAGCAAATTTGTTAGTCTGTCGCAACATATGGTTGCAGCTGACAAAAGGGAGCCAAGGTATCAATTGATACCCAAGTCTCCATGGTGTTAGCAGAGATTTAACTGCATGATATTCCATGCTATCTTAATCGTGTTAAAGCCCATTATTTCAAGTAAGGTATGGAATATTAACATCATTAAGTGCTTAAATTGGGTTCATATTTGCCAATTCAATTCATTGTATTTCACAACCATAGTATAATTATTATGCATGAGATTGGGATTCCATCACTCCAAGTTTAAGATTGCTGCCTATACCATATTAAAACATTATATAATTAAAGAGGAACACAGAGTTTAAGCTTTAGCTTGTTGATGTGTGTGTATATATAGTGCAAAGACCCTGTCCCTGTAGCCTTTCTTTTTAAAAGTGTTTAATTCCGGAGATTATTTTTTTCTCTCTCCTTTCTGTGTGTAGGTACGCCTTCCTGGGTTGTAAAATCGGCAGCTGGAATACTCTATTCCTGTTTGACAATATTTGTTTTCTGCAACTTTTGTATGTAGCGTCGGTGCGCACATCATGCTAACCCCAAATAATGCAACAGGCCCCCATTTGCCCACTAAAACTCTGATTTAAATCCTCAGTGGCAAAAATGTGGATAAAATAGCTGGATTGGACATATTTCCCAATTTGCTATAGTCACAGCATGGCTAGTTTTGCCTCTATATTGCCATTCCGATTTAATTCTGAGTTTAGTCTATAACCATTTCCCTATCAAAGCTCCTGTTGCCCCGCTCCTCCCAGGCAATTTAACTCTCTCTTTCTCTGATAAAGAAAAAGTACATGGTTCTGGTTTTTAAACTCTGCCCTTCCTAGGTACAGAGGTCATAGGGAGAAGGAAAAAAATGAGTCAGAAATGTGTTAAACTGAGTGCAAAATGTCTGCTTTGGGTGAGTCCTTTAATGCTCAGTGAGTCTCTGGCTGAGGAAGAGGAGAGTTCTTCCTTTGCCTTTCGCTCTTCTCGTGGCCTGTGATTGGACCACTTGCCCGCTCAAAGCACATTCCCGCGCCCTGTGCTGGTAAGAGGAGGGAGTGGATTGGTGGGTTAAAAAAAAAACAACGTTGCTCAGAGAGTGGGAGGGGAGAGCGAACTTGTGCTGTGCCAGCAAGGGGAAGATTTTCACATCTGAGTGCGGGAATTTATTTCAATTTGTTTTTCTTTGCAGAGAATTATACATTTCTCAGTATGTGCAGTGTTTCATGCAGACTCGTACCACCATAAGACTTTAACCCCTTAAGGACACGACATGTGTGACATGTCATGATTCCCTTTTATTCCAGAAGTTTGGTCCTTAAGGGGTTAAGTCACCTAAGTGGTTATGGCAGTTGGAGTAACCGTTTAAGATAACAAACCGCCTAACACTTTTGCAATATTGACATCTCCTTCTCTTTGGCCCATAGGTTGTTATACTTGATGTTCTGTGCATTTAATTGTGATGTGTACATTGTTCCTCTCACTTAACTTAGTTGAAGTGCACACTCTGAACTGGTACATTTCACTTTAATATTGTTACGCATCGATGTCGCTCAACAGAATGCCATGCCCTCATGTGGAGGCGATATATCTGTATTCTGTAAAACGTTATAAACACAAAATAAAAAATTATAGGACATGTAGTCTACAATAGTTTTATATAGCAAGTTACCATTTTAATGTAAACCCTAAACTTAAAAACCAGCAAAATGGTTAGTGGATCTTTACTTTTTCTACAGCGAATATTGATTTATATTTTGAATTATAAATGTACCTGAAATTTATGCTGCATCCTTCTATAGTTGTTAATATATAGGTATAGCACGTCTGTTGTGCTCCAGTGGATAAAAAGAAAGTCTTTGATTTGTTCCAGAGGCATCACCTGCCGAGGAGATTATCATCTTACACACAATGAAACCTATATTACCTGGCTCAAAGCCAATTACATCTAAGGTTAACGGGGTCATGTAAACTGAAACTGCAGTTTAGTATTGGGTACACATTTACATTAAATTAAAGGGATTGAATGACAAAGCAACCTCAAGGTACATCTGTGGTAAATTTGGCAAACAAGGAACTAAACAATAATGCACATTTATCTGCTCAAGATTACTAATTGATAAAAAAAAAATAACCAGCTATATGAGATATTGTTGAAATGCTTCACCTCGCTCGTGTATTTAAAAAAAAAAAAAAATAAATTTAATTTTTTATTTTAAATTCTTCCTTAGGGCTATATTTAAGTGAGTCACTATAGAAAACAACCACACTTCCATCTGTGTACCGTGCTAGGCATATTCTAGGGAACTTATGGTACAGCCGCCCCACCCAAATAATGTGGCAGCATACCAAGGAAAGTAATGCATTAAATACACAGTCACACAAAACGTGTCTGTGTCATCACTTGCAGCCTCCTTCGTAAACATGTCTGGCTCTGCTAACTTGAGGTGCAAATACTTGAAGGGACAGGAGGCAGCAGCAGGGCTGTGCTGCCAAACAACTCTGATCAAGCCATTTTCTTCCTAATAAAAAAAAAAACCTCTAGGAACAAGGCAATTCCAGAGGACCAGACAGAATGGCTGGGAAGAGGAATTTAGTAAAATTATTAAATCCCGTATTGTGTTATTGGAGCAGTATTATACAACTTATTTTTTTTCTTATACTTTATAATTTAATTATTAAAGGTACCCTTGACAATTTTTATAAACCAGGAAGCACTTTTTTATATATATATATATATATATATATAATGAAGCCAAACTAAAACAAGAAAAGCCTTGAAAAGTATGTAATACATGTTTGTAAACTTGGTTTTATTGTATTGTTGAGCACACCTCTCAGGGGAGTTTCTTCAGCCTCCACCCCTCCTTAAACACACATCCCTGTTTCAGACCAGTCCACTAACAGAAACAGGGCATTATTGCACAGCAGCAGGAGATAGAAACCTAACAGGGCCTGCTGTGCTTGAATCACACTGATAAGATTCTCTCTATCAGGGTGATGCAAAGTGAATAGATTTTAAACATATGTATATAGGCATGCCTAATTGGCAATGTATGGAATTGTCTGCAGACACGTGTATATGCGTGGAAAGTCAGTGGTGAGAATTCAGGGAAAATATATAGTGGATGCCAGGCACTCTTGATTTTGGCTTCAATATTCATGGAACCCCACCTACAGTCAGTTCTATCATGGGGATGAGTGGAGCAGGAGGAAAGGCTTTGTTGTTCAGTACTCAGCTTTCCTTCACATAGGTGGTACGTGTCAAAGTAACATCCACGTGAATGCTAGGACTCAACTTTTCCCAGCAGAATATTGCCAAGAGCATATTGCCCTTCATCCTGCTGCAAGCTCATCCCCAAGTCAATGACACACATCAGGGCATCCAGCTGATATAATAGAAAACGTGATTCATCAGACTATACAGCCATCTTCAATTGCTCCATGGTCCAGTTCTTGAACACACTAACCCGTTCCCTGTATGGGTGGCTAAACTACTATTCCCTCTCTATAAGAGGCGGGACACACGCTTTAACGCGATTCTTCTCGACGCGTATCCGAACCCCCACTACATGGGATGGATTTACACCTGACAGAGGTAACGGGGAAAACACCTCTCGACACAACCCACCATAGGTAACACCACAGGTATCAAGGGGTAAAGGGCCAGACCGAAAAGGCAACTTTAAGACCCCCCTAGACATTGACACTAACCATTAGCCCCCCAGACTGTTCATCTACCCCCCATTTGAGACCCCCACTAGTTGAAGTGCCACATTACCCCACGGCCGCACTAGACCCCAACTTATTTTGCAGAGCCACACTAACTGAACTTGGGCCTCCAGGATGTCAACCCTATTACATGGGAAGTCTCCTGCAAGGGACCCCCACCTCAGACTAGGTGTGATAACGAGATAGGGAACCATCAACCCTCTGAGGACTCTCGGGAGGCAAAGATGGGGACAGCCTTCCACACCCACATATTATGCACTTAATATTCCAAGTTTTGGTTACACTCTTACACTTTATTAACTTGTATGCATGTGATTATTGTTGATACAATTTTCTCGTACTATTACTGACTCCATTAAAAGCACAACTAAAGCTCGCAACTACAACATAAATACCTCAACCTGCTCACTAACTCCATAAGCTACAAAAGCTAACGCATCACTGTGATACGTTTAAGGCTACGCTTTGGGGGAGGATTCTCTTAGGAAGAGGCTCACACCTTCCGAGATCCATTCCCACACCCATACTCTCCTCCCGCACTGACCCTCCTCCTACAGGTCGAGGGGTGCTTATAATGTCTGTATCAGACAAAGTACACACTCCACCCTTCTCACTTTCCCCCCTCCGTTAGATCTCTTTTCTCTTCTTCCTTCTCTTTCCCCTCTACCTGGCCCATTAACCCCTAACCTTTGCGCGAGGATGTGGGTTCCGACCTAGAAAGCAACCCAACCTTGCTCACACGAGTCGCCCCGCTTGTCCTGACGACTGACTACAGCCTCACACCTAAAATCCACCATGCCCACTACTGTAACCTGCCTGTCCATAAATTGCATGGGCCATAGTAACCTATCTAAACGCCACCAAGTCATGAGATGGGCCAACAGAAATCATACTAGTTCAGGAAACCCACTTCTCCCAGGCCAAGCTGTTCCCACTCCTGAGCTGACACTTTAACAAACACTTCCTAGCAAATTCCCCCACAGGTAAAAACAGTGGAGTGGCAATTGTGATATGCAAATCTTGCCCAATGGCCATTCACCACACAATTGGCGCCCCCCAAGTGTGATAAATCCCTATAACAGGTAGAATTTACCTCTGTATACGCACCCAATACCTCAAACAGCGACTTCTGTCAGGCCCTTAGAACGCACCTAGCACACTTCCCCTCCCACCATCTAATGGTGGGCGGAGGATTCAATGCAACACCGGCCCCAGCACTAGACAGACATTGCTCGAATCATGCTCCACACTCTCAACCCCACATCGCCAAAATCAGAAAGACTATTTCACTCATTCATGTCCCAAACACATTTAATGGACGTCTGGACAATTCAACACCTGACCACACATGACTTCACTTTCTACTCAAACTCCCACCAATCTCATTCCCGCATCAACATCTTCTTGGTCTCCCTTCTGCTCCTGGGAATGATTACAACGACATCCATAGTCTCCATCACCTGGTCCGACCATTCTGAAATCTCGCTCACCCTCTTGATTCACAACACATCTCGGCCATAGTCGTGGCGTCTGAACCCAACCCTTATCCACAATTCCCTTCTCAGGGAATCTATTCAAAAAGGTAACAATGAATACTTCACATTGAATAAGGACTCTGTCTCCTCACAAGGCACACTCTAGGCGGCACACATAACAGTCCTCAGGGGAACGATAATTGCCTTAACCTCAGCCCACAAAAAAGAAAAACTTGCCAACCTGGAACACACATTGGCAGAACTCCGCTCTCTGGAAGGACAACATAACCCAACTTAAACATGAAAATCTCAAACTGCTGAAAGACCATCAAAGACTTTATGACCAAAGACTCCATAAAAGCCTTACAGTGGATGAAACAACTTTTCTATGAAAAGTAAACAAAAAACAGACACTCTATTAGCCCGCAGATTAAAACGCACTGCACATAAGCAGCGACTGACTGACCCAGAGGGGAAAATTAAAGTGCAACCAGACTAAATAGCTACAGTCTTCCAATAATACTTCACCTCTCTATACGACCACAGCTTATGCCAACCCTACTACAGTTGCAGACCTAACCGACCGATACCTCAGTTCTATCGCCCTATCCTCCCTAAAACCCGAGGCGGCCTCTATGCTATCCTCACCTATCACCAAGAAAGAACAGAGCAAAACCTTTAAAACAACAAAACCCAGACAGCTTCTCGGTGCTTTATTATAAAACTTATACTTACACACTCCTCCCACATCTGTCTTCAACACCATCCTCCAGGGAGAAGCACTCCCACATGATATGCTACAGGCAAATATATGCATACTCCCCAAACCTCACAAGACCCTCACAGAACTTAGACACTTCCGCCCTATCTCACTGCTCAACCTGGACGTAAAATTGTTCTCGAAACCCACAGCAGACAGCCTAAACCCGTTTCTCCCCAAACTTATACACGCAGATCAAGTTGGTTTCATCCCCTTCCGACTGGCCAGTGACAACACAAGACATGTTTTCAACCTCCAATGGACAGTACACCACCGCCACATACCTACACTATTTCTCTCCATGGACCCCGAAAAGACCGTTTACTCTGGCCTTTCTTTTCGCTGTCCTCCGCAAATTCGGCTTCCCTCTAAACATAATGGACGCCCTGGGTGAAAGATTGCCATTTATATAGCACCAACAGATTATTTAGCACTTTACAGTATACTTCATTCTACCCTCACAACAAACCTACTCCCTCTCACCCACCCCTCTTCGTCCGTTTATAAAACGGCACACGACAGGGTGCTATCCCTGAAATCCCTCCTACAAACCCTATGCAATGCCCAAACGATCAAAGGCATTCAAATCTGCTGAGAGGTTTACAAAACAGCCGCGTGTGCAGTGCAACGACTTACTCCTCTCCATTACAGAACCATTACAATCCTAGCTGAACCTAATCCTAGCATTAGATGTATATGCCACTATCTCCAGATTCAAGCTCAACACCGAAAAAACAGAAGTCCTCCCTATCCATATAGAACCTACTACCCTATCTATTGTGCAACAAACATACCCTTTCACCTTCCAAACCACTAACATGCACTACTTCGGCACACATCTCCCAGCATATCTTTGCCAGAAATACCGACTCAACTATACACCTCTCCTTCAAAAAGCATTGCAAGACCTTACTACATGGACTGAACTCTCCATCTCATGGCTGGGAAGACTAGCATCCATAAAAATAAACCTGCTGCCCAGATTCCTCTGTTTATTTCAAGCTCTTCCCATCCCCATATCATTGGCAGACTTTAAACTCCTACAAACACAAACAGACAAGTTCATATGGGCCAACAAACGGGCTAGGCTCAAAATGGCTACACTATACGTCCCAAACAGAAATGGAGGATTGGGCTTACCTTACCTCACCTCACTCACTACTTCTATACAGCACAATTGGAGCCAATTTAAAATCTACAATCCCTTATAGGTGTTAAGCGGTGGGTCGACCTGGAACACGACATCCTAGACAGAGACTTCCCATTTATGGCTCCCCAAACAAGGCAGACCTCTGCTACCTCCCACTTCTCCCACCCTATTCCTGTCTTTCAAAATCTGAGACCGGATGGCACTCAGTACTCTTACTTCAGACCCTTCACCTATGACCCCAAATCTCCATTATCTACTCGCACATCACCCAAACATTCACTGATGACTCTCTATACTATGTGTCTGCTTGGGAGAGGGATCTAGGCCCTCCATCAGAACCCTCAGACTGGAGAGATATATGGGAGGCCACGGCTTCTCTCTCTATTTGTGTTCACCACAAAGATCAAACCTACAAGACCCTGATGCGGTGGTACCTGACCCCCCTCCGCTTGAAACAAATGGGTAAATCGGACACAGAACTTGGAATGGTTGCGGGATCAAGGGCACATATATCCACCTATGGAGGGAATGCACACATGTCGACCAACTCTGGAGCCAAGTCGCCCTATTATTATTATTATTATTATTATAATTATTATTGCCATTTATATAGCGCTGACAGATTCCGTAGCAATTTACAATATTAGGAGAGGGGGGATTTAACTATAAATATGACAATTAGAAGAAAACTTACCGGAATGATAGGTTGACGAGGACCCTGCTCAAAAGAACTGACAGTTTATAGGAAGTGGGGTATAAAACCTTTAGCAATTGACATTAAGGATACTACACATGTATATTCCAATGGATCTGTGGATATGGCTCCTCTCCAAAGCACACAAAGACTCCTACAGAGCACAAAACAAATTAATAGCCCGACTAGCACTAGCCACGAGAAACACAATGGCAGAAAAGTGGATCTCCCCCAACCTACCATCTCTAGATACAGTCAAAAAGAAAATGGAAGAAACCCCAAAAATTGATTCTGTCAGCCCTGATTCATGACCCCACAAAACATAAAATATAGGACCCGTGGACTATCGATTTCCCACTACCTCTATAGGGTGGGCCCAGTCACAGAGACGGGTGGAGGACCACCCCCCTTTTATATATGGAAACCATGTGCATAGCAAAGACCGAATAGATAGTTATTTTTATAAACTTTTGTTAATGTCTGTTACTATTTTCTGTTTTTCATCTCCTGTTATTGTGTTACCTTGTAACATTACTTCAATATCATTGTAACTGTAAAATGCCATAAAGGCACCACATGCTTATGTCTTTTATTAAAAAAAAAAAAAAGAAGAACGGAAATTTTAAAAAGACATTGCAAAAATAGCTGAAAGTTGGCTGTTTTGGCCTAAAATGTGTATTGTTTTTTTTTGTTTGTTTTTTTCTTCACAGTTCCAGGTTTGAAGGATTAATCCTTTTTGTGTTAAAACTGTTATCTGATGCTGTTTAGTTCAAAACTGAGATATTGATATGGTTTTTCTGCTTTATCCTTTATAGAAAAATCTGGCTAACACAACAGTATGTTCAGGTGGGAAGGCACCAGAGAGAACCAGCAGCGGCACACCCACGCGTAGATCTATAGCTCCTCAGCGGACAAAGGCTATGCCGGGTAAATAAGAAACTTAACAATTTTAGGTTAAAGGAATCCTCTAAGCACCACAGAAACTTTAGCTGAATGAAGCACTTTGGGTGTGTAGATCAAACCCCTGCACTCTCACTGCTCTATTCTCTGCCATGTAAGCTTTAAACAACTTTGTTTTTGGAGCACTAATCACCCCTCCCCTAGCTCACACAGCCTACATGGGAAAAAATTGTTATTTTCAACTTATCACTGTATAGCACTGTGTGTTTAGTTTAGGACATGGATAGGCAACCTTTGGCACTCCAGATGTTGTGGACTATATCTCCCTTAATGCTCTTACAGCAAAAAGCATCTGAGGCATGTAGTCGACGACATCTGGAGTGCCAAAGGTTTCCCACCCCAGGTTTAGAAGTTCGTGTCTCCTGCTCTGGTAATTAAACTTGAATCACACACAGGAGGCTGTTGCAAGCATTTAAACGACCACTGAAGCCCCCTGGTCATTTTGGCTCGGTGCTGTGGTCTGGGTGCAGTGGTCCTGTATTTTTAACCCTTCAATGTAAAACCAAGAGTTTCATAGAACTATCAATTGCTGGGTTAACACACCTCTTGTAGTTGTCTTCCAGACATCCTCAAGAAGCACATTGGCGCCATCGAATGACGTATGGAATCGGATACCCGAATAAAGGGTTATTTAGCAATTTGCATCGCTGGGTGGTTTGAAGGGGCTGAGAAACACATTAGTGTCAGGAATTAGTGTTATTTTAATGAACTCTGCCTAGGAGGCAGAGCAGGAGGACTAAGATTGGTGTGGCAAGGGCTAAAAGGCAAGTAAATTGCTCATTCCAAAACCTCACAGTTTGTATTCCTAATGCAATACTGTTTCTATAGAGCAAGATGAAAGAAATTCTTAAAACATCTATCATGTTTTTCCATTAATATAGCCCAGGAGATCAATTAAGAGTACATTAAATTATCATTACAAATTGCCACTATCTGTGGCTGAAATGTGTCATCTCTGAAGAAGTCCTCTACACACGGGTAACTAGTTATTTGGACTAGAATGTCTGTACCGATACTCATGGGCTGTTTTCATGGCATCTTGATGATGAGCAAAGTCTATTGTATATTAGTTGGTGTTTGAAAAAACTTATGAGGTCTTATAAACTTTGTAATTTATGTATTTTAACCTAGGCATTGCTTCTAATGTTCTCGATGGAAGTCTTTTTTGGAAAGATGATTTGCAGTCAACGTTGTTAGATGGCCACAGGATTGCCCGTCCAGACCTGGATCTCTCTGTTATTAATGGTATGTGTATGCTTATTAGTTGGTAATTAAATTTAAAGGACCACTATAGTCACCCAGACCACTTCAGCTCAATGAAGTGGTCTGGGTGCCAGGTCCCCCAGGTTTTAACCATTCAGATGTAAACATAGCAGTTTCAGATAAACTGCTATGTTTATATTGCAGGGTTAATCCAGCCTCTAGCGGCTGTCTTCCTGACAGCCGCTAGACGCGCTTCTGCACCGCTGAATGCGAAAATCGCATTGAGCGTGCAGAACGTCCATAGGAAAGCATTGAGAAATGCTTTCCTATGGGTGTTTTTTAATGCGCGCACAGCTCTGGCCGCGTATGCGCACACCGCTCCACTCGGGAGCTGACGACGGAGTGGGAGGAGAGGTCACCAGCGCCGAGGGAGCCTGGCACTGGATTAAAGTAAGTAGCTGAAGGGGTTTTAACCTCTTCAGCCCAGCGGGAGGGGGCCCCTGAGGGTGGGGGGCACCTAAGAGTTATATAGTGTCAGGAAAACGAGTTTGTTTTCCTGACACTATAGTGATCCTTTAAATTAAGCAAGTTCATTTTCACATTCGAGAGCGCTCAGTAAAAAGATCATGGTTTAAATGCCAAGAGAGCCCCAGTTTTTGTCAAAACAATATAAAACAGTTCTGATGTAGGCCTGCTTTTGTCTTTTTGTGCAGCCCAGTTAATGAACAAGGTACCGGAAATAAAAAAAAAATTTCACCTACATATAATTGTATAATGTTACAATATCTCAGGAGATGCCTTTTTTTTCTTATTTTCTTTCCAAATAGTTCTTCTTTTTCTAGCCGTCCTTCATAACTAAAATATTCGTTGCCTCCACTGAGTTTGAATTTTTATAACTCCAGAATATATTTCTTTAAAACAGGTGCCCAAACTAGCACTACATATCCAGTGTAGTGCTAGTTTGGGCACCTGTTTTAAAGAAATATATTATTTAATAAAGTGGCAAAATATTTTCATCACTTTATTTAATGCCTGACTTTAACAAATGATGACTGACATTGCACATTGTTGCCTAGTCTGTTGTCGAACTATTCACAAGACCTCTTTCATTATTCATCTTACTCAGTACAATTTATGGTATAAATTGTTTGTGCGTTCCTCATCCTTAAATGCATAACTTTGATTTTACATTCAATTTAATCTTTCACTTGACTTTTTAGTCTGCTATATTACCTAATATTTATGCAGAAAATAAGTATTATGCAGGGGTGTGGAAATTAAAAAAAAAAAGCCACTTGTCCAGGGAATTAAGCGTTTGCCCAATCTCCTTGTCCGCCAGGACAATCTACTTGTACTGATACAAAAAATTAGAGAAAAATAAAACTCACAGAGTTATAACGTTCATACACCTTTTAAGTGGTATTCTTTAGATTTTCAAATGAGATTTATAGCTTACTTTATACAAAATATAATTATAATTAACTGTGGCAACCTCAGGAGGCCATTTATTGGTTACAAAAAAGGCAGTGCTTAAGGACCAAACTTCTGGAATAAAAGGGAATCATGACATGCCACACATGTCATGTGTCTTTAAGGGGTTATACTGCTGAGCCTACAGGGCCAATCTCTTTGCTCCAGAACCACTACATTAAACTGGTGTGGCTCTGTTGCTTAGAGCACCCCTTTAAAAACTGGTCTTTGGTAATATAGTGTCGGGTGGAATAGCTATGTAGTGTGTAGGTTATGCAGTGTGTGTAAGGAACATAGTGTGTAGGTTTTGTAGTGTGTGTGTGTGTAGGAATATAGTGAGGTGTGGGAAAGGGATGTACTGTGTATGTGTGTAGGGAACATGGTGTGGTGCAGGATAGAGATGTAGTGTGTGTAGGGAACATGGTGTCGTGTGGGACATGGATGTAGGGCACACACTATAGTGTGGAATAGGGATGTATGTGTATGTTTGTAGGTTTTGTAGAGTGTGTAATGCACATAGACTGGGGTGGAATAGGCATGTACTGTATGTAGGGCACATAGTGTGAGATAGGGATGTACTGTATGTAGGGCACATAGTGTGGGATAGGGATGTACTGTATGTAGGGCACATAGTGTGGCATAGGGATGTAGTGTGCGTAGGGCACATAGTGTGGGGTGGCATAGGGATGTAGTGTGTGTGTGTGTGTGTGTGTGTGTATATGGCACATAGTGTGGGCTAGGGATGTGGGGTGGGTAGGGCACCTAGTGTGGGGTGGGATAGGGATGTTGTGTGGATAGTGCACATAGGGTAGGATAGGGATGGGGTGTGGGTAGGGACACAAAGTGTCTGGTGGGTATGGCACAAAGTGTGGGGTGGGATTGGGATGTGGTTTGGGTACGGCACATAGTGTGGGATAGGGATGTGGTGTGGATAGGGCACCTAGTGTGGGGTGGGATAGGGATGTGGTGTGGATAGTGCACATAGGGTAGGATAGGGATGGGGTGTGGGTAGGGACACAAAGTGTCTGGTGGGTATGGCACAAAGTGTGAGGTGGGATAGGGATGTAGTGTGGGTAGGGCACATTGTTTGGGATAGGGATGTGGTGTGGGTAGGGCACATAGTGTGGGGTGGGATAGGGATGTGTTTTGGGTACATTACATAGTGTGGGGTGGGATAGGGATGTGGTATGGGTAGGGCACATAGGGTGGAATAGGGATGTGGTGTGGGTAGGGCACATAGTTTAGGATAGGGATGGGGTTTGGGTAGGGCACATAGTGTGTGGTGGGATAGGGGTGTAATAGGGATGTGGTATGGGTAGGGCAGGATAGGGATATAGTGTGGGCTGGGATAGGGATGTAGTTTGGGTAGGGCAGGATAGGGATGTAACTGGTGGCAAAGTAAGGGCGGAGGTGGTGACTGGTTAGGGAGGGAGAGGGTGACGATGAAGTAGGCAGTGGGTGACTTTTGGCAGAGTGAGGGGGTGACAGTGGAGGAGGGAGGGGGTGACTGGTGACCGAGTGAGGGAGGGGTGTTAGAAATACCTATTTTTTTATAATTTTTTTTACTGGTGGTCCTATGGACTCTCCTGCTCCTTGGTGGTCCTGTGGGGTCTTTCTCCTCCTGGTGGTCCGTGGGCTGTCTCTCCAGTCTGCAGCTCCGCCAGGTGTGCGCTGTAGACTGTGCATTGTCTCCAGAAGTCAGAGCTTTGCCGTGGAAACCTGCAGCAACACTCTGATTGGCCAGAGATTGAGAGATACTGCACAATCTGCAGTTCACACCCGGCAGAGCTGCAGACTGGAGGCACTGGCTCTCTCACTCACAGGGCAGACTGGAGGGGCCCCGCGCCCAGCAAACCACGGGCCCCCTCCTGATATCGGGTTTTGAGGGACTTCTTAAAGGATTGAAGACTAGGTAGAGTCAGATAGGGGTAAGCAGGCTGTTCCAAAGGAAAGGAGCCGCCCGTGAGAAGTCTTGCAGGCGTGAATTTGCAGTAAGGGTGCGAGCAGCAGACAGGAGAAGGTCACCAGTAGAGCAGAAAGACCGAGAGGGGACATACCTATGAATCAGTGAAAAAATGTAAGAGGGGCTAGAGTTGGTTAGAGCTTTATAGGTATGGGTTAGTATTTTAAATTGACCACTGTAGGGTACAGGAAGCCAGTGTAAAGATCGACAGAGGGGTGAGGTGTGAGAAGAGCGACAAGAGAGAAAGATCTGCCTGGCAGCAGCATTCATCACAGATTGTAGGGGGGCAGTAAGGTTTCTGGGGAGACCGATTAGGAGAGAATAAAAGTAATCCATGCGAAAGATTACTTGAGCATGAACAAGCTCCTTGGCAGCATCTTGCGTAAGAAAGGGGTGTATGCAGGCAATGTTTTTAAGCTGGAATCGACTGGTTTTAGCAACAGACTTGACATGAGGCGCAAAGGTGAGGCCTGGATCAAAAATTACACCAGCTTTAAAGAATGGGGTGAGGCAGGTACTGTCAACCTGCAGGGAGAGTAAAGTAGGAGGATCGGTGTTATGAAGAGGAAAAATAAGAAACTCAGAGAGATTGAGTTTCAGAAAGCAGGAAGACTTCCAATCCGAGAGAGAAGAGAGGCAGTTGGTGACACGTTGTAGGACAGCAGGGAAGGAGAGGTATTTCTGGGTGTCGTCAGTGTACAGGTGGTAGTGGAATCCAAATTAATTAATTAGTATGCCCAGAGAGGCAGTATAGAGAGAGAACAAAAAAACAAGAACTGTACCTTGAGGGACTCCTACTGAGACAGGACGAGGAGAAGAGGTGTCGTTGTGTCGTTCCAAAAAGAGAAGAAGAGTTGGGAGAGAGAGGACGAAAACCATGAGAGGGCTGTGTCACAGAGACCAAGAGATTGAAGAGTTAGGAGAAGGAGGCCATGATCAACAGTGTCAAAGGCAGCAGAGAGGTCAAGAAGAATTAGTATGGAGTAGTGGTCTTTAGAGTTACAAATGATTTGATTGCAGCTAAATCCAGTCAGAGCAATCTCTGTGGAGTGGAGGGGCAGATTCAGACTAAAGAGGGTCAAAGAGGGAGTTGCAATTGAGGAAGCAAGTCAGACGGGTAAAGACAAGTCTTTCCAAAAGCTTTGAGGAGAAAGGGAGCAGGGATATGGGACGATAGTTGGGAGGGGAGGTAGGGTCAAGAGATGGCTTTTGAGGAAAGGTACAACAGAAGCATGTTTAAGGGGAGCTGGGACAACACCAGAAGAAAGAGAGCAGTTAAAGATGTGCATTAACGACTGCACCAGACAAAGGGCTAGAGATCTGTTCAGTAGCTGGAGAGAATTCTTGGAGGGTAGGGATGGTATGGTCCAAGTGAGGTTGAGATGGAGAAGGGGAGAGAATTCATTCCTTAACTGTTTAATCTCGTCAGTAAAGTAACATGCAAAGCTATCAGCTGAAAGATCAGTTTGTGGGGTGGCCAAAGCAGGGCGAAGAAGAGTTAAAAGTATTAAAGAGATGACTAGGATTGCGGGTGCATGAACTAATGAGAGATGAAAAGCAGGACTGTTTTGCAAGGGTGAGGCCTGTGTTGCGTGAATGCAAAACAAATTTATAGTGTAGAAAGTCGGACAAGGTGCGAGACTTGCTCCAGCAGCGTTCAGCTGAACGGGGGTATCTCTGCAGGTAGCATGTTTACTTAGTGTGACACGGTTGGAGGCGCGCCCTCCTTGAGGTTTGTGCTTGTAGCAGGGCTGCAACGTCTAGGGCAGAGGTGAGGGTAGCTTTAGAAGAGGAAATAGCTGAAGAGGGTAGGGATGGATGAGAGTTCAGAATGGATATCAGTCGAGAGCTGCTGGAGATGAAGAGAATTCAAATTCCTCCTGTGTTGAGAGGGATTAGGTTGAGGATATTGGGTGTGGGGGCACTCAAGAACAAATTATAGGAGGTGGTGGTCTGACAGAGGAAATGGAGTATTACAGAGATTGGAGACAGAGAAATGGGATCTAGGGTATTTCCAGCTACATATGTGGGAGAATTAGCCTATTGTGATAGGCCCAAAGGAGGAGGTAATTGAAATAAGTTTTGAGGCTACCGAGGACAGTGTGTATAGGAATATTGAAATCCCCTGAAAACTAGGAATGGAATATTGCTTGAAAGGAAGTAAGATAGCCAGGCATAAAAATGGTCAAGGAAGAGAGGAGGAGTACCAGGGGGCCGATAAATAATTGCAATGTTTGCAGATATGGGTTTGAATAAGAAAATTGAATAAATTTCAAAGGAGGAGAAAGCGAGGGAAGGGGGTGGGGTAGAGGTTTTAAGGAGAAGTGGGGTGAAAGCAGAAACCCTACACCACCACCTTTACTATCAGACTGTCTTGGGTTGTGTGTAAACTGTAGACCATCATTGGATAATGAGGCAAGGGTAGCTGTGTCAGAAGGAGAGAGCCAAGTTTCCATTAAAGCAAGTAAGTTAAGGGAGCATGAGATGAATAAGTCATGGATGGAAGTAAATTTAGTTATGTTGCACACAGAGCGTGCATTCCTGAGGGCTTAAAGGGAGAGTTACATGGGATGGATATAAGATTGGAGCGGTTTCTAGGGTGGACACAAGGTAGGTAGGTAGAGGCAGGAACCAGGGTTTGGAGAGACATCGCCAACTGCCAGGAGCAGAAGCATAGAAAGTAAGAGAAGGTAGGAGTGAGATTTAAATGTTTTGGTCGAATGTTTTTATTTTGAGGATTTACAAGGAGTTGGAGGAGAATGGATGGATAGGTACGAGTGTAGTGTATGGGCTGAACAGAGAGAGGAGGGAAATAAACCAGGAGCAATGAAGATGGTGTCAGTAGGGACAGGTAAGCAGAAAGAGAGATTTTGTTAATGAGAGAAGTGAGGGTGAAACAGAAAAATAGTAGAGAGAACATTAAGAAGTGTTTTGTTGTAGATGAGGAAATTATAAGGGCAGCTTGGACCATATGAGTGTGTGGTGTAGTGAAGGGGTAACTGGTCTGTGGTGTGGGAATGGAGGTATTACAAGTGAGGAGAAGATGATAGACATGATTGGTGTGTATGGGAAAACAGGTGATTTGAATGATCTATAAATGTAGTGAGTACCATGGGGAGGGTGGGAAAAATGTTCCAGATATGCTACCTCAGCATAAGGCTGGTTCCAACTGCAACAACAGTTACCTTTTTTATTTATTTATTTATTTTTAATCACACTTTTTTAAGTTGGGACAAAAAGAAAGATAAACTGGGAGGGAAGAGTGTATGTAGCCTGCAATGTGGCTTAGGGGACAGCAGAACATTTGTTAACAAGATAGTTAATATGAGGTATACCATAACGACATTTGCATTCAAGGGTTGACAACAAGTTCACTGGATTAGTTCTGTGTATAACATCCCCCAATTTAATTGATAGAGCTGTAGTCAATGGGAACAAAGCAGAAGTTATTTTCCAAAATTGGTTGGGTGTCCATAAGAAATTTAACTGAAGGGTCTCCTGGGGTGCATTCAAGTTGATAGCCTGGGCAATGCGGCAGCTGAAGTACTGGAATACGTACTCCGGGGATTCGAGTTTCCCTTTATCACTGAGCTTTTATTCAGGTTTATTAAACAGGTACGTTTTTGGATGGGAATATGAAAAGCACATTTGTTCTACAATACAACACCTTATAGATTAATATATTGATACGTTTACTGCATTTTCCTTGTATGTTTATCTCCAATCACCAATGTTATATATCTCTATCCTAGATAAAACAATGCAGCGCTTAACCCCTAAATCTCAATATGCTTCAGAACAGAGGAAGCCAAAAAGAGAAACTTCTGTAAGTTTGGTTTGTGTGTTTGTTTTTTATTTCTGTTGTGAGGAGCAGATAACATAAATTCACCGTTTTGTTGAGTTCATTGGATAACATGCATGTATTTACAGTTGCAAGAAAAAGTATATGAACCCTTTGGAATGATATGGATTTCTGCAAGAATTGGTCATAAAATGTGATCTGATCATCATCTAAGTCACAACAATAGACAATCACAGTCTGCTTAAACTAATAACACAAAGAATTAAATGTTGCCATGTTTTTATTAAATGTTGCCATGTTTTTATTGCACACACCATGTAAACATTCACAGTGCAGGTGGAAAAGGTATGTGAACCCTTGGATTTAATAACTGGTTGAACCTCCTTTGGTAGCAATAACTTCAACCAAACTTTTCCTGTAGTTGCAGATCAGACGTGCACAACGGTCAGGAGTAATTCTTGACCATTCCTCTTTACAGAACGGTTTTCAGTTCAGCAATATTCTTGGGATGTCTGGTGTGAATCGCTTTCTTGAGGTCATGCCACAGCATCTCAATCAGGTTGAGGTCAGGACTCTGACTGGGCCACTTCAGAAGGCGTATTTTCTTCTGTTTAAGCCATTCTGTTGATTTACTTCTATGCTTTGGGTCATTATCCTGTTGCAACACCCATCTTCTGTTGAGCTTCAGCCGGTAGACAGATGTCCTTAAAGGACCACTCTAGGCACCCAGACCACTTCAGCTTAATGAAGTGGTTCCGGGTGCCAGGTCCAGCTAGGGTTAACCCATTTTTTTATAAACATAGTTTCAAAGAAACTGCTATGTTTATAAATGGGTTAAGCCTTCCTCCAAAGCCTCTAGCAGCTGTCTCATTGACAGCCGCTAGAGGCGCTTGCATGATTCTCACTGTGAAAATCACAGTGAGAGTACGCAAGCGTCCAATGCTTTCCTATGCGACTGGCTGAATGCGCGTGCAGCTCTTGCTGCACGTGCGCATTCAGCCAAATGGCCGGAGAGGAGGAGGATCGGAAGAGGAGAGCTCCCCGCCCAGCGCTGGAAAAAGGTAAGTTTTAACCCCTTTCCAGAGCGGGGCGGGAGGGGATCCCCGAGGGTGGGGGCACCCTCAGGGCACTCTAGTGCCAGGAAAACTAGTATGTTTTCCTGGCACTATAGTGGTACTTTAAGTTCTCCTGCAAAATGTCTTGATAAACTCGGGAATTCATTTTTCCTTAGATGATAGCAATCCGTCCAGGCCCTGACGCAGCAAAGCAGCCCCAAACCATGATCTCCACCCCCCCCACACTTCACAGTTGGAATGAGGTTTTGATGTTGGTGTGCTGTGCCTTTTTTTCGCCGCACATAGTGTTGTGTGTTTCTTCTAAACAACTCAACTTTGGTTTCATCTGTCCACAGAATATTTTGCCAGTATTGCTGTGGAACATCCAGGTGCTCTTGTGAAAACTGTAAACGTGCAGCAATGTTTTGTTTGGACAGCAGTGGCTTCCTCTGTGGTATCCTCCCATGAAATCCATTCTTGTTTAGTATTTTACTTATCGTAGATTCGCTAACAGGGATGTTAGCATTTGCCAGTGACTTTTGTAAGTCTTTAGCTGACACTCTAGGATTCTTCTTCACTTCATTGAGCAGTCTGCGCTGTGCTCTTGCAGTCATCTTTACCTGACGGCCACTCCTAGGGAGAGTAGCAGCAGTGCTGAACTTTCTCCATTTATAGACAATTTGTCTTACCGTGGACTGATGAACAGCAAGGCTTTTGGAGATACTTTTATAACCCTTTCCAGCTTTATGCAAGTCAACAATTCTTAATCGTAGGTCTTCTGAGAGCTCTTTTGTGCGAGGCATCATTCACATCAGGCAATGCTTCTTGTGAAAAGCAAACCCAGAACTGGTGTGTGTTTTTTATAGGGCAGGGCAGCTGTAACCAACACCTCCAATCTCATCTCATTGATTGGACTCCAGTTGGCTGACATCTCACTCCAATTAGCTCTTGGAGATGTCATTAGTCTAGGGGTTCACATACTTTTTCCACCCTCACTGTGAATGTTTACATGGTGTGTTCAATAAAAACATGGCAACATTTCATTCTTTGTGTGTTATTAGTTTAAGCAGACTGTGATTGTATATTGTTGTGACTTAGATGATGATCAGATCACATTTTATGACCAATTTGTGCAGAAATCCATATAATTCCAAAGGGTTCACATACTTTTTCTTGCAACTGTATATGGGTGAATGATTATGCCTCATATTGGTTGCATGATGAAGGCCTTTGTTTTATTTCCATACTACCCCCTTACAGAAAGTTAAAACCGCTGGCATAAATTTATATTGCCTTTTTTTACATAGACCACTTGCAGACAACTACACACTTGTCTATCTTAACTGCCACAAGCTGCATTTTTCTGCAAAGAGGAGAAATCATGAATTCCTGATTATACATGGCTGATGTTGCATGCTATGTTTGATTACATTTTTGTTATTTTATCCTGTTACTGCGCAGTAGAGGTAGGGTTTAAAAACGTGCCTGTTCCTCATAAAGAATATAACGTTGTTAGTCTAGTGATAAAAATTTTAGTAAAGCCAGTGTTTTTCCTAAAACTCAATGCCAAATCTCAGAAGCTGCTGATCTTTGAAACTGTTAGAGGTCTAAACAGACAGACTGCTTTAAATAGTAATCTACCAATTGCAAAGATAACTTTTGTGACCAGTGCATAAAATATGACACTTGTCTAAAATGTTTTGAATCAAAGCAAATATCTACGTATACACAAACTGTACACCTAGGAATAAGAATGTATGAGTGGCAACAGTGGTGGTAGGGTATGCAAAATACCTTTCATGTTTTGTTTTTATGAGAATGTTGCCTACTTTGGTTAGGTTACACTTGTGGTGTTTTGAGCTTATTAGTAAAGTTGATTTCCTGCGTCTTGCAGTTCTTCGTCATGACTTCTTTCTTTGATTGTTCTTGCTGCTTGCAGAGTATGCTGTGAGTTTCAAGAAACCACTTCTTCCTCATAACCGTTAAAATGTCTGACATGTACATTTCCTCTTTTGCATTTATTTTATTAAACTGCATTCTAAAATAGAGGCCACTAGGATAGAATACACCACTAAGCAATATTATCATCTTACTTTAAAATCACCTTGGTGCATTTGAGCAAATACTCCATGATTAGTGTTTTACATTGTCACAACTGACACATAATCATTATTGCTAATTTGCAATTGAAAGGTGTATATCCAGTGACTGTCTACAAACCTACATATCTAGTGAAGTTGACTTCTGACTGCTGGTCCCCACCAAAACAGCTGGAAATACTACTTGAAAAGCAAGCAAGGCAGTCTATGATTTAGATTTCCAGCAGGGCCACAGTTCTTCTTTGCTTTCAAACAATATAAACAAAACAGGAGCTCACATTGCGAAGCTAAAACATACCCGTGTTTTGTGTATGGGCAGATATAATCATAGGTACATAAGGCACCGTACACATCTATTTAGTAGGCAAATGTATCTATGTTTATGTGTAACCACGCACAAACACATTACGTGGATGCTTATCTTTGTATGTTTGACTCCTTCTTGCATACTTAAATGTCATGAATATAGTCTTGTTTTTTTAATGGAAGGCTTGAATGCAGTTACTTTATTTAAAAGATTACTCCAGGCACTTCAGAAATTTAAAGTGATCAGGGTGCCTGTAGTCTCTTTGAGACCCTACACACCCTGCACTGCAGATACCAGATGTAGTAAATCTGCATTCAAAGAGGAGGAGGAGCACGGCAAGACCCAGGTCAAAACGGTTTGCCATATTACTGGGGAATGGGGCATTGATACTTCTACCATCGTAAACCCTTCACCAGATGGAGTGGTTATGATGAAAGGAATACTCCTTTTAGGAGTTGGGTATACATCATTAATATTTCAATACAGTCTTTGCTTCCAGAGTCGCAAGCAGCAACAGTCTTCTTTACACAGAAACTTTTCCTGTATTTAGGCAACCTTGATATCTATGCTGATAAGCATTTCCAAGATCTGTTTTTTTCTTTAAGAAATTGCAGTGCCAAACCATTAAGACCCCTGGAATAATAAAGAGTAATGAGTGAAGGAAGGGCATATGAAAAGATTCATGGTAGGTGGGAGAAAAGGGTACAGAGTCACAAAGGCATATATAAATTTGGATCTACCTTGGAATACACCAAGAAATCTGTCTACTGCTACAACAACCTAAACTATTAAGAGTAAATGTCAGCGGCATGGTTTAGGCAGCAAGGAGAACCATTTTGTTTTTTCTAGCTTTGTTCCGGCGAATCGGAGTACATAGCAGTAGATTCTATACTTTTCCCTCTGCAACATCAACACTTTCCTCTGTTATATTTTCCGGAAGCTAATGGGAAGAAACCAAGGAGCTTAAATCCCTCTTGGGTGAAGGATCACGTAATGTCTGCGACCTGTTGCTGTAAGTGCCTTGGTAAAATATGGCGGCACACCAGGAACCCCATTTTTTGACTCCTTGGAGGCTGCATAAACTCACCTCCATGGCAAACTCAGCTTTATCCTGCAGTTGCTGGGTCTGACTCGAACGCCTGGTACTACTCCGGAGGCCGCACGAATATGGAACATTTCTTCAATGGTTCCCAGTGTCCCCGCAGAGACCTAGATATGGGATTAGATGGTTTTTGATATCTGTTGTGATACAGTGCATGGAGTGGTCTGTGAAGGAGTCTAGATTTCTAGAGAGGCATATGACATTTAACCCTAGGGGGAGTATGTGTTGTATTCAACCTAAATTAATGTTTAGACGTAGGCCCCTGCATTCAGAGATTAGGGCAGGCCAGTGCTCCACTCCTCAGTTTACAGAAAAGTGGGAGAAATAATACCCAGGCCAGAAATTAGGACTGTCTCCAACCCATTGATCAGCTGAAAGCAATCAGCTGCAGTAAAGGGAATAAATGCCTCCCTGGTAGACAGGTAAATACTTTTGTTTCTCCCTTGAGGGCTGGAAGCAGCAGGCTGGCTTGTGACTGAGCACTGGAGCACAGAATAAGGTGACTGAGTACTGGAATGCAGAATAGTGACCGCTAACATGGTTGCTGAAACCTGTGTTTGAAGATAGGGACCTGAATGTTGTTAAGAGCTCAGACGAGCTAGGATTTTGTTTGTAGGGATTTCTGTTATATTATTCCTGAAGTGAATTTCAAAATTAAGTGCCTGAATTTATGTTAATTCAAAAGAAGGTCCCTATATTTACCCTAGAGCACCGTGCTATTTGCAAATACAGGATCACCCTATATATTTTTATATATGTATATATAAAATTTTGCGATCCCTATGTTTGACAGCGTAACTTTACAAAACACCATAAAACTTGTACATGAGGGGCACTGTTGTACTCTTGTACCTTCACTGAACACAAATATGAGTGACAATGATATCATCAGTTAAAGTGCAGTTTTTGTGTGAAAAATGCAACAACAAAAAATATTAACACTAAATTTGCCCAGGGTTTCTGACTTCTAAAAAAGACTGGACATGTATATGTGGAATATTATATTTAAGCTCAAATTCTAGGTTTTTATTTTGTTCTGAATTCAAGCTATATGTTTTTTAAACCGTAATTTACCTCCTTCATATTAAGTGTCCCCACACTTATTATATATTTTTTTGTTTAGAATGGAATCATAGTAATTATATATCATTTAAAATGAATGGAATATAAAAATAAACTGTGAGAAATTAAGAAATGTTATTTTCCAAGTTCTGCCTGGCATTTTAACTTTGAATGTCATATTTCTTTTACTGCAATATAACACACACATTTGTAAGCTGTGATGTTCCACGAGTACAACAATGCCCTCTCCCCCCACTACCATGTACATGTTTTATGTTGTTTTGCAAAGTTACAGGGTAAAATACAGAGCTTGCCCATTTTAGTTTATATACATTGAAATTTGCCAGTTTGGTTTGCTGGACATATGTTGCCTTTTTCAAAAGTAGGTAACCCAGGGTATTCCAAATGGCGAAATTAAACTATTTGGTCTCATTTAGTGGTTATATTTTATCTTGTGTTTTTTCATACACATGCATTCCATTTTGACAGGGAATTTTGTAATTCTGATATGTTAGTGCAATAAAGCTTCAGTATTTTTTGTCAATCTTTATATTGAAATTTTTGTTTTTATAATATCAATACAAGTTAGGTTACAGAAATAAAGTAAAAGATTTGTCACATACGATCATGAACATGTTTGTGCATTTTATGTATTCATCACATGTACAACAACCCAACATTGATACGTTAACAGGAGGTTGTGAAGTGCTTAAGGAAAGTGGCTGGGAAGAGCATGAGGTTTTTAATGTAACCCGATTGGGGTGATCTAATGTGGCTGTCTTCTAATTGTGCCCCTGGACAAGGGGGTAGATGGTGTCAGTGGTGCGGTATAACACTTCATACTGTAAGGGCAAAGCGCTGTGCTTCTGGGTGCCAGGGCATGTAATTACAGGCAAATAGACTCTGTAAGGTAGAGAAACAAATAAACTGGTTGTAAATCAAAAATTATCTAAACAAAACCAAAAAGTTAGATCCGCAGATATATAATAGGACCCTCAGTATAGTCTGGTTTCTGGTTGCGGAATCAGGCGGTCTGAAGAAGTTGGTGGAACTGTTTGCCCGGGTAAATAGTCGCATGTGCTAGATCGTTGGTCGGTAGCATGTTTGGGAGTAGATAAACCTAGAGTCTTAAAGAAGGCAGGTGATTCGGCAAGTGTAGATATTTTGTGTTCAATCCCATTGTGTGTAACCACCAGGAACCTGGGAGATCTCCAGTGGTATTCCACTTCCGCTGCTCTCAAGTGGCTGATAACGGGGTTCAGGGATCTTCGCCAATGTAGCATGGTGAGGTCCTGGTAGATAGAGACTTGATCCCTCGGAGGTTAGTGGTGTCTTGCCTCGGAGTGCTGACATCAGGAGTCTTTTATCCTGTGCGGTAGAACACTCAATCACATCTCGTACCATAGTAGAGGCTGCTCTGCTTGATGATGGTAAACGGTAGATCCCATCTAGGGTGAATTTCTTAGCGTGATTCGTTGGCAGTATTGAGGCTACGAGACGCCTAATATAGCGAGGGAGCTAGTCAGCTATCCCTCTAAACTTTAGGTGATTGCGTTGTGACCTGTCTTCCAGCGCTATGTAGTGAAGTGAGAGAGCTTGTTGTTGGGCTCCCTGCTTGATGTCTGATATGTCTTCTTCTGAGGCCTTCACCCTGTCAGTGATTGCTTGCATGTCTGCCTTAATAACTGCCATGTCAGCTGCCAGTAGGCTCTTTATCTCCGTGACCAGATTGCGAAACTCCCGCTGTGTAACAGGGGCTGACCCATCTGAGTCCCCCGTGTTGATTTGTACCTGTTTTGAGCCATTATGCATGGGGTCTGCTGGTACTTTTTGTGGGTTCATGTTCAGCCTTTCTCAACATTTTAGGAGGTGGTTGTCACTGCAGCAGTGCCCCTATGTCTCTGAACCCCACTGACGATTCCAGAGGTGGCCTTTGGGACAGTGGGCCCATCGATGCTAAAGCAGGCAAGTAAGCGACAGGGTAGACTTCTGCCTCGGATCCCCCAAAAGCTCAAAACCGCTCAGCAGCTCAGCAGTGCCGACCAATCTAGGCTTGGAGTGGGTCTGTAGGCCACAGACCTCTGATTCTGCCGTTTTATCTTAGCATAGTGTACAAACAGCAGAAGTTACTGCTGTGGTGCGTCCATTGTGTAACGTTGGCCAAGATTGGGGTGGATGAGAGGTGTAAACCAAGATTTTAATCAGCGTTTTGTATAGAGCGATGCAGAATGGAGTTTCCTCCGGGTCGTGGTTAAGTTCTGCCCCCAAAGCTTCAGTATTTTTATGTAACTTTGTGTCACAAATATAATAGTTTCCCTCATGTTCTGTTTTTTTTTTTTCATGTTTTGTATTTTTTTGTTGTTGTTTGGCATGACATACCAATTTAACACATTTTTGAAGTGTTGTATTTTGAGTAGTTTGTTTAACATGCCAATAAGTAGATACAGGCAGCTGACAAGATAATGACTAGCCAAGGTCAGAAATCCAAAATACCGGTAATCAAACAAATTAACAAAGCCACATGCAGAGTGATTCAATAGCTCAGCTCTGTATGGTGGACTCTGAACCAATCTGTTATGCCGAGGGTAGGAAGAGCAGCAAAAACTAGTCTTTAAAAACTCTTTTCTTGTAGCAAATACAACACTTTCTCTTTCCATTACTTTTTACAGGGTGTGGGGAGGACTCAGGAAGTGCTTGTCACAAAGTCTCTGTACATCCAATGATTTAAAAGAGGAAGATTGGGGGTAAATAAAATACCGGACAAAAGTTTTAATGTAAAATTTAGAAATGGGTATGGCTTTTATATAGAACTCGGGAAGTAAAATTGCAACCTGGCTTAAGTAGTTTGCATTTTTGTGTACCAGTACCTAGTTTTTCAGCTTACCAGATAAGGATGATACATTGATCAGCCAAATCTACTCCCCCCATATACTTGCTGCCAGAGAAAAGGCAGTGTTTACATTGCCCCCCAGTGGCCACTCCTCAAATGAGGAAAGCTCGGCTCCTGCATGGAGATGCTGAACTTTCCTCATAAAGATGCATTGACTCAATGCATCTCTATGTGGAGGTGCTGATTGGCCAAGCTGGCGTTTAGTCCCACCTCCTTGCCAATTTCAGACAATCCAATGCTTTCCCTGAGAGATAGCATTGGAGTGGCTGAAATTATTATAAATTCTAATGTCAGCAAGAAGGTAGGGCCAGCACCGGCAGACCCGTGCGGCACTGGAAATAAGGCAAGTTTTAAACCTTTTAGGGGGGCTAAGGGAAGGAAAGCCACCTAAATGATGGTTTTAACACTAAAGGGTCAGGAATACATGTTTGTGTTCCTGACCCTATGGTACTCCTTTAAATGCCCAGGTGTAGAATTTGCATAATTTCTTTTTAATTGGGAAGGATTTTCCCAATACATATGTTCTGGTCTGTGATATAATTTTGGGAAACTTTGTCAGACTATAGTTGGAATTTTGTAGAGTCTGTGTAAAATGAGGGTCAATTTCTAGAAGGGGACAGTACTTTTTTGTTAAAATTGAGGAATCTCCGCATTTGCTCGTAGAGATCCTGGGAAAAGAGGGGTTGCCATGATGGGGTGCTTTTAACTGTAGGACTTGATACTTGGCTTTTTAAAAATCCCCATTACCAGGGTTAGTGACCAAAAGTTTCTCATTTCTGAGACATCAGTGGGGTACGACATGTTTTTCCTACTGTAGTGTGATCCCGATTCTCAGGCAGATACTCGCTGGCATACAGGTTTATTTGCAGAGCCATCAGCTCAAATATGTGGTCTAACAAAATGCCTAAAATAGTTCTCTACAGTTGTTGCAATGCCAAGTGTATCCATGAATTGAGCAATTTCCGGTACTCTATTTTTATCTTAAGGACTCAATCTCAGAGGCCGTCTTGAGTGTCACTGTCTGAATCTGCCAAAATGGCGTAAGCCTCCTCCACCGTATAATAGCTTGCCAGGGAATTAGGGAATTAACATGAAAAAATGTCAGCTTGATCAGAGTGCCCTCTGATCACTGATACACCACCGCCTCAGATCAAAATGAGGAATGAGAAGCAGAGAACAATGTCTCAGCCAATGTTACAACTCATTGGCTGAGACAGGCTGTCACCATGATCACGTGACTTACCAAGGGACATTGGCTACAGGGTGACTGCCTTGGTTGTCCAGTAGACAGTTATCTGCCTGCTGGGCAAGTAGGAGGGCTGGAGGGAAGGCCAGATCATTAAGGTGTGCTATGCCACCCTAAAGTCTTTAAAGCCCTTCTTTTAGAGGACAGCATACCACACCCTATGTTCCGGAAGGTGTTGAGCAATAGTCACGTCTTAGTAAGCCACCAAGCCATTGCCATTTTTCTGCTAAGAGCCATTTGGATATTTATAACTTAATTCGCGGGCCATACAAAATTATCAACTTAAAAATTAGTCTTCTATATTTGGTCAAACATGAAATTAACTCACCCGTAATGTAATGACTGGAACTGCTTTTATTTGTGATAATAGCTTGTACTGATAATGTTTGCTACTTGTAGCTGCTTTTTCAGGTTTGCATCAGTCAGTCTGGTGCACAGTCGACTCTTTGCGATGCTCACTTCAGACAAGCTCAATGACACACATGCTCACTACAGACAAGCTCACTGACACACACGGTCCCAACAGACAAGCCGAAACTATTGCATTTTTTAATTAACCTTTTTTTTATTCACACTGATCCCTCCACACACACTGACCCATACACCAATGGACACCAACACAGACACACACAAAGTGACCCATACACTAAAACACACTGACACAAACACACATACAATGACCGACACACACAAATTACAGATCCTCCCTCTGCACAGTCTAATTACAGAAGCTGCCCAATGGCTCTCTAGGCTTTCATTGGGTCTGCAGCTGGGGTGAGGACTTTCAAGTCTCTCTCCTGCATGCAATGATTGTCGGCCGCCGGGATATGATGTCACACAATATCCCGTCGGCATGAACGTCTACTAATTGCGTGGAGCATCTTTGTGATGCCGCTCCTCACAGCTTCCGAGCAATTTGCAAAGTAAAGAAATGCCTGCTGACCTCAGCTTTATCGGCCCACTGGGAAATTTTCCGGTCTGCCAGTGGGACACTCTGGCCGGATGTTCCCGACCCCTGCACCAATCAAAAACCAGCAATGTGTTTTGGCTATTTTTGCTTTTTTTTTTTAATTATTATTATTTTTATTTTTTTTTAACCTTGCATTTCTAGAGTGTTATCCTGGGTTCCTTTAGCAGTTTTTCAGAATGGAACAATACTCTCAAACCTGTGAATAAGTACCAAATTTAACATCATTCTTCCTACAATTTACAAAACAAATCATATGCAGCTTTTATAGTCGTTCAAGGGTCCGACACCAGTAAATAACAGTACTCTCTGTATTAGAGTTTGTGTTCTATATAGCCATATTAGTAGCTTCAAAATAGAATTTCAAAATGCTCTTCTACAGAACCTTACATTTTTCCCCAGTGTTCAATAAAAATAGCCTTGTGTCTTGTACCGTATGGATGAAGTTGTATTCTAGATGGAAAGACTTACATAGCCAAAGGGCCTAGAATTCAACGGAGTGAACTGTAGCATGATTCAAAACAGTTCTTTGTAATGTTGGGCAATTACAATTTTATTTTTTTTAACAGGCAAACGTTGTCCAAGAAGACACTGTAGAAATAATGGAGTTCCAAACCTTGATGTTCACTTATTTAACTATGAAGGTAAGACAACATTTAAGAAAGAATTATGCTTTCATGAATAATGAACTATTTTCTAAATATTTATGGGGGGGGGGAATTGAATGGTCGAAGTCCACCAAAGAGTCGAAAAAACAATGCACTACTTCATGCTAAAATCCATAATAAAAGGTTACTCAATAAAATACTGGAATTATAGCTTTGCAATTATTATGTTATTTATATAGCGCCATCAAATTCCGCAGCGCTTTACAATGTGTATGAGATGTAGTTGTAACCAGACAAGTTGGACACACAGGAACAAAGGGGTTGAGGGCCCTTCTCAATGAGCTTACATGCTAGAGGGAGTGGGGTAAAATGACACAAAAAGGTAAGGATAGTATTAGACTAGTAACAGTTGCAGAAGAGGAATCAGTTGGGAGCTATTAACAGTTCAATTGATATGCTTTTATGAAGAAGTGGGTTTTTAATGATTTTTTTGAAGGAGTGGAGACTGGGTGAGCATCTAACGGAGGAGGGAAGTGAGTTCCACAGGAACGGTGCAGCCCTCGAGAAATCTTGAAGGCAAGCATCAGAGGTGGGAGTACGGACAGAAGATAGACGTAAGTCTTCAGCAGATCGTAAGGGCCTAGACAGGACATACTTGTGTATAAGGGAGGATAGATATTATTTTAGTTATGACACAGAGGCAAGAATTCTGCTTCTCAGTTTCTTTCCTCCCAAATAGCAGCAAAAAAAAAAACTTAACATAACCTGAAAGGGAATACATTAATACAAGCAAATACAGATACTAATGGCATTACACTATTCCACGAAGTTAGTACATGTACTTAAAGGAGGCATGAACATTCCGTAATCCTCTCTTTGATGCCAGAACCATTTGTAATTCCAAATTTTCCTTAAAACCAAAGTTTGCAAATCAAAATGCAGCAAGAAAAAATGCTTATCAACAGGAATAGAACAAAGATATTCCATTAAAGAAAATGAATACAAAAGGAATATATAATGAGTAAAAACTTTAAAGGGACAGTTTAGGCAACATAACATCTTTATCTAAATGACGTTATGGTACCTTATGGTACTAGGGCTGAGGGCGGTCAGCTGACGCTCTCAGCCTGTCAGTGATTCCCCATTCACAAAACTGGTTTGCAAAGCCTTGCAAAGTCCAAATTGCTCTGCCTATCAACATCCTTTCTAATGTTCTCAGCCTAGTTCCCCATTCACAAAACGGAGTGAAAAAGATACATGCCTTTTTTAATGAACTTCAATTGTGACCTTCCAGCTTCCTAGTCACTATTACGCATTTGCACACGTTGGCAAGGAAATCAGAGAAAAAAAATATTCAAGTCAACTGTTAAAATTGCACCGAAAAAGCTATTTTTCTTCTGGTGAAATCATGTGTCAAGTAATATGCCTTATATCTTATATCTGATTTTAGATGCAAAAAAACCTCAGTCGTCTTGAAGAGAAAGCAGAAAGAAACCTATTGCTAGTGAATGAAGAGAAGGATCACTTGCAAGAGAAGGTGCATAAGCTGAAACGTGAAAACTTGCTGTTCAAGAGAGAAGAGGAACTTCATGATCTGTTGGATAAGCAGGTAAGCATCATCCAAAAGCGCAAGAGGAAAAAAAGCAGGTTGTGCCAGATACCACACAAAAATAAAAGTCCGTTATGTATAGTCCACGGTATCCAAAGTTCCACTAAAATAGGGCTAGATTCACAAATGCATATGGAAAAACTAAAATGGAGACAAGTTGTAATGTGCAAAAATAAAATAACAATTGCACTGATGAATATTCACTCACATAGAGCTTATTACCAACCATATTGTTTTTATTGTGAAATAAAATATATCCCATAACAGGTGGGCATCTTGCACTTGCTAGAAGTGCCACCAGCAGATAATGCACAAGTCCTCTAAGACAGGGAAAAACAACAAAAGATAGTGTAATACTGTAACCTATTCAAAATTATATGCAAATAATGAGAAATACACACAATAAAGGAGCTTGTAAACCAAGCTCAGCGTATCCAGCATCAGGTGGTATAATCCCCACCAATATGTGGATGTTAAGCTTCTTGATTCTGGTAATACATGCAGTTTAAAAGAAAGCAACATAGTGTACTCCATATAGTCTGTAAATATTAAAAAATTTATACTCCTTTTTCTGAGTAGTATAACCTACTCTACATGATCAGCATTAGTAGTATGTTCCCCACCGAGGATTTGAAAAAAACAACAATGTTTTAGTAAGCCAAAAATACTTTTAGACAAGTGCATAAAAACAAATTAAAAAAAAAAACCTGTAAAATACACAAAGCGTTTCACTGACAATGGCTTTATCATCATCATCCAAAAGTGCACAGTGACTAAAATTATTTTGGACTGTATGCTATTACATTTTTATTATCTATTTATTATTTGTGCGGGATACAGATTTTTTTTCTTTTTTTCTTCCTATGAGTGCTATTGCATTTAAACATCTTGATTTTGCTGCTTTATGCAAAGAGGAAACTCAGAGCTTCTCTCCTCTCATTGTGAGGTGAATCTCTGGTGTAGATGGATGGATGGAATTTTACAGAACTCTGTACAGAGTCTGAGTGCAGAAGTGTTCACAGTTCCAGCTTGAACAAAGTCTTATTTTAACTTTTTATATCCAAATAGGAAGAGCAGCACAGTGTAATAATTAGCATTGTGCACATATAGGAATAATTACTTTGAACTGGAACTCTCACTCGTGAGATTTGGGTACAAACAAATAACAATTTGAAGTCTGCTGTGGTTTGTGCTATTTATTTAAAAATCTCTAGTTTTGATTTTGTATTTGTACAGCATGCTGGGTTACAGCGATAAAGTTGAAGTGCAAATGCATATACTACATCCCTGTAGAAAATGACCTGGCATTTGCATTTGTACTCGCAAATATAAAGAAACCTTGCTGTAAAATAACATCAAGATATGATATGCTTGTTTTTGTGGTGTATTTTATCAAGCCATTTGTGTACTTGGTGCAAAATTAAAGTATAGAGAGGGTTACTTACTAAACATTTTGAATTTCATAAATTAAAACAAACCAAAAATGGCAGATATATCTCCCCAGGGCAGTGTGTCTTCTAAAATTAAGGCTTCTGAACAGAATTCTCCAAGAAGGTTAACCACTTGACATCTGCTCCCCAGAGGGTGCATGTACCCAAAGATGAAAATTTTATAGGAAATAAAGAACAGAAAAGGGGAACAGGTTGAGAGAAAAAACAGAATTGGACATCTTAAATGTTGTGTCTGTTCAAGTGGATTTTTATGACAAACAAGTAGATTGGCTACTGCATTTGTCCCTTTGACAAGAAAGTAAAAGATAAACTGACTGAAGTGATTGACTGTGGGGAAGGAGTCAGGTCAGCCACTCAGCTCACACCGATATCACATTAAAAATATTCAAATACAATGGCACTCAAAATGTAAACCACATCATAGTGGTTAAAGTATCACCTTCTTTATTAATATCCAATACAAAATAAATCTAAATCACAGGCAGTAAAAATAAAATAAGCATAATTAGTCACCAATGGAGGAACATGCAGGAAAGACACATCCCTGTGAGGCTGGACGCTCAGCTCCTGTTGTCTCTCTTGAACTGTGCAGTACTAATTCATCTGCTGCGAGCATCAGCTGATCGTTCTCAGTCATTGAGTTAAACCTTGCACCACTATGTAGCTGTAGAGGAGGTGGAGAGCAGCTACGGTGGACACCAGGTAAGAGGTAAGACCATTCAGAAATGATGTGACTGCTTACAATGGTAAGCACTGGGTTACTCCTGGCTCTTTAATCACTACAGTGCAATATAATGGTTATCGTACTTGAAGTATCCTTTATATTCACATGTATTATTCTGATAAGGTGAATATGAATACCTGCTGATTAGAGCTCATAAAATTACCTTTAGTAGAATCAGTTTACAGGGGTGAAATTACTTTCTGTTGATAGGTTGAATTCCTCTGTGCACATCTACATGAATTGAGTGCAGTAGGTGCTTTCAGCATTAGAGGGCAGTGTTGACTTAGATTTGAGCTCTTTTCCTGTAGATAGAGCGTTAAGAATCCTAACTGCTTGTTTATGTAATTTTTCTTTGTAAATTATATTTTTCTTTGTATATAACATAGTGTGTTTGAGACACATTTTCTTGTGCAATTTAACAAATTTGTCATTGGCAAGTAAATCATTTAATCATGGAGTGGTGAGTAACTTCTAAAGCCTGGCCCAGGATTTCATAATTTAAGCCCTAATACAACACTTCCTTTGCCCGCCAGATTTTCCAATTTGGTGTGTTTTGTTCACCTAATTCTTCTCCCCTTGTCTGGCACTTGTGCTCTGCACACACTTGTACTGGGGTTTATTAACTAAATGGAGATTTATTTATTTTAGAAGTGACAACCGTAGTCCACATATTTTCAAATCTCCAAAGCTCTCAGACAATTCTCAAATTGTCATAAACTACATATCCCGGGCTGTTTGCATACCCGGTGTTTCTCTGGCTGTTTCTCTTCTCATTCTCTCCTTCATTCCATCTCTCTTCCTGTTTGGATAGCAACAATAGAAGCCAGTGCAATAAGCAGTATAGGCATTTTCTTCATTTGACAACAATGCTTCCACAAGTTCCATCTGCAACTACTGGTGTTGCATACCTTCTACTTTTATTAAAATGTAACATTTGAAAATAGTGTAGTTAACAAAAGAATAAAAATTTAAAAGTTATAACCAAAGTCCTAGTGGGGAAAGGCTTAGCTTATTGATGAAGAACGATCAGCTAATGCTTGCAGCAGATGAACAAGCACTGCTTATCTCAGGAGAGATAAGGAAGCTTTGAATGGGCATGTCTTTACTACATGTTCCTCCATAAGTGATTCATTATGTTCATTTTATTTTTACTGGCTGCCCCTGTTTTTTTGTTTACCATTTTTTGTATCCGATGTTAATAAAGAAGGTAATACTTTAACCACTGTGATGCCGTTTATATTTTAAGTGCAAGAGCACCATTTGCCATTTATCCATGCGTTCATGGATTAGAAGTTAGGAATGCAAGTCAGATTTTATTTTTATTTTTTTCTATTACTCTTATTAATATTTTACAAGAATAGAGCTGTGATTAAGTACAAGTATATTTTGTATTGCTTAAGGTTCCACAAAGCCTACAAAAGTAATGCATTGAAAAATAATGGAACTCAGGGGAACTTATTGCAAATAATAGATCCACAGCAAACAAAGCACCTTATTTCAATTAAGCGGATAAAAGTTTTTTTAATGACTTGTCCCTTTGCAATTGCTTTGATGTTCGTTTCATATTTAACCTTAATGGCAGAAGAAAATTGAAATAGTCCACTTAGCTTCCGCTAGTACACTTTTCATTTGACTATATTGAGATGATCCCGATTAATGTAATGACTACTTTAAAACATTTTGAGGTGCATTTAAGGTAATGCATTATCAATGGTTTTCTAATGCATTATATATGGTTTCCATTAGCATTAAAAATGCTCCCTTTTGAAAAGGGTATTTAAACACTAATGTAATCAGATTATTTTTTTTCTTATTCAAGTAAGATGTTTTATTAAATCTTTCATGTGTACTAAAATATAATGCTAAACAGTGATTGCAATATATACATGATGGCAATGCAAGTTACTGGGGAAACAATTGTTCATATAATAAGTTGTTTATTTTATACTTGATAATAAAAGTATTTTAAAGAAAGAACATTTATTATTACTTAAAATGTATATACTGAATAAATCAGTCATTATACATTAAAAAAAAAAAGTTAGATACAAACACACCCAATTATGTAAATGCTTATGAGATAAATGAAAGTTAATGTAAACAAAGCCCCAGTGGCTGATGGTATTCACCCATGAGTACTTTGTTCAGTATTATCCCTTAATAATGCTTCAAATACTTTTCCAGCCACACAAGTTAAGCTCACAGGACTATAATTTCCATGCAAAAATGTTGAACCCTTTTTGAATATAGAAACCACATCTACCTTCCTCCGATCTTCAGGTACAATTCCTGAAAGAAATGAATCTTGAAATATTAAATACAGAGTATTCACAATTTTTCTGCATTTTTTATTTTTTGCAGCAATAATTTGCTTAATATACTGAGGGAAATTTAATTATTTAAAATTTTGGTCTTTTAATGGCTTCATTATCTAACACACCCATCTGTTTTCCCCTTTTTTTTTTTTTATACTTAAAAAAACAATGTTTTGGGGTTAATTTTGCTCTCTTTGGCTATGAGTTTCGCATTTACCTTGCTTGATAAGTATTCGTAAGGACCCTGAAGGCATTTCTGACAGTACTGCTAACTAAAAATTGCAACATAATGTAAAAAGAATATCTGCATTTGAGCATAATGCCCACATACAGTTAGATCCTATAATCTAAAATGAAACTGCTGTAGCAATTTGTATCACTCTAGAACAGCGTTTCCCAATTGGTGTTGTGTTCCGCGGAGCCCCAGGGAACACAAATGGGGTTCTGCCAAAATTTCGGGAATCAAAATGACCGCGAACAGTGCAGGAGCACTATCTGCTGCTCAGCTCCCTAGCTTCCACAGCAGTGATGCTGGAGCCGGAATATGAAGTCACTCCAGCATCAAGAGGCGCGCAAGGGAGTTGAGCAGGAAGATCACTGCTCCCTCACCACCTGCACCACGCCACTGGACCCCGTGGAAATAGAGACTCCATACCAGCACTCCCAAAGGTGAAATAAAAAAAATAAAAATTGTGTGTCTATTAAGAAGTTTGTATGTGTGTTTGTGTATCTGAGTGTGTGTATATTGGGGGGTGTGTGTGTATATGTGCCAGTGTATGTTAGTGTTTGTATATGACACTGTGTGTATGTGCCAGTGTGTGTGTGTATGTGTTACTGTGTGCATCTGAGTGTGTGTGTGTGTGTGTATATATGTATCTGTGTGCCAGTGTGTGTGGCACACACACACACAGATACACACACTGGCACATACAAAGACAGATACACACACCTTGACACACACCAGCACACAGATATACACTTTGTGTCAAGGTGTGTGTACCTGTGCGACAGATACACACACCTTGATACACACACACCCACACACCAGCACATTTAATAAAATGGCGCAAATTTAATTTTTTTATATATCCTGATGAAAGTCTGTGATACAGACTGAAACGTTGATTTTTATTTTGAGCTAATAAAAGCTAAGTTTTATTCATTCAACTTGGAAGTCCCTGGAGTGCTATCTTGTACTTTTGGCTGTATCTATTTGCTGATAAGCACCGGGCAAGTACATCAAGGAAGGTGGAGTGCATTACTATTTTTGTTTTATATATATATATAATTTTATACTGGGTAGGGGGGTGAGGGGGTTCCACGATGTTTATACACTATGTCAAAGGGTTCCACAGGAAAAAAAATATTGGGAACCCATGCTCTAGAATGCTGATAGTGAAATGTCTTTTCACTCCTGTACTGGCCCTGCTTAGCTCAGAAATATTGGAATCAGGGTGTGTGGCTGCAGGCATCTGGCAGGACACAGCTGATGATACTGATAAACTAAAATGTGTAGAAGGGGGAAAAAAAGCATATCTTGCAGTTGGAACACTGAAGTTCAACCAGGAGCAGGAACACTGGACTATAACAACATAATTTAAACAGACCCATGCACATATATTTCTGTCATGTGTATTGTCGTACTAGCTGACACAATCTAAATTCCAAGGGAAACGATCATTTTTAATTCTTTAAAATAAGATTTTGCTTTAGTCTGTTTGTATTATTTCACATTGTATGTATTTAATTGACTACCCATTTTCATTGCATCTTAGGTCCTTCTTTGGTAAAAAGCATAGCTATCCAACCAAAGATTCTGCGGGCATTCATGAATCCTCCTGACATTAAACAATTACACCAGCATTTCAAAAACATGCAACATACACATTAAAGCACTTGAAGTTGCATAATGAAAACTGTGGGCATCATGGTAAAGCCCAGCATTAATGGCAATGTGTGCTTCTTCCATCTAAGTATATCTTTTCTATGACACCAGAGTCATCAAGAGTGGCCTCTGGTTGTATGGAGCTTCAGTGTTGTGACAAAAACTCAAGAGACTTTGCCTTTAACCTCATTGCACCTCAAGCACTGCTTTAAGCTGTAGTGGCTGTGGTGCTAGTGTCCATTGGAAAGCATTACACTTTCAAAATTACCAGTAGCATCCAGATTTGTTACATAGTATGCAATTTCTGTTCAGAATCTTCTTACACAACCTGCTCTTCTGTTCATTTATTTCAGACTGAAGCTTTAGCACCTTCTATAGAAGTCAAGGATACGTTCGAGAACAATTACAGAACATTTGCCACTGCACTCGATTGCACCAGGCACCAACTACCCATAAAGGATATTCATGTTATAGGCACACGTCAACGGTACCTAGGTAATATTATGCACACTTTTTTTTTGTGTGTGTGTGTCTTCTTCCTTTTAGGTGACGGTGCCAGGTTGACCTAATAGCTGTTGAAGAGATTAATATCACTCCTTCGGATTGACCCGTCTCTGTGCTTTCTGTCTGTGGTGGAATAATGATGCAAGACTCTTGGTTGCAATTAGTCCCCTTCACGGCAAGATTTTTAAATAGCTTCTTGGATTGAAAACAAAAAGTGTACATTAATTTGTTGCCTTTCTTCCTCAATGGATCTGTTAGAAGTTTTGAAATTCTGGGCATAACTCTGCACAGCCTTGTCTCCCACACTGTGTACACTACACTGCAAATTTTCCTTCATCTTGAAGTATTGTGTAACACTGCTCTGTCCTCCTGCACCCTAATCTTCCTCAGGAAGGCTGTATTTTAAAAGAAGTAGGAAGTAGAATTTGGGAGGGCAACCACAACATACAGCCCAGTTAAATCCCAGTGGACCTGATTGATTATTTTTACGGTTTAGGGCTTTACTAGACCTTGCTAACACTATGATTTAATGGGGCAATGCGCACTGGAAAGTTAAGTTAACATCTACAGTTCAGTTCATTGAAATATCAGGACAAAAGTGAACATTACAGATGTATTTTTCAGTAGACTTGAAACAGTACAGGTAACTTTTTAATTGACAATCACTTTTAATGATAGGAGTATTATTTATTTATAAAATATTTTACCGGGATGGATACATTGAGATTTCTCTTGTTTTAAAGTATGTCCTGCATTGTTACAATATGATGCAATATTACAAAAATACAATATATCTTTTCATGTGACAACACTGAAGAAATGACACGCTGCTACAATGTAAAGTAGTAAGTGTACAGCCTGTATAACCTCAAAATAACTCCACACACAGCCATTAATGTCTAAACCATTGGCAACAAAAGTGTGTGTGTGTGTGTGTATATACATACATACATATACACACACATATATATAAATTTTAATACACAACAGGAAATAAATATATTCAACCGTGATAGGTGCATTCTGTGCTGAGGTATATTGCCATAGATCTCTTAAAAGATTTTAGATTGAATGAAGATTTGACTTGAGTCCCTGAGGATCTTCACCCAAGAAAAAAATAATATATGGCACTTTGTTTTAAAGCTGTAATGTTTATCACAGATTATTAGGACTACAATCAGGTTGAAAACAGCAATGTACTTTGATTTTTCAAAAAGGCATTCCCCTAAACCCTGCAATGTAAAACATTGCAGTTTCAGAGAAAATGCAATTTTTACACTGCAGGGTTATGTCCACCTCTAGGTGCTGTCTTCTAGACAGCCACTAGAGGTACTTCCTGCTCCCTAACAAAGTTTCACTAATGCAAAGCACAAGAACGTCGAACGTCTTAAAATTCACCTTAGGAAAGCATTGATTCAGTGCTTAATTCAACAGGTAAACATATAACCACAATAGAATCACCTTAAAACACCATGTCTATCCACAATACCCTCCCAATAAAATAAACAGTTCACTTTTTGTCAAGCTTGTCAAAGACCCGGTCTGGTTGAAACATTGCCGTGTGTTTGCACCAATAAACTGCTGTTATGCTATCTACTTGAGTGCCTGGACCATCACTTTATTTACAAAATACTATTCAGAACTTGAAAAATAATAGAACTTTAAAATACTTTTTTAGATTTTATTCATATTCAGTTATGTTTCATATATAAATATTTGATGTGAAATTAAAGCTTAATGTCTCCTGAACAAAATTGTGTATAATAAGCGAGGGTGTACAGAACATTTGATAGTGTCCTAACCTCAACATCTGAGGAAAGGGATTTAGGGGTAATTATTTCTGATGACTTAAAGGTAGGCAGACAATGTAATTAGAGCAGCAGGAAATGCTAGTAGAGGTATTAGCAGTAGAAAGAGGGTATTAGCAGTAGAAAGAGGGAAGTGTTCATGTCACTGTACAGAACACTGGTGAGACCTCACTTGGAGTATTGTACGCAGTACTGGGGACCGTATCCCCAGAAGGATATTGATACTTTATAAAGAGTTCAGAGAAGGGCTACTAAACTGGTTAATGGATTGCAGGATAAAACTTACCTGGAAAGGTTAAAGGATCTTAACATGTATAGCTTGGAGGAAAGACGGGGGGGATATGATAGAAACATCTAAATACATAAAGGGAATCAACACAGTAAAGGAGGAGACTACATTTAAAATAATAAAAACTACCACAACAAGAGGATATAGTCTTAAATTAGAGCAGCAAATGTTTAAAAATAATATCAGGAAGTATTACTCTACTGAAGTGGTAGAGGTTAACACAGTAAAGGAGATTAAGCATGTGTGGGAATGGCATAAGGCTATCCTAGCTATAAGATAAGGCCAGGGACTAATGAAAGTTGGGCAGACTAGATGGGCCGAATGGTTCTTATCTGCTGTCACATTCTGTGTTTCTATGTGTAGTTGGTATGAAAGGTAAAATATGGTTTAACAAACCTATAACTCAAATTCTATTTTTTGTTTTGGTTCAGAACTTGGACTAGTCTTAGTCCTTAAGGGGTTACGAAAAGGCCAGATGCCATCAGGTAACTATATTAATTTTGTTTCCTATTTTCCGTTAACAGAGGACCTACAGAAACATTTAGAAACCACCAAATCTCTCCTAGAGGAAACCATATCTACTTCAGCTGAGGAAAAAGCTGAAATGTTTGGAACAATTAAGGAATTGAAAGACATTGTGATTAAGACTGATGCAGAACTTACTCGGTATGTATTACTAGTCGTGCTACGGAGATTTCAGGAAGTTTATAAGGAATGTCATTTGACAAAGTCTTAGACTATATTGTTTGTGGAAATATTTAGTCCTTGATATACATGATTTTTGCCAAACATGTTTTGCATGTTTATTTTTTAACCCCAATAATGTTTAGAAATCTGACACTCTTCTTACATTAATTACTAAAAAAAAATTCTTTAAGGTAAATGAACTGTCACTTTTGTTCACTTAAGTGCATTTGTAGATCATGGGACGACTCAGTTGTCCAGAATATGAAAGTGCAGTGGAGGTAAGTCTTTATACATATCTGCTGCTTTATTCGCCCCAATAAACTCTGCAGTAGTTTTTACTGGGTTGAAGAAAGAGGAAACCAACACTTCTACCTTAAAAATACAATTACATTTTCATTAACTATAAGCAACTGTAGATATTCATTATCGATCCTTATAGCTACATGTCATTTCATTTATTTTATAAAATATTTATCATCTTCATAAAAGTACAGAAATAGCATCTGGTCAATAAATTTGTGGACCTCTTCAAAGATATAAAGCAGAGAATAAGTGTTTCATTATTTATATGTGTGTATATATATATATATATATATATATATATATATATATATATATATATATATATATATATATATATATATATATTCGGGAGAATCTCCCTTTCTTAAGTCTAAAGCATTTCTGAGCAGACAACACATAACATTCAAAGTTGAGTTGTAAAACGGGTTAAAGAGACATTAGTGCAGATAAGACACAAGTTTGATAGAAAATAGACACCTTTCTAACAGAGGGTCATAAATATCTTGTGTGAAGATCAAAGAGTGAGGGGGAGAGAGAGAGAGGAAAAAAACCAAGCACACAGTGCAGAAGATGGTGCTAGAGGGGGAGAGTAAAAAGAAAACAATTACTTATATTAAGCATGCATTAATTTCCATTTGATATGCATGAAGGCCTATATCCAGCATACACAGACACACACTCACACACATACATATACACAAGTACATACAACAATATACATATAAATGCAACCAAAAGCCCAAATATATGTACATATACACATACATACACACACAAGCACCAATACATGTACCTACACATATACAAATGTGCCTACACATACATAGACCCATATATATATGATACAATACACAAGATCCAGTGCACTTACTTATCCACTAAACAGCAACTTCAGTGTTGACAGATTGTATTCGTTTTTTGTTTGTTTGTTTTTTAACACCTAATCTAGGCAAAAATAATGGGTTTTTAGGTTGGTAGGGGGGATTCCATCTTGGGCTCTCTCTAGTTTTTTTTTTTTTTTTTTAAATCACCTAATCTAGGCACAGATAATGGGGGTTTAGTTACATTATATGATAATACATTGCATATGCCTGCCACAACGTCCATGTACCCCATCTTTGGCAGGTTCTACTCTAACAGCCTAATGTCTGGTGATATATATATAATGTGTGTGTGTGTGTGTGTGTGTGTATATGTATGTATATATATATATATATATATAATATATATATATATTATAGTGTGTGTGTATACAGGGGCGTTTTAGCCCCGAGGCAAACAAGGCATTTGCCTGGGGCGGCAAAAAACGCTGCCCCCCCAAATGCCCAGGGCAAATGCCTTGTTAGGCTAACAGACATGCCGAGCGGGCGGGCGGCGCTGGGCTGGGCGGGCGGCTGGCGAGGGAGCTCTTCCTCTGAGCTGTCCTCTCAGCTCCCTCGCGCGCTGCAGAGTGAGGCTGGGAGCCGGAATATGACGTCATCAACCCGGCTCCCAACCTTACTCTGCGGCGCGCGAGGGAGCTGAGCGGACAGCTCAGAGGAAGAGCTCCCTCGCCAACCGCCCGCCCGCAGCCACTGGACCACCAGTGATATAGAGAACCTCCTCCCCCACCCCCCCACTCCCCCCCCCACAGCATTCCCAAAGGTAAGGAGGGAGGGAGGGGTAAATAAAAAAATAAAAACATGTATTAATGTGAGTGTGTCTGTGTGAGTGTATCTGCTAGTGAGTTAGGGTGTGTCTGACTGTGTGTGTCTTTTAGTGTGTATGTGTGTGTCTGACAGTTTGTGTCTGTCTGTTAGTGTGTGTGTCTGTTAGTGTGTGTGTCTGTTAGTGTGTGTGTCTGTTAGTGTGTGTGTCTGTTTGAGTGTGCGTGTGTATGCGTATCTGTCAGTGAATGAGTGTGTATTTAGAAGGTTGGGTGGGGCTGGCGTGGGGGGGAGTGGCGCCTGTGTTTTGTCCTGCCTAGGGCAGCAGGATACACCAGGATACACCACTGTGTATATATACATACATGCACATGAGCTCATACACAAATATAAATGTGCAGTCACATATATAAGCATACATGCATAAGAGTATGGGAAAGCATAGGTCTATCCATAGTACTTTGTATATTGATAGAGTAAACATCATTGGAATGCATTTTAAAATGTTTAGACATATGACAAAACAGTAAGATAATGCTGGGGGAGTGTTCATGTAAAGTGTTGGTAGTGGGGCAGGAAATCCAAATCAATATTTAGTCCTCTATTCTTGCTGTTAAACAATTGGATCATTCTGGCTTCAAACGTTTTTTTCTTTCTTGGGTATTTTTAAAACCCCCTTTCAGTACTTTGATTTTTAGATCTTTCAATCAGTGAAATGGTTGGGTAAAATGGTGTCCTACAGGAGTGCAGTAGGATTCTTCTTTGTTGTGTTTAATGGAGTGTCTGTGCATATTCATTCTGCCATTTAATTGCTGGGTAGATTCCCCAATGTAGCATCGTAGGTGGAATTTGGTGCATTGAATTATGTATACCACATTGCTGGATGTGCAGGAGTATGATCCTTTAATGCTGTAGGTTTTATTGTTGTGTGTGACTGTGTGGTCTGTGCATATGTGTTGGCACAGGTTGCAGCGGGGTTTTTTGCATTGACTGGTCCCGATTTCTTTATTCTTCCCATCAGTGGGTAGCTTCCTGTTGATTTTTGTTGGTTGTTTGGTGGTTGTCTGAATGCCAAAATGGGTGTTTCAGAGAAAATGTTTTCAGAGTCTCATCTTCTGTTAACATTGGTTGTAAGTCTTTAATGATGTACTGTATTTCCTCAAGAGCTTGGTTGTGGGTGACCGCAAGTGGTACTCATGTAGATATTTTTTTTCTCTCTGTACTGTAGCAGGCGGGCGCGTGGAGTTTTTAAAGCAGAGTTTATTTGTTTGGTAATAGTTTTTGGTTTGAAGCCTCTCTGTCTCATAGAGTGGGAGAGTTTATTTAGATGGGAATTATGGTCAGAGCATATGTGATGGTACCTAGTGGCTTGGCTGTAGACGATGCCCTGTTTAGTATGGGAGGGGTGGAAGCTGGAGCTGTGAAGGTAACTGCACATGTCTGTGGGTTTTCTGTAAACAGAGGTGTGGATTGTGCCATTGTTACATGTCACAGTGGTGTCCAGAAAATTCACAGATCTAGTGGAATGTTCCATTTTTAGTTTGATGGATGGAATGAGTTAAGAGCCATGGAATTGTATCAGTTTTTCTTCGCTTTCAGTCCAAATAATGAAGATATCATTGATATAGCGATAAACTTTGTATGGTTTGGTGTGCTGTATTTCTAGGAATCTCTGTTCAAGATCTGCCTTAAACAGATTAGAAAATTGGGGTGCCATCTTAGTACCAATGGGAGTGCCCATGGTTTGTAGGTAAACCTCATTGTTAAAAGTGAAATTATGTGTGAGGATGAATAGTGCCAGTTTTGTGATAATTTGATGGTTGTATTTTTGGTTGTCGACATAAGAGAGGAAATGGAAGCAAGCATTGATGCCATCTGTATGTTGAATGTTTCTGTACAGAGATTCCACATCCATGGTTACAATGGTTAAGGAAGACAGTTGTCTTTTATTAAGCTGTTGGTGTTGGTGACTAGAGGTTTTAGGGTATTTTTTACGATTCCTGAGATCTGTTCTGTGAGAGTTCCCATTCCTGTAACAATGGTCTTGCATTACCTGCTATGTGGATATGCATAATACAAGTTTAACATAGGTGAGCATACAAATCATGTTGTACAATATATCCGCAGAACTCTTTTGGACTAACAGTATTTTATTTTGAGAATGTTTGTTGATAAGGTATGTTCTATTGACAAGATTTTCTCCAGAGAATATCTGTTATATTATGTTCTCACCTCGATGAAAAAAAAATATATAGAATGAAAACTAGAACAATATTGACCTAGGATATACGCAGGGCTCTGGTTTTGTTTCATTTCTTTTACCAGAGCTGAACGCCAGTCCACAAGGTACTGAATTCTAAGGTTAAAAAACAGAACATGGGTTATTTTACACACAACATTGAAGTAAGCAAAGGGTTAGACTCCTTTAAGCATGGATAACAAATGGACCGAAGAATTTTTGTTCAACTTCTGTCTAATGTCTTGGTGACCAGACAGCTTGGCAGTATTAAAAGTGTTTTGTAGCTTTATTTGCCAAGTATTTCCCAAACTGCCCTGGCACGGGTTAAAGTAATATAAGTGTGTTTTATGAAGATAGCTGAAAAAGTGGAGGAGTAAATGCTATGAGGAATTTTTCAAAGATCATTTATCCGAGAAAGATGAACGTTTTGTTTAATGCTTTGCTAGAGAGGAATAAATTTAAGGAATCATGCTTTAACCCCTTGGTGACCAGACAGTTTTTCAATTTTCTTACCGTTTGGGAGCAGGGCTGTTTTTAAATTTTTGCCGTGTTTGTGTTTAGCTGTAATTTGACTCTTACTAATTTACTGTACCCACACATATTATATACTGTTTTTCTCTACATTAAATGATATTTCTTAAGATACCATTATCATCATATCATATACTTTACTATAAATAATTATAAAATTTGATGAAAAAGGAAAAAAAAAAAAAAGAAGAAAAAAACACTTTTTCTAACTTTGACCCCCACATTTTGTTAGGCATCTACAGCTGCCAAAAAACACCCATACTAAATAGTTTCTAAACTTTGTTCTAAGTTTAGAAATACCCAAGTGTTAACATGTTCTTAGCTTTTTTTGTTGTTGTTGTTGAAAGTTTTAGGGCTATAAGTACAAGTAGGACATTGCTGTTTCAAAATATATATTTTTAATATATCAATAGTGACATTGTAACACTGCTATCTGTCAAATCTCTGAATCACACCTCACATGTACGTATTTATTTAAAGTAGACAATCCAGTGTATTCAATATGGGGTATATCCAGTCTTTTTTAGTACACTGACCAAAGTCAGCATTTATATTTGTTTGTGTGTTAAAGATGCAAAAACCAATTATGAATGCTAACTTTGGCCAGTGTTTGTGACTAAGTGGCTACTAAAAAAGACTGAACATACCACATTTGCAGTACCTTGGGTTGACTTCTTTTGCAAATGGTATGCCATCATGGGGATAATTCTCATACCTGGGCTGCCATATGCTCTCAAAGGCAACATAACCAATCTGGCAAACTTCAATGTGAAAAAAACAGAAAATCAAGCCTTATATTTGACCCTGTAACTTTCAAAAACACTATAAAACCTTTGTTGTTGCATTTTTCACTTAAAACCTGTACTTTCAATTATGATATTATCGTTCTTATACATTTCACTGCTCTGCAACACTCACATTTCTGGTCAGTGATGTCTCATGAGTACAACGGTACCCCCCATGTATATGTTTTATGGTGTTTTGGAAAGTTACAAGGTCCAATATAGGGCTTGTCCATTTATGTTTTTATACGTAGAAATTTGGTAGATTGGTTTGCTGGGCCTGTTTTGCTTTGGAGACCGTATGGCAGCCCAGAAATGAAAATTACCCCCATCATAGCAAACCGTTTGAAAAAGTAGACATCCCAGGGTATTCAAAATGTGTTATGTCCAGTCTTTTGTAATAGCCACTTAGTCACAAACAGTAGCCAAAGTTTTTCAGATTTTATTTATTTTTTTTTTCACATAAAAACTGTACTTTCAGTGATATTATCTATCTTTTATATTTCACTGCTCTGAAACACTCAAATTTCTGCTCAGGGATGTCTCGCATGTGCAATGGTACCCCCTATTAATAGGTTTTATGGGGTTTTGGAAAGTTATAGGGTCTACTATATGTCTTATCCATTTGTGTTTTTACACATTGAAATTTGGCAAAGTGATTTTCTACTCCTCTGTCGCCTTTTACTCTGGAGACTTCGCTGAACACAAATATTAGTGTTTCAAAATGGTAACTTGTATTACAACAATGATATTTTTAGTAAAAGTTACTTTTTTTTGCATTTTACACACATGAACGGCACTTTTACTGACGATATTATTGTTGTAATACAAGTTACCATTTTGAAACACTAATATTTGTGTTCACCAAAGTCTCCTGAGTATAACAGTACCCCCATGTACAGGTTTTATGGTGTTTTGGAAAGTTAGAGAGTCAAATATAAAGCTTGCATTTCATTTTTTTCACATTCAAATTTGCCAGATTGGTTATGTTACCTTTTGAGACCGTATGGTAGCCCAGGAATAAGAATTACCCCCATGATGACATACCATTTGCAAAAGTAGAAAACCCAAGGTATTGCAAACTGGGTATGTTCAGTCATTTTTAGTAGCCACTTAGTTACAAACACTGGCCAAATATTAGTTTTTTGCTAACTTTGGCCAGTGTTTGTGACTAAGTGGCTACTACAAAAGACTGGACATACCCCACTTGCAATACCTTGGGTAGTCTACTTTTGCAAATGGTATGCCATCATGGGGGTAAATCTCATTCATAGGCTACCACACGGTCTCAAAGGTAACATTACTAATCTGGCGAATTTCAATGAGAAAAAACAGAAAAATTGAATGTGCTATATTTGTCCCTTTAACTTTCCAAAACACCGTAAAAACTGTTAGTGGGGGCTACTGTTGTACTCGTGAGACTTTGCTGAATCCAAATATGTGCTTTTTTTGCAGTAACAGCTAACAGTATTATGACATTTACAGCTAAAATTTGAGGCGGAACTACAAATTTTAAAATAAAAATACAAAATTCTGTTTTTTTTTATTTTAGTCATATTAAATTATGTTTCATATATAAATATTTGATATGAAATGAAAGCCCTGTTTTTCTTAAACAAAATGATATATATAATAAGTGTGGGTGCGTATAATATGAAAGAGGTGAATTACGGTTGAACAGACAAATAGCGCAAATTCCAGTTTTTGTTTACATTTTGTTTTGATCAGAACGTGTACTATTGACTCCGTCCTGAAGGGGTTAAAATCGTCTCCTGAATACAACAGAAACCCCATTTACCATTTTTGCAGGTTTTCTACAAATAGAACAGTACCCCTGCATAAACTGAAGGTGAGAGAGATCTTTGATCTCACAGAGTCACTGTGTGAAAAGATTGAGAAGTTTTTTTTTTTTTTGTTTTTTTAAAAGCAATTTTATTAACACTTTCAGTGCTAATCACAGTATTAACCCTGATCAGTGATCACCTCGTCAGTATGGCAAGCCAAACCTTTATAAAAAAACTTGAAATGCCTCTGGTCTTCGACCTAAATGCGGAATGGAACTGAAGAGGTTAATCCTTTAACACAGTTGAAGGAGTATGACTAAAGAGAGTGCAAGCAAACCTTAGGGGCACAATGGATCTAAATGGTATCCCTGACGGTTTCTTGTACTAAAACGGCAACCCTAGAAATAATAAAATATAACTTTCAATAGAAATATAATATAAAAAAGAGCAGAATCGCTGTATAGAAATAAAATCCAGAGGGGAATAACAAAACTGAGATATTCGCTGGACCGGTGTCGCCCCTGTTAGGGATTTAGATGGGTAAAAGTATAAACTGTATAAATTGACCATATAGCCTCCAACTCCTATCACCCAGTTCCACCGTGATAGCGATATCCCCAACCCCTCAGCTATAAGTAACTATAGCCAAAAATTCTAGGTGGCTAACTATCTATATACCAATAAAATCAAAGAGGGTGGCTAAACTTGGAGAGAAGTAACAACTCCAGCATAGTTCCCTATCTAACTCCTCCACCCTCAGCTAATCTTGTCCCGACGTATGTTTCGCCGAATGTCAGCTCTTCCAGGGGACTATAGTAATCAGTTGAAGGGGTATTATCATGTTTGAAATGTGTTTTCTGAAGAAAAAGGCCATCCGAGTTTTCGCCTCCCTGAACAACAATCTACATTTATGCGGTGAGTTCAGGCCTCTCACATTAAAAGAAAGTATTTTCAATACCATTGGTATCGTCAGTGTAAACCAAAAATAGCGAGGGGCCTTAAACACACCAAACATCAGCAAAAAGGAAGGAAAAGACAAAAGGACCCGACAAACTTGGACAGCTAGCACACCAACAAATGGTAATAGAAAACAGAAACAAAAAACATTCAGTAGCGACACCTGTACAGGACGGATGAAATGTGATTTAAAAAAAAGAAAGAAAGTAAAAACAGATATAAGAAAATACAAATACAAAACAGGGGAATAACTTGGGGGAAAAAAATCCCAAAATGGGGTGAAAATATATACATAAAAATTCCCCACCTCTAAAATATACAGGCCTAGGTTAGGGGGGGGGGAAGAGAGGACCAGGGATTTTTTTTTTAAATTGAAATAAAATATTTTGAAAAAAAAAGCAACATTGTTCATCACAAAACTGAGAAGAAGAAAAAAAAGAAAATTATCAGTATTCCACCCACACAGAATACAACAGTTTATGACATCCAACACAAAGGACAGGAATTGGAAAGCAGGAGCCAGAAAAAACGAAACCATGGATCAAGAACCAGGAGACATAAAACAGGAATCAAAGACATGGAAACGAGAACCAGGAAACAGGGACCAAAGAACAGAAGGCAGAGTCTCTTTATCAATCACTCTTAGTAACGAATTGCCTTGTTTCTCCTCATTTTTCTCGGTGGCTGTGGAGTCAGCGGTACATGAGCCTAGGGAGTTTCTGGATTTGGCCAATGTAGAGTTTGCAGAACTTCCAGTCCTTCTTCAGGTGTAGTAATCATGTACTGTTGCCTGTCTAAGCGGAACAAGATTTTAACAGGGAATCCCCATCAGTATCTGCTATTTCTACGGCGCAGTTCAGCTGTGAACTGTTCAGATTCTTTACGTTTTTCGTGAGTAGTCTTGGAAGACCTTTACATTCCTAAATTAGTTTGATAAATCTGAGAATCTTAATGCCAGCAGAAAATTTTCTTTCTCTGTAAAAAAAAAAAAAAAAAAAGTCTTGCTATTGCATCCCAGGGGCAGAGTTGGGTTTGGGGAGCCTGTAAATGCGGTCTATAAGTAAATCTGAATTCATAAGGTTTGGTGTAACAGACCTCATCACGGCTTTTAAATAATCATCCAATTCCGGAATCCTCTTCACTCTGATTTTGTTTCTCCTACTCCTGTCTTCAAAGTCACTCAGTTTTGTATTAGCAGACTGCAATTGTAATTCCAAAGATTTAACATGTTTAGTTAGGTCTGCTAAATCAGAAGCATGTTGCAGTAATGTATTATCCATAGTATCAGCTCTATGCTCAAACACTGTAACATTGTGCCTTGTTGTTGAAAAGTCCTCTCTAAAATCTCTCTGCTCTTGTCTGATCTCCTGTAATAGTTCCCAGATTTGGTCATGTGAAGTAGTGTATCCAATGTATTAATCTTAATTAATACATTGGATACACTAAATTGTCATATTTCAAAAAATAAATTGTGGACCCAATTGATTCCTGCTGGCAAAGCTCCGAGACCTGATGGTTGTACGATGGCATATTATAAGTCCTTCTCTAGTGTTTTGGTCCTCCATTTATCTAAATTATTTAATAATTATTCCTCATCTGGTGAGATGCCGGGGGAGGCATTATGTGCAAAAATTATAACCTTACCCAAACCCGGTAAAGTGCCCAATGCTTGTCCAGTTTTTTGCCCAATTTCATTAATCAACAATGACACTAAACTATACTCTAAAATATTAGCTAATCGTCTTGCCTAAATTCTCCCTTCCTTGATTAACTATGACCAGGTGGGCTTTGTTTTAAACCGCCAGGCCCCCGGATAGTTTGATGGTTCATAATGTGATTCATTAAATTAAATCGCACACCTTCTTTGCTCTTATCTTGCGGAAAAGGGGTTCGATAGAATTCATTGGGGTTTCTTGAGAAAGTTTGTCACGGTTTCACATTTCTGATTCTTTTATCGAAGTTGTGTTTGTTTTATACTGTAACCCAACAGCTCGGGTATCTGCAACTGGGTTTGTTTGATAGCTTTACCCTATCCAATGGGACCAGACAGGGATGTCCATTGTCGCTGCTTCTTTTTGTGCTGGCGATGGAACCTCTGCTGAGGCAATAAGGCAATGTGCAGATATAGAGGGCATTGCGATAGGAGATAGAGAACATAAAATTCTCTTTGCAGATTACAATGTTATCTCTTAAAAGTCCTTCAACCTCAGTTACACCGTAAACGTCTATCCTGCAAGAATTTGGTGAAATGTCTTTTTATAAATTGAACACTAATAAAACCCAAGCATTTTTAATGTTTTTGTCCAATGGCATAAATTGGATACTTTAAAATTAACTTTGACTAGAGAGATTCCTATATTTCTTATTTGGGTGTTAGTATGTGCAAGAACCTGTCAAAGATGCATACTTATAACTTGGCTAAAATCTGACCTGCTCTTAGGGATGCTATTAAGAGGTGGTGTAGTCTTGAAATTTCCTGGTTAGAAAGGATTAATTCGGTCAAGATGACTGTGGTAAATTACCAAACTCTATAAATTATTATGTACGCATACACATATAAACTCTGGTCCGTCTACTTTAACAAATATTTATTCAGAGACAAAACAACATACACATAATGACACACAATCTAATTAACTATACCAACAACAGCAACAACAACCTAGCTAACAATAACAACTAAATCTTAAAAAATCACCAGTTCCCACTCACAGTTCACCATGATAAAAATAGGCCATGTCTGCTTAAGGGTCTGCTCAGTAGCACAGCCAAGAAGAAACAGGCAGGAATGGAGATATGGGGAAGTGGTTACCTCTTTCCTGACTTGTAAAGGTATTGAATTACCCATTTACCATATCAAAGGGTAAAGCTTATCCCACTGTAAGAAAGCCATACATGAGCTTGGTCACATGATCCCTGGTCACCATATTAGTTTGATGACAAAATGTCACCACATTCCCTCACTTTTTCTTCTCTTATGTTAAACACATTTAAAAATAATAATATATCCCTCTTATCTATTTAAACTATGAGATCTGAAGTAGGAAAGAGGAGCACAGGAATTATAGTAAGTGAGATGAGCAAGGTGAAAGAAAACCGTCAAATAGGGGTTGCATCACCCCACATTCCCCCACTTTTAATTATTCTATGTTGCTCCATTATCTAGTTATCCCTCTAGTACAAGAGAACCTAGTCTGAGCAAAAACCTGATATACAGGAGAAATTCAACCCACCATCCCTCCGGAATAGTTCCCTCAGCGACATAAGTTCTCCTGTACTTTTCTATGGCCTTCAATTTACATAATATACAAAGTGTCACAAAAAAAACCCAGAACTTAAAGCATTAGTATATAGGTGGTAGAATTTAGATGAGTGTGTGTGATAAATGTTTATGTATGTGCAATGTAAAACTTTATTGAAGAATGTAAGAGAGAGAAAAGAAAAAAACAAAACTTTTAAAATATATCCTCCTTTTCAAGTTTCTTCCTCATCCACACAAAAGTATAGTGTTATAACTGTTATTACTTGAATGAACATGAGTACTAGCAACAGAGTTCGTAGGACAATGTGTCTCTACATTGATAAGAACAATCCTTTTTAATAGTGTCCTTTAAATCTGCAAACAGAACAAAAGATGGCAGTTCCCACTTCTTCTAATACTGTTAGCAATGGAAGCAATATTCTCCACCAGATGTACGTTGTGGGCAATCGTGTGTATCCACCGTGTCTTCTCACTATAAGAAAGTCAGCTTCCCCACCTATTTTCATAGCATGTCCCATGTCATCAGTGAGGGAGTTTGTCCCGCTGTTAAGTCCAATGATATTTGCTGAATTCCATACTCCCAATCCAGTTCTGACTCCTTCCAGAAAAGCTGCAAATATGTCCCGTTTTTCCAGACTCCCTGCTTTGCCTAAACCACTGGTCACCATATTAGTTTGATGACAGAATGTCACCACAATGACTCTTTCCGAAAATGTTATATTTTTTTTTTAAGAGTGATTCCCTTAACCATTCCTTATTTCTTTTTTTGGAAAGTTCATTCTGCCTCACTGACATTCATATGGAATAACAAACCGAGCAGGATTAAATTGGCTATTTTACAAAATCTCAGCACTAGTGGAGGTTTGCCAAACTTTAGCCATTCTTATTCTGCGACTAATGCGGCTATGGCACTTAAATTCAACCTGGAGCATGGTCGTCCCCTGTGGCTCCAGGTGGAGGCTACAAAAATGTATCCACTCTCATCAAAGATGTGTTATGGTTGCCTCCTGCTCGCGACCGCAGGTGGTGAACATGTTTCCAACTACCAAAGCCACGAATAATGCCTGGGATGTGTTATATGAAAAGATAAACTCTTCTACTACCTGGTCTAGAGCTACCCCCTTGTCGGTGTTGTAACCTGCATTACCTGATCTGAAAGTGGAATATTGGCTTTCCCATTCTGTCATGTGTATTAATGATTTATTTCTAATTCTTTTTTATCTTTTGACAAGTTACAGGCCAAATTTGGTCTGGACACCTCTGTGGACCCTGTACGTAGACAGATGGTTGATTTAATTAGTGAACATTGTAAAGTTTCTAATCGGGTCCTGGAGGAGCGCAAAATTGACGTGTCTACTCTAGAAAAGATTTGTCTCTCGGGTCTTTATCGGAAACGCACTCTCTATGTGCTATGTCTATTTTGCTGGGGAATGTTGTCCAAAATTAGACTATATGACCACATGGGAAAGGAAACTGAACAAGTGTTGAGGAGTGGCATGGGCTCCTATTGTCGCTACGGGGAATAAATAAGTCTGTGGCACTTTTGGAATCTCATTATAAACTTCTCTACAGATGGTACCTGACTCCCTCCAGGCTCTTTAAACAACATTTATATAGAACTAATACATGTTGGAGGGAGTGCGGGCAGGTAGGTACACTATTCCACATCCTTTGGTTCTGTCCTAAACTTAACACATAGTGGAACAAAATTAATAAACTAATACACACCATTACAGATCAGGTTCATACTATTACACCAGAATTGTTATTCCTGAAGAAACTCACAGATAATATGTCCAAGTCTACAGAAATAATTTTGACTCATCTCTTGATTTCGGCAACTTCAGTTTTCCCTCTGTATTTGAAGTCTGATACCATTCCGTCTATGACTGGGGTATTGCGCAATATTTTTGAAGGTGTGAGTTGGCCTTTAGGACACCCTCTGCTGACTTACTGAAACATGAATGGACACTCTGGGAAGAAGCGTCAGGGTTTGTGATGGCCTATAAGTTTTTCATTGGACCTCCACCAGACCGGATAGTAAAATATCATTATTTTGATTTTATTCTTTAATAAATATACCAACATTTTAAGACACATATGGCATTTTAATTTTACCATTGTTATATATTATTATTAAAGTACTGTTTTAATATACACTTAAAATATATTATTGGATGATGGTTTAAAAAAAAAAAAAAATATAGCACAAAGTACAAATGCTTTAGTATGTAACAGTACACATTCTTATTTTTTCAATTATTTAGTAGTGTAAAATTCTAAATGGTTTTATTGGTATTTGTCAGGAACCTCTTGATATTTTTGGATATGAAATGCCAGTAGATCCTCAGAATAATCTATATGTAGACATAATTACCAGATTTTACTAATTTCATGACGTAAAGTCATGATTTTATTAAGGACACGGAGGCGAGTATTATGCTATTCTCTTTCTTTTATTCCTCAGCAGCAAGAAAAATTTATTTTAGAGAAACAATCAACCATGTAAACATGCCCCAAAGGGCTAGTCCTACAATAATACAACCAATCAGCATGCCTTCAGCACTCTCAACTCCCCATGTGACCTTAAGCCACTCCTCTTTCTTGGTGTTGTCGACAAAAAAATCCATAGTAACACATCAACATGAAGGAAAAAAAGCAAAATGCCAGGACCGCCACAGTGAAAAAATCCAGTATTCTCTAGAAGCTGTGATCTTCCCGTAGGTCCTGAAGGAAATCCATGCACAACGGTGCCAAACCGGATCATGAAGCTGAAAGGAACAGAGAAACAAACTGGTAAAATATGTTTCTGGACTTTTGAACAGAATTAGACATCGGAATATATGCCACCAAAAACCAGATTATCCTCTAACCAAAACCTGTCAATACCTGCAGTGTGTTGTAGTAATCTGAACTCGTAACAAACTTACTGACCACTTAGCTATGGGAAGGCACCACTTACCTGCATCGGGTGGGATAATACTCACCTCCGTGTCCTTAATAAAATCATGACTTTACGTCATGAAATTAGTAAAATCTGGTAATTTTATTTAAGGACACGGAGGCTCATATTATGCTAGTTCAAAGCTGTGACACGACCACCTCTGAAAAATGAGAAACTGGCCGAAAATAAAACTCCTTGAAGGTAGATTCGCGGGACCAATCAGCCGCCCGGAGTAGGTCCTCCAACCTGCATCCTTTGGAGAATGCTTTAGTCGCCATGGCTCCCCTGACAGAGTGTGCTCCATACACAGAAGTGTCGATGCCTGCTAATTTCATAACCCACTTGACCCAATGAGACAAGGTGACTGTTGAAACAGGGTGATACGGATGACGAAGGGCCAGGAATAACTCAGGATATGCAGGATCACGAATCGAAGAAGTCCTGGACTCGTACTCCTTGAGACATGCTACTGGGCAGAGCTTAGAGTTATTTGGAAAGGCCGGGTAGAAAACTGAGGTGATTGACGTCTTCGTATGCCTGGAAATATTAAACGAGACACCTTCGGGGGTTAATGAACGTGCAGAGAAGTCCAACGCACGCACATCCGACACCCGCTTACAGGAGATCAAAGAAAACAGCATCGCCAGCTTTGCTGTGAGTTGTTTCAGTGAGAGATCTTCGTTCCTTGGCCAATCTGCTAGAAGCTGGAGGACAAGGTCAACATCCCATGATGAAGAGTATCTAGGTAGTGGTGGGCGTGCAAATCTAATGCCGCGCAGGAGTCGGCATACTTGGAGATGTTTACCAGCCGGGGCACCATCCCACCCTTGGTGGCCTGCGGAAATAGCCGATCGGTACACATTTATCGTGCGATAAGCTAGGCCATGGTCAAACAGAGAAGTGAGAAATCTCAAAACTTGACTTATAGGTGCCGATAAGGGATCCATGTGTTGTTCCATGCACCAACCACTCCATGAATTCCAGGCATGTAAGTAGGATTTCCGTGTTCCAGGAGCCCAAGCTCCCGCCAGAAGGTCAATAGTTGTTTGTGGAACGTCCGGGATGAATCCAAGTCCCCGGAGAGGAGCCATGCCAGTAGTTGGAGGCGTCCCTGTAATAGTAGGGGGTGCGGTTCCCCGTTGGGGTCCAACAAGAGGTCCAGAGAGGTTGGAATCAATCTTGGGTAGTCCATGGACATCTCCATGAGTGTAGGGAACCATGGTTGAGCCGTCCAGAATGGGGCGATGAGAATCATGGAGGTTCGGTAGCGTCTGAGATGTAGAAGCGTCCTCGCAATCAATGAGAAAGGAGGAAAAGCGTACGCTCGTGTGTCCGGCCACTGTTGGAGGAAGGCATCTGAAGCCAATGCCTCTGGATCCGGTCTCCAACTGAAGAAACTCGGTAGTTGGGAGTTCAACCGTGAAGCGAAGAGGTCGATCCCTAGTGGGCCCCAGAGTGTTTGAAGTTGCAGGAAAATGTCCCGCTTCAGCCGCCAGTCGCTTGCATCCCGTAGGTATCTGGAATTCCAATCCGCCACCATATTGGACATCCCGGGAATGTGTTCCGCCTGAACCGAAATATTGCGATCCAGGCAGAAGTGCCAGAAGTCTTTTGCTAGATCCGCTAACACCACTGACTTCGTACCCCCGAGATGATTGATGTAGCGGACCGCTGACACGTTGTCCATCCGTAAAAGAATGGAACAGTTGGTTGAGATACCTACGAGACTCCGAACTGCAAATGACCCCGCCAAAAGCTCGAGGCAATTGATGTGTAACTCCTGCTCGTCTGGGGACCATTTCCCTCCGGTGGAGATAGGACCGCAACGCGCGCCCCAGCCCAGCAGACTTGCGTCTGATTCCACGACGAAGTCCGGCCTCGTCCCAAAGATTGCTCTTCCGTTCCATGCTTCCATGTGTTGCAGCCACCAAGAGAGTTCTTCTTTGGCAGCACAATCGAGAGGCACAGAGTCTGAATAGGAGAGACCTGACCGAAGGTATTTCGCCTTTAGGCGTTGAAGGGCCCTGTAGTGAAGTGGGCCCGGGAAAATGGCCTGGATGGAGGCCGAGAGAAGGCTGATGATCCTGGCCAGTTGCCGTAGCGTTAGTGCAGGGCGAGCCAGTGTCCGGCGGATTTCTTTCTTGATGATCCTGACTTTGGACGATGGTAACAGGAGTGTCCCTTCCACTGAATCGATGGTGAAGCCTAGAAACTCCAAGACTTGGGAGGGTTGTACCACCGACTTGCCCCAGTTGATGAGGAAACCAAGGTTGCCGAGTAATGTCTTTGTCCAAATCAGATGTTCTTGGAGTAAGAGTGGGTCCTGTGCCATCAGAAGCATGTCGTCCAAGTATATAATCAGACGTACTCCTCTGCTGCGTAGGAGAGCGATCACTGACCGCATGAGCTTCGTGAAGCACCATGGGGCCGAGGAGAGGCCGAATGGCAAGCATTTGAAACGCCATGTGGTCTCCTCCCATTGGAACTGGAGGAAATGTTGGCAATCCTCGGCCATTGGGACGGTGAGGTATGCGTCCTGCAGATCGAGTTTGACCATCCAATCCTCCAAGAGGAGTAGGTCTCGGAGGGAGTGGATGCCCTCCATTTTGAAATGGTGGTACGCAACAAAGGCGTTCAGGAGACGTAAGTTGATGACCGGACGGACACCCCCACCTTTCTTGGGCACCACGAACAGGTTGCTTATAAAACCTGAAACCCCTGGATGCGTCTCTATGATTGCACCTTTGTCGGCCAGAGATTGTATCTCCACTGTGATTAGTGCCCTGTCGTGGATGGAGGAGACTATGTGTCTGGGGGGGGGATATCTGGACAGGTGTTTGTACAAATTCTATGGCATAACCCACTACAGTTTGTAGGACCCAAGTATCGGAAGTTAACATTCGCCAGGCATCGATAAAGTGGCCTAACCTGCCCCCCACCAAGGTTACTGAAGTTAGTGATGAAGGAAGTGGACTCACCATAAGGGCGTCGGCCATAGGAAACGCTTCTGGATCCACGAGCCTGCCAGGGTCTTCCTCGAACTGGGAAGAATGGAGAGGGCTTGGGTACCTCACTCTGGTAACGTGACTGGAAGGGGCCTCTAGAAACCCGGTACGAGCCCCGGGAAGAACGGCCGGGCAGACGGCCCCAATATCTGCCGGCCCCGCCAAAAACTCTATGGGAGAATACCTTTTTCATATTGGCTTGCGCCTTGTCCAGAGCAGTAAAAGTGCCCACATAGGTACCCAGCTCCTTCACAAAACTATCCCCAAAAAGAAGGCCTTTGGCCTGTGGCCCAGGTTCAGTGATAGCCAAGGCAACTAGCTTTGGTTCGATTTTAATCAATATAGCCTTTCGCCTCTCAGTGGCTAGAGCCACGTTGGCATTTCCAAGAAGACATATGGCTCGCTGTATCCAGCCCCTGATAGCTAGCAGGTCTATGGGAGCACCGCCTGCCAGTGCCGTTTCAACCATATCAAAGATCTTTGCACTGGGTCAGAGGACATCCAGGATCTTATCCTGGCAATGGCGAAGTGCAAAGTCGAGACCCTTCTTCGCCTTCCACCCAGTTTTTCCCAGGAACTGGGCAATCTTAGGGTCCACTATAGGGGCGATACATATTAAATCTGGGAGCGTGGGGCGTGGGCATTCTGCCCGCATCTTACTTCTTGCCACCTTATCAAGGGGTTTCCTGATCCGTGCGGCAATATATTTTGCCACATGGTCCAGCAGGAACCATTCAGTTGATCTTGGGTGCTGCAGACTATCAGGTTCGCCCTGTGGGTCAAGGAGGGTGAAGCCTTCCACCCCGTCCTCGTCCTCATTCCCAGACATAGATATAGCGCTGTGGTCAGGGAATAGTGTGCCCAAATTGAATGAGTCCTCATCATCAGACTCGCTCCATGCCTCCTCCTGTTCCGAATCTGACTCGGATGATTCCACTTGGGCTTTTGCCCTTTTCCAACTCCGCACCGATTTTGCCCGGTGGGTGGCTCTTTGTTGTGGTGCAACCACATTATCTTTGACAGGACGTTCCCTGTCTGTCCTTAAAGTTTTGGAGGCTTCCTCGTCCATGTGACGAGATTTTTTGGTGGCTTTGCGCCCACTGGCCTTGCCTGTAATGTGTTCTGTAGGGTCAGGGGCAATGTGCGTAGAGGCCTGTTGGGCGGCCAAGAGGGTATGACTAATAGAGTGGGACAGAGTGTCCGACATAACTCCCATGGCTGAGTAAACAGCTTGGGTTACGGATTTCGCCATAGTGGCATCCAGGAGAGAATGAAGTTCTTCCGAGTTCATTTGCTCCTGGTCTGTCACATCAGTGACAGTTAAGCCAGTCGGTCTGGGGACAACCTGGGGGGCAGGGGGCATATTATCCCTAATGGGGGAATCGCTGGAGGCCATGCCCAAATCCTTACTAGATTGCATTACGAAATAACACTTCTGCAGTAGTTGTGGTTAGGTACAAGAATATATGATTTATAAGTAAACCAAGCAAAAAAAAGGGGGGTGGAGTGGGGGAACCCAAATAAACTAATGGAGTGACTTGATTTTGGGCAAAAACTGGGTATTAGCAATGTATCAGAAGGAATGATACAGAAATACCCAAGGCACCATAAAGTAACAGACAGAATATGAAAAAGGCAAGCTCACCAAGTGTTCCCTGAGGAATGGCTCCTGGGGACACTGGTGAGCTGCCCAGCAACTGTGCTGTCCAATCAGCACACACTCCCGCCCTCTAGGTGAGGGGAAAAAACCTAGAGCCAGCTGGGGAATAAAGTGTAGAGATAGGGCAGAAGCTTAACAGTACACAGAAAAAACTAACAAATTTAAATTTAACTGCCACAAAATGAATAAATATGAGAAACACACAGGCAGCATACAGAGAGAAAATAAAAATGTACTTAGCTGAGGAAGGCAGCAGCAAGAAAGAGGAGTGGCTTAAGGTCACATGGGGAGTTGAGAGTGCTGAAGGCATGCTGATTGGTTGTATTATTGTAGGACTAGCCCTTTGGGGCATGTTTACATGGTTGATTGTTTCTCTAAAATAAATTTTTCTTGCTGCTGAGGAATAAAAGAAAGAGAATAGCATAATATGAGCCTCCGTGTCCTTAAATAAAATTGAACAAGCTAAAACCTTGTAACCAATCCCATAACGTCCTATCTATCTATAGAATCTTAAATCCACGCTTTAAATGGAAACTTTGTCAGTGTGGACACCAATGTCAAGTATAGTTGAAAACATGACCCCATATTTAAGACATTGAAGCAAGGCTCACTGTGTAAACGATTTCAAATGTAATGATATTAAAAAAATGTTGGTGGCAAAGAAGGTTGAAGTATACCTTTTAATAAATGTAAGGTTTTGTAGAACTTTGCTTGCTGTTAATTTCTTATGTTTCTATGTTATATTCATTTTTAAGTCTTGGTGGGATTTTCTATAAGTATAAGTGCTCAGAGCACCTGCCTTACGAAGACTTCTCATTGAACTGTTTCGGGAAGTCTGTGATTGGACAGCCACTGAAAGTCTGGGCAGGGTTAGAAGGGGAGTTTTTGCAAAGGTAGCAGACAAGAGATCTGCGGGTTTTGCAAACTATTTTCATATATATATACACACACCTAATGTAAAATCATATATATATACACACACACACACCTAATGTAAAATTAAATGCATGCAAGTTTTCATTTGGGATATATTTGCTAAACAACAATTTACAGTTTTTTTGTATTTGGGCACTGGGATGTCCCTGGAGTGATTTAATTTTTGTGTAGATCTGCTCAGATTTAAAAATATATAATATTTTGTATGGACAATTTTAATTACCTGTTAATATTTGTGCCAGTGTTTTGCCTTATATACTACCTCTTTGATGTTTTTCTTTCTGTGTTTTTTGATGCAAGCATGTTGTTTTCTGAGTGGAGAAATACTGTTTATTTCACTTATTAAAAAAAAAATACTTTTAAAAAATGCACAGATCACAGTAGTGTTGGTTCTTATGTGATCATGTGATAGATTCAATCATATTGAATAGAACTCCAACAGGCTACTCTGAATGTAGCTATTGGTTATTCTGCAAAAGAAAAATATATCCATATGCTTATCCTGCAGTGTTATAATCACCTATAATTTGGTTAAAAAAAATACAGAGCCTGCATTCTAAAAGTTAAATTAGCATGGACTGCCCTGTGTTGAAAAATATTGTGTGGTTATTACAAAATCCCTCTATTAGGTAAAAGGTGTTTGTTCCCTTAAATCTACAGAATAGATCATTTTGGACAGTTGCCAATAAGTCTGTGTAAAAAGAAGCATTTCTGTTCTTTGCCATTGTGTACAAATGAATTAACAGGATGTATGTTCTTAATCATGCAGGACATTCCACCAGGTTTTGGATTTATCCTTTAAAGTCAGCAAAGAAATATCTCTACAGAATCAAAAAGCAGTAGAAGAAAGCTGTGAACTGGATGTGGTAAAACACTGGTACTTTGACCAGTCTCTTATTTAGCCATGTTCTCCTTACCTTGCCTATTAACAGGTTTTACATAAAAGTGCACTGTGTCTCTTTATTGGTTAGGTGGGAGGGGGGTTTGTTTTTTCTTTAAACAATTGGAATTTGTTAAGCAAATGTGTTGATTAAAATCATGTTTAATGTCCTGTTCTTTAGTGTTATTACATGCTATCTAATTAAAAGTGTTATTCATTACTAATGGAGCATTATTCTTTGAGAGTTTAGTGTTGTTTTGTTTTTTCTGGATTTGAATTCTGTCTTACCGGAGAGAAATATGTCATTTCAGACCGTTCTTGGTTCTGTGTTTCTGCAGAAAAATGTCTAACAGGGTTATTCACTAAAGTGTGAATTGTCAGGGAAATCATAGTGAATTTCAAATTTAAAGCCAAAGTAACCAAACTGTTGGCTGCAATGGGAAAAGTCTCACTTTAGTAAATAACTCTGCAATTGTAGATTTGAATGGAGGGATAAAACCTACATACTCCCTAATTTAGTGCCATTTAGGGTGTAAGTTGCTTGTGTATTATTTAGCCCAAAGCACATATCTTTTAATTTGTCTACATTCAATTTCATCTGCCATTTTAGTGCCCAGTCCCCAATCTATCTAAATCCCTCTGCATTAAAAAGGATTCCTGTTCAAATTGTGTTACTTTACAGAGATGTGTGTCCTCTGCAAACACTGAAACATGCCTTTCACTACCTATTTCAAGATCATTTGTAAATAAGTTAAATAGAAGTGGTCCCAGAACGGAACCCTGAAGGGCACCACTCAACACTTTTGACCAGCTTGAAAACTTACCATTAATGACAATTATCTGTACTCTATTTAAGCCAATGTTCTAGCCAGGAACAAGAATTTTTATCTAGACAATGAGTGTGCAACCTTAAGGCTTCCCTGGACCGAATTGAGCAAAGAGGAATTGTATTGGGCCACCCATTAAATATATAATATAGTTAACGTATATAAGTAATAACATTTTAAAAGCCCTTTTCTTAATTTTGATATTTAATAAGTTAACACCCTTATTTGTTATCCTTATGTGGGATGGCCATATTTAAGGATACCAAATTAGGGAGATATCTACTAAACACATATTTGTATATATACTTGGCAAAATCCAAAAAGACCACATCCACTTCAACACCCTGATCTATACTTCTACTTCTTAGTAGAATGCAATTAAGTTTGTTTGGCATGACAAAGAATGTAAAAGCAAAAATATATACACAATAATATGAATAAATAAATAGGTAAAAAAAAGTGTGATCCCTCACACACCAAATGCAAAATACAATACAAAAAAGTGGGTAAACACCAATATGTATAAAAATAATTATAACCACCTGGAAAAGGTAGGCTATTGAAAGATCCTAGAAGTCACTGGAATCTATACAAATCAATAATACAACATAGCATAATATTGTATTAAAATTTTTTAATGTGAAGTATACGAAGAAAAACTCACAAATTCAGGCTTGTCTCCCTCCCGGAGGAAACACACTGATGTAGTTGCAAGATGTCACTCATATATGAACAATCTTCTAATAACGCATATGGAGAAAATAAAAAAAGCCGCAATGGTGAAGTACAGTTAAAACACAAAAGGAATTTATTAGAGTGCACTTACAGACCAATGTAGACAATGGGCATATCTCCACATGAAATGGACCTTAGATGGAAGCGTGGTACTGGAAACCAGGCATAGATGGACATAAACCAAAGTCAAAAAAATTAAAACCTATAAAAACAAAAGGATATGTTCTTGGTATATCCAACGCGTTTCGTCCTGCAACTTGGACTTTCTCAGGGATATAAGTTCTTCTCACCAGGGATGCTTCTTAAATATGCTGGGATTGATGGGCGATGGAATCCACCTGAATTTAGACGTGCCTTCCACCCTGGAACGCGTTGACACATATCCTGTGTGTCTTGCAGTGGCGTGAGCCGATTAATGTATTCATACGAATGAAATCCAAAGTTCATGTGCATGCGTGGACTGTTCGAATGAGTTCCAGCATTCGTGTGCATGCAAACCACAGATTCCGCGCGTGCGCACTTGTATACGAACACAGTGCACACGCACACAAGCTGCCAAACATACCTTTAAAAAAAACGGGGGGGCTGGGGGGGGTAATAAGAATTGGCGAATAGCCGACATAAACTGAACAAACAGATGAATAGCATAATAAACTAGAATAAATGAATGAGAAAATTCCTGAATGTGACAAGACATACAGCAACATCACAGAGAAAAATCGAATTTAAAAAAAAAATATACATCAAATAAGATCTGTAAGGTCAATGTCCTGATTTAAACCAGAATTAAGAGTTTTAAGGGTATAAATCCACTCTGCCTCTTTATGGGTGAGTTCTAATAATCTGTCAACCCCTCGCCATCCTAATTTTATTTGATCCATACCAAATGCTTGAAAATTTTCCCAGCTAAAATGGGCACATGAAATGCAGTGTCTGGACACACTATGATCTATTTTCTTTTTCTTGATATTATTGAAATGTTCGAGAATTCTGGTGTTTAATTTACGTGTGGTACGGCCCACGTACTGCGCTCCGCAACCACATTGTAGTAAATAGATGACAAAGTAGAGGCGCAATGGATATATTGTTTAATATACACTGCTCAAAAAAATAAAGGGAACACTTAAACAACACAATGTAACTCCAAGTCAATCACACTTCTGTGAAATCAAACTGTCCACTTGGGAAGCAACACTGAGTGACAATCAATTTCACATGCTGTTGAGCAAATGGGATAAACAGGTGGAAATTATAGGCAATTAGCAAGACACCCCCAATAAAAGAGTGGTTCTGCAGGTGGTGACCACAGACCACTTCTCAGTTCCTATGCTTCCTGGCTGATGATTTCGTCACTTTTGAATGCTGGCGGTGCTTTCACTCTAGTGGTAGCATGAGACGCAGTCTACAACCCACACAAGTGGCTCAGGTAGTGCAGCTCATCCAGGATGGCACATCAATGCGAGCTGTGGCAAGAAGGTTTGCTGTGTCTGTCAGCGTAGTGTCCAGAGCATGGAGGCGCTACCAGGAAACAGGCCAGTACATCAGGAGACGTGGAGGAGGCCGTAGGAGGGCAACAACCCAGCAGCAGGACCGTTACCTCCGCCTTTGTGCAAGGAGTAACAGGAGGAGCACTGCCAGAGCACTGCAAAATGATCTCCAGCAGGCCACAAATGTGCATGTGTCTGCTCAAACGGTCAGAAACAGACTCCATGAGGGTGGTATGAGGGCCTGACGTCCACAGGTGGGGGTTGTGCTTACAGCCCAACACCGTGCAGGACATTTGGCATTTGCCAGAGATCACCAAAATTGGCAAATTCGCCACTGGTGCCCTGTACTCTTCACAAATGAAAGCAGGTTCACACTGAGCACATGTGACAGTCTGGAGACACCGTGTAGAACGTTCTGCTGCCTGCAACATCCTCCAGCATGACCGGTTTGGCAGTGGGTCAGTAATGGTGTGGGGTCGCACAGCCTTCCATGTGCTCACCAGAGGTAGCCTGACTGCCATTAGGTACCGAGATGAGATCCTCAGACCTCTTGTGAGACCAGGTGCTGGTGCGGTTGGCCCCGGGTTCCTTCTAATGCAAGTCAATGCTAGACCTCATGTGGCTGGAGTGTGTCAGCAGTTCCTGCAAGACGAAGGCATTGATGCTATGGACTGGCCCGCCCGTTCCCCAGACCTGAATCCAATTGAGCACATCTGGGACATCATGTCTCGCTCCATCCACCAACCTCATGTTGCACCACAGACTGTCCAGGAGTTGGCAGATGCTTTAGTCCAGGTCTGGGAGGAGATCCCTCAGGAGACCACCTGCCACCTCATCAGGAGCATGCACAGGCGTTGTAGAGAGGTCATACAGGCACGTGGAGGCCACACACACTACTGAGCCTCATTTTGACTTGTTTTAAGGACATTACATCAAAGTTGGATCAGCCTGTAGTGTGTATTTCCACTTAAATTTTGAGTGTGACTCCAAATCCAGACCTCCATGGGTTGAAAAATTTGATTTCCATTTTTGAATTTTTGTGTGATTTTGTTGTCAGCACATTCAACTATGTAAAGAACAAAGTATTTCAGAAGAATATTTAACCCCTTCACGCCGTTACAGCGTTCTATGCCGTCCCGTTTTAATTGGGCTTTAACCCCTTAAGGACCAAACTTCTGGAATAAAAGGGAATCATGACATGTCACACGTCATGTGTCCTTAAGGGGTTAAAGCCGTTGCGGCGGCATAGAACGCTGTAATGGCTTTGAGCCCTGGAGCGCCCGGGATACTTACCTATTCGGCGCTCCGCTTCGGGAGGACTGCCTCGCAGCCCTCCCATGGCAAATATGGCCCCCTATAGCTGGCTGTGGATCTGCCAGCAGGGGGACTGTCTGAAATGTCAAACATAGCTGGTGGGAAATGAAAAAAAAAAATAATTAGACGTTATAAAATAAATATATTTATAAATATATAATATATATTAAATATATAATATATATACGCATATATATGTAACGTCATACGTAATGTATTTTAATATTAATATAAGTACATATATTAGTATTAAAATACTTAGAATGACGTTACATATATATAATATGTATATTATATAATAGATATATACACATATATTATATATATATATATATATGTAACAAAATACACTTAGAATAACATTCTATATATCTATATATAAAATACAAATAACCGCAAATATATATATATATATATATATATATAGATAAATACATAAAAGATTACATTAGTATACACATAGAATTTAAATACCTATAAATGCATATATATTAAAATGTACGTGTATATTTAAGTAATCTTTTAACATAATTATGTGATTTGATTAATTAAAATTTGATTGACATGCCTGACAACACAGGGAGAAAGTGCAGAGAATTTAATTCACAAGCACTATATTTGAACCTGTAACTCTCCAAGACACCAAAAAAACTGTACATAAGGGCTACTGTTTTACTCGGGAGACTTCACTGAACTCAAATATTAGTGTTTCAAACTGGTAAATTGTGTTACAACGATTATATTTTAAGTAAAAGTGATGTTTTTTGCATTTTTTACAAACGAACAACACTTTTATGGACTATATTGTTGTAATATGTTTTACTGTTTTAAAACACTAATATTTGTGTTTAGTGAAGTCTCCTGAGAATAACAGTACCCCCCATGTACATGTTTTATGGTGTTTTGGAAAGTTAGAGAGTCACATATAAGGCTTGCATTTCATTTTTTTGACATTGAAATTTGCCAAATTGGTTATGTTGCCTTTGAGAGCGTATGGTAGCCCAGGAATGAGAATTACCCCCATGATGGCATACCATTTGCAAAAGTAGACAACCCAACGTATTGCAAGTGGGGTATGTCCAGTCTTTCTTTGTAGCCACTTAGTCACAAACACTGGCCAAATATTAGTTTTTTGCTTTTTTCACACAAAAACAAATATAAAGGCTAACTTTGGCCAGTGTTTGTGACTAAGTAGCTACTAAAAAAAGACTAAACATACCCCACTTTCAATACCTTGGGTTGTCTACTTTTTCAAATGGTGTGCCATTATGGGGGTAATTCTCATTTCTGGACTACCACACCATCTCAAAGGTAGCATTACTAATCTGGCAAATTTCAATTTGAAAATGGAATGTTCTATATTTAACCCTGTAACTTTCCAAAACACCATAAAACCTGTTAATGGAGGGTACTGTTGTACTCGTGAGACATTGCTGATTACAAATATGTGCATTTTTTTGCAGTAAAATCTAACAGTGTTATGACATTCACAGCTAAAATGTCAGACGGAAATACAAATTTAAAAAAAAAATCTTATTTTCTCACAACAGGCCAACATAGCCTGTATATAAGTCGTTGATGGGTGTGTCTATCCCTCTTTCTTTGGTGTGTTAAATCCTGTAACGTCAGGGATATGATGAACTTTCCAAACTTGAACACTGGTAACTTGAACGACCGTAACTTGGATCGAAGCTTGAAGGGATCCTTTTAGCCCGACTCCCGAATCCTTTTATGCTAAAAAAAAAAAAAAACAGAAATAGGTGAAAGGTAGTGGAATTGAACTATTGTCCTCATATAAACTTATAGACCTATCTCTAATTATTCAATATATTGTCGAAATTGACTATTCTATGGAGATACCTACTATGTCTCCTAATTGCTACCAAATTCCCTTCTGTCTACGATACCGTCTTTAATCACTATGCAGGTTATTGTCCACAATGCCAAACTATAAACATGTACCAATTATGATAAACTGTCATCGATAGACATCCCATTATACCAATAAATAATGTTATCGTGCAAGTAATAGTCGTAAATATGTTGGAAATCTGCGAGTATATAGGGAGGGACAACCCAAACTCTATGGGGGGGGAAATACTCGCCTCCTGTCATTACTAAAATTAAGATTATAGGTAAACCATGTTAGCATAATCTACAATTTTACAACATGACAGGAGGCTTCCTATTTTGCATTTTTAACGCTGCGGTAACAATGAAAAAGATGCGTGTGATGTCTGTCGGAAGTAGAAAACCCTGAAGGTATTTTCTCTAGTCCAGTCCGCTGAGCACAAAATATCCGTTAACGGAGCTCCCGCCAAAAATGCCTGTGACGCCGCCACCCCGCGTACCGAATGGGCCCCAAAATTCAACTCGACCCCTGCCAGGGTTAAGAGCCAACATATCCATCTAGCCAACGTGGTTGTAGTTACCGGTTTGTATGGCTTGGTATACGATACCAGTAGTTGATCCGATCGGGAAAACCGGAGAGACTCAGTTACTTCTACGTACCGTAGAAGTCTTTTGACGACGCATAGCAGAGGAACCGTCGGAAAAAAAGGGTAGGACACGGATGTAGAGTCCGTCTTGGTCCTGCGAGACACCGTGAAGGTAACTCCTTCTGGTGTTATAGTAAAACCGTCCACGTCGAAAGCTGTAACGTCCGAGACTCTTCGAAATGAAACTAAGCATAGTGGAAGTGTCAGTTTAGCTGTTATTTGTCTTAGAGACAATGCCTCATTGACCGGCCAGTTTTGAAGAAATCGAATAACCAGATCTACATCCCATAGCCTGTTATACTTCGGGGCCGGAGGTCTGGATAGTTTGATGCTCCGAAGTAGACGGCATATCAAAGCGTTCTGACCTATTGGTGTTCCGTTTATCGAGATGGCGGATCGAGTAATGTTAATAGAACGGTATGCTTTCCCTTCGGTGAATAAATTGGACAGACAATTTAGAATGTAGGAAATAGGTGCTGTAAAGGGATCGAGGTCCCTTTCCATGCACCAGCAATTCCATGTATTCCATGTTGATATGTAGCTGCGTCTAGTGCCAGGTGCCCATGAGTCCCATAGTAGGTCTCTAGTTGTCTGCAATAGGCCTGCGACGCTCCAGGATCCCCGGAAAGACTCCAGGCCACTAGTTCCAACCGTTCCTGTGTTATTAGTGGGTGAGGTTCCCCTTCCCGATTCGTTAGGAGGAGTGGGAACACTGGTAAGACTAGTGGATGGTCTTGTGACAGTGCTAGTAGGTCTGGAAACCATGCTTGGCTCTTCCACAATGGTGTGATCAGTATCAGCGATGTCCTTGCTCCGCGTAGTTGGTGGAGGACTCTTGCCAGCATTGAGAACGGCGGGAATGTGTACTCCCCTTTCGGTGGCCATTGTTGTAAGAACGCGTCCACCGCTTCGCTCTGTGGGTCCGGGAGCCAACTGTAGAACTTCGGTAGTTGTGTGTTTGTGATGCGAAGAGGTTTATGTGCAGGGGACCTCTTAGCGTCCTCACCCTGTGGAAGATAGCGTTGTCTAGGCGCCAATCGCTGCTGTCTCTCCAATGTCGAGAGAACCAGTCCGCCGTGAGGTTGTTGACCAGTCTGCCTTGATCGTGATGTTGTGGGGAAGGCAAAACCGATAATGTCCCTCGTCGCTTCTGTCAGGGCTCGCGATCTGGCTCTGCCCAGATGCTTTATGTACTGGACTGCTGATATGTTGTCCATGCGTAAAAGTATGCAGCAGTTGGACATGTGCATGGCCAGACTCCGTATCGCAAAGGAGCCCACTATCAACTCTAGGCAATTGATGTGTAGGAGTTTTTCTTCCTCTGACCACGGGCCTCAGGTGGATGCCTGCGAGCAGTGGGCTCCCCAGCCCCATAGGCTGGCGTCCGACTCCAGAACAAAGTCCGGGTTTGGTCCGAATATGGCTCTGCCGTTCCAGTCCTCCATGGGGAAGAGCCACCACTGGACTTCTGTCCACACTTCTGCTGATACTGGAATCCAGTGGTCGTATGTATGTCCCTGTCTCAAGTGGTGGGCCTTCGCTCGTTGCATGGGCCGATAATGGAGTGGTCCCGGGAAGATCGCTTGTATGGAAGATGATAATAAGCCTACCATTCTGGCCAGAAGGCAGAGTGATATTGAGTCTTTTCAGAGTACCCGGCGTATCTCTTTTCGTATTGTCGCAATTTTCGCCATGGGTAGTCGCAGGGTGCACGTTCTCGAGTCTATTTCGAACCCCAGAAATTGTACCACCTTGGCTGGGTGAAGCGATGATTTTTCTCTGTTTACGATGAAGCCCACTGATTCCAGCAATTGCACTATGAATTATGTTTGAGATCACAGTCTGGATGCAGTCTCACAGAATATCAGAATGTCGTCCAGATATATTAGGCAACGGATGCCCATCCCCCTCAGGTATGCCATCACCAGCTTCATGAGATTTGTAAAGCACTATGGTGCTGAGCTGAGGCTGAATGGGAGACAAGTAAATTGGCAAGTAAGGTTTTTCCAGGTGAAACGGAGGAAAGGTCGGCTGACGTGGGCGATCGGTACCGAAAGATAGGCGTCTTTTAAGTCTAGCCGAGTGAACCAGTCGTGATTTTGTAATAGATCTCTGAGGAGGTGGATACCCTCCATTTTGAAATGCCGGTAGGTAACGAATCCGTTCAGTTGTCGTAGGTCTGTAGTCTCCCGTTTTCTTTTGAACCACGAAGATGTTGCTGAAGAAGCCCATATCGTCCGGGGCGATCTCCACAGCCCCTTTGTCGAATAGGGCCTGAATCTTGTTGTCGGTGAGTTCGGTGTGATGTGCCAACGCCCTTATTGGTGGAGGGCAACGTTTCTGCACCGGGGTGTCTGAAAACTCGATCTTGTAGCCCACTACCGTATGTAGGATCCAGTTGTCCGAGGATATCTTTCCCCATTCCTGTGAAAAGAGACAGTCTGCCTGCAGTCATATGAGAGAATAAAAACGTCGTGTTGGGGTTGCTCACCTGCATTGAAGTGTCCGCGGGTGCGGGTACCTCTGGAACGGAAAGACCCTTGTTGGAAGTTGGTTCTTGCCGACGGGAAGAACGCTTGAGGCGTTTGGTTTCTGGGGCCTGTGGGCCAGAATCGGCTGGTGGCTCGACCCCTTTAGCGACCAGCCCTGCCAAAAACTCCACGGTGTGGTGTGGTGTTGCGAAACACTTGTTTGATGGACGTCTGTGCCTTATTTAGTTTAGTGAAGAGATTCACATGCTTTTTCAGCTCTGTTATAAATTAGTCCCCGAAGAGCTGGCCTTTTGCCAGTGGTCCCATCTCTTTCTTTCCCAACGCCATTAGTTTGGAGTCCATTTTCAGCAACGCTGCTCTGCGCACATTGCCGCATTAGTGTTGCCCAGTATACAGATAGCCCGTTGCGCCCATTCTCGTATAACGTGGGCGTCTGTGTTGCGCCCTGGGAGAGTGATAGGTCGGCTAGGTATAGTATCTTTGCCAGAGGGCCTAGTATGTCCAGGGGCTTGTCCTGAGATTCCTTCAGACCCGTAGCCTTGCCCTCACTTCTTTTTCCATCGGCTTTCTTAGCCAGAAATGGATGAACTGAGCCAGGTGATCTGGCAAGCCCCATTCTGACGATCATGGGTGTCGGATCGTGCGGGGATCGAACATGGTTGCCCCTTGAGGGTCTATAAAGGTGCCTTCTTCTCGTTTGTCCCGTGAATGATGAGCATTCTCCTGTTCAAAGTACGTGTCTTGGTCGTACTCTATATCATCCCTTGGGATATCCTGCCACTCCTCTTCTTCCGATAGCAAAGCCTCCGCTTTCCACTCATCCATAATTTCGAGTGACAGCAGGGTTGTGGTGGTCGTCCTCCGAGGACGGGGTGCATGGTGGTAATGGTCCCCTTCTTTCTGCCTGATGGCTCCCTTTCAACAGAGCTTTGCCTTTAGGTTTTTGGTTGCCTGAGCCGGCGCCCTTCCATTGCCGCTTTATGGCGGGGAGGTCTCTGGGGAAGGTAGACTCTTTCGGTTCCGTGGTTGGTTCGGTGGCAGTGTCAGTTCTGGGGTTCTGCACCAGTAGTTTGGCAATAGCCTTTTCCACTGAGGCGGCCACCGAGTTAATCATCGACTGTAAGTCAGACGGTGGTGAGTTAGGTGAGTCACTCATCGTGAGGCAGTGGGGTATTCTGTCTGTGGAAGACAGGAGAATGTCAGGTAGCGAAGTATGTGAAATTTAATACATTAGGCTTCCACTTACGACTGGGGGTCACCCAGCGTTACTTGCCCCTTGTGGTTTGGAGAGGGGGTCACCCTCTGTGCGACTGGGATGAGCGGTCGTATAAATGGGCCGCACCCGTGAGGGGTGGAGGGTCTATTTGATTAGGGGTCAAGTGGTATGAGAAGGGGGTCACCCTCTGTGAGACCGGGATGAGCGGTCGTTTAAATGGGCCGCACCCGTCTGGGTGGAGGGCCTGTGGTTTGGGGTTCACCCAACACTGTTTGAATTGTGGAGCCTGTTTACTGGCAATTTTCCACCCTCCTTGGTAAGGAGGTATTTGGATCACCCCAGCTGTATTGTGGGTACCATGCATAGAGTCATGTATATATTATAATGATATAGCAGGGTATGAGCCTGCTTGCACTGCGATTCTTGAGCCTGTGGGGGTCGCCCATTGAAGAGGGTCCCTCTGGGTAAATTCTGCACTGAGTGCAATGCGGCTCTGCTTGGGGTCACCCAGCGTAAGGGGGGTCACCCCCTATAATAATAATAATGGCAGTAACGTGAGTGGGGGGTTACCCCTGAATGAGAGGTGTCACTTCTGTATAACCACTTAGCAGCAGTGCAATGTACCACATATATTCCAGGTGTTCACAATAAGGATCGAGTAAAACTGTAAAACTGTCTTTGCCTTTAAATATATATCTGTGAGTGCTGAGCGGATCGTGTGAATCACGACCGCAAGGGGCACAAATGGCCGTCGTGGGTCTCGCAGGTGCGAGATCCAAGATGGCCGCCGTTCACGCCAAAATGGCAGCGCGGTTCACGAAACCGATCGCGGCCCGCCGCCGTGAATAGGGCCGCGCAGGGAAGAATTCCAGCGGCCAAAACCCTCAGACTTCCCTTCCCACCTCCCAGGGAACCCCTATGCCAATTCAGTGCCCCGAAAAAACGTGCGCGGTCGCTGTAAAATGCCGCGATCGCGGGTGGGGCAGATAGAAAGAGGATGCAGTACAGGGTAGAGAGGATAGGGAGGGTTGAGGGTGAAAACAATAGTTTAATATATGGAAAAGCAATGCAGTATATCAAACAGTAATATGTAGTAACTCTGAATGAATCACTCTGAACTGTGTCTGTCTTGAAGCAGCAAAGAAAGAGGGATAGACACACCCATCAAGGACTTATATACATGCTATGTTGGCCTATGATTGGTTAAAAGTTTTGATTGATTGTCTTGTGCTGCTGGAGGCGTAAGTAAAGAAAGTTATGCAAAATAGGAAGCCTCCTGTCATGTTGTAAAATTACGGTTGAACAGAAATATAGCGCAAATTCCAGTTTTTGTTTACGTTTTGATCAGACCGTGCACTATTGACTCCGTCCTGAAGGGGTTAATTCATTCAGATCTAGGATGTGTTATTTTTGTGTTCCCTTTATTTTTTTGAGCAGTGTATGTTTTGTGAGTATAAGTCCCAACAAAGCTCAACATTTTTCTTTTTTGATATTTGCACGTGGAACAATGTCAACAAAAAACAAAACAGATTTGAGTATGAGCTAAATTATTAGTAACTTTTTTAGAAGGAAGAAGACTGGGGGCTAGTTTGCTCTTCAAGTTAGTTGCTTTTTTTAAAATAACTGTCGGAGAATTAGGTAAAATATCCTTATGAAAATCATCTCTTTTGAGAATGTACCAATTATGTTTTTAGACCTTTTTCTATTTTCTTTGCTTGTGTGTTGTATTGAGTAAGAAAAAAAAAATAGAAATTTTGTGTTATTATTTTTAAAGTATCATTTGCTATGTCTATCCTCCAGATATGTAGCTCTGTTAGTGTTCAGTACCGTCTGTTCATCCATCTCAATTCTATCTTTATTATAACCATTTTCAAGGTAGCAATTTTTGATGATACGAGCTTGTTTTGCAAATGTATGATCGTCTGAACAGTTTCTTCTGAGACAGATCAACTGACTTTTAGGGATGTTAGCTAACCAGGAAGGGTGATGGGAACTAGTATGTTCTATAGCTGTATTACAGGCAGTGGCTTTAAAATACGTTTTTGTTTTTAATTGATTGCTGTCTATGTAAATGGTTAAATCCAAAAAAATCTATAGATGTATTACTTGAATTAGATGTAAACTTTAAGTTATAATCATTATTATTAATAAATTAAAAAATTGGTTGTCAAACCAGAACACAATCAATGCACTCAATTAAAGGATCACTATAGGCACCCAGACCACTTCAGCCTAATGAAGTGGTCTGGGTGCCTGGTCCAGCTAGGGTTAACCCTTTTTTTTTATAAACATATAAACATAGCAGTTTCAGAGAAACTGCTATGTTTATAAATAGGTTAATCCAGCCTCTAAAGTCTCTAGTGGCTGTCTCATTGACAGCCGCTAGAGGCATTTCCGTGCTTCTCACTGTGAAAATCAGCCCGGCGGGGTGGGGGCACCCTCAGGGCACTATAGTGCCAGGAAAAAGAGTATGTTTTCCTGGCACTATAGTGGTCCTTTAAAAGGAGCACTGTTGTGCCAAACTTGCCTTTCTTTAATCGATTCCTCTTCTCTCCCTCTCTCAGGATCTGTTCTTAATTTCTTCCTGTCTGCTCTAGTTTTCTGTAAAACATAAGACAAAGTAGGGACAGCTTGTCTTATGGAGGTTTCCTACGCCTAACCATCTCTGACCAGCGGAGGAGCAAAGTGTGCTTCATTTCCGGTTGTCAGAGAAAATTTCCCATAATTCTCACCTCTCCTCAGTGTTCCCGCGATGCTTCCTTTCACGTTATCCAAACGTCCTGTCATTTAGACAGAATGAAGGCGAAACTGCCAAATTGCGTCCTAAAAATATAAGAACAGTTTCTCTATTCGTGTTAGAACGCAATTTGGCACTTTGTTCGGGTCGGAATTTCATTCGAATAAAGACTCTGATCCTGTTTGTGCCGCGGCTGCATCTTACAGCCTCTTAGTAGATAGCTCCCTAATTTCCACGGTATTAGGGAGCTATCTACCAAAAGGCTGAAAGACCTAAATTGGTCTTTCAGCCACATTAACTAATACTAAGTAAAGATTAGTTATTATTAGTACATTATGCCCCTACTCGCTATACCGCGAGTATGGGCTTCTCTATTAAACTGGAAAAAAAAAATAATCCCCCTAGTGTCCCCCCTCCCGAGGCCCCACTCGTGCTTTGGTTTTTTATTTTAGTTTTTACAAGTTCGACGGGTATGATGGGTTTTTTTTGGCCTTTTTTGGGGCTGAACAATTAAGATTTTAGAAAAAAGAAGACATCAAATGGTAAGGCACTTAGTTGTTTTATTCCCCCCCTCACTATTTTTAGGGTGAGGGGGTAGGTAGAGGTTTAATAATTTGTTTTTGGTGGGGGGTGACTAGGGGCTTGGGGACCCCTAGTCACCTTGGGGGGGAGACAACACTTTCCTTTATGGCCCCCAGGGGAGGACAATAGGCCCTCCTTCCCCTTATTGTTATTTATGGCCCCCACCTGCCGCTCAGGGGTGTGGGCCGGGGGAGGAAAATAGGTCTCTCCCCCCCCTCGTTGTTTTTAAGGCCCCTACCCGCCGCTCAGGGGTGGGGGCCGGGGGGGAGCACAATAGGTCCCCCCCTCATTGCTATTTAGGGCCCTTACCCGCCGCTCTGGGGTGGGGTTGGGGGGAAGGCCCCCATCCGCCGCTCAGTGGTGGGGGCAGGATGGAGGACAATAGGTCACCCCCCATACTCATTTAGGGCCCCCATCCAGCCCTTTTTTTCTTCTCTTTTTGATCCGTGAGCAGCCACATGCTGGTAGAGCCAACCCTGGTTCCCAGATCTCCTCGACATGTCCTGCGAGGACTCACTTCTCCTTCCTGACCAGCCTATGCTACACCGGAACCCAGTAGGTAACCCACACCCAATGCTTCTGGACGGACGCCTACCCTTAGTGGCCTGAACTCTTTCAGGGGTGCATGGAGTTCTAACGACTTATCGTCATCCGCTAGTGAGCTACTCTGGGACTCCTGGGCCTCAGGAACGAGGAAAAGTTACCTATCTGCCAGGCGATCTTTGACTCATTGGGGTGTGGGACGGGACCTTGATCCCTTTACATCACCTATTTCCACAATCGTGAATTTCCTCGCTTCACAAGTAGAAGAATGTAAGTCATACCGCACTATTAACGTAGCCCATTCTGCTATATCTGCAGCACACATACCTCTTCAAGGGAAGGTGGTCGGTCAAGACCCCCTTATCTGCAGATTGCTGCGAGGCATCAAGTTCAGACGTCCTCTGGCCCCCAAATACCAACATCTATGGGATGTGGATGTAGTGCTCCGTTTCTTGAGAGGTTGGCCATCTAACAAACTTCTATCCTTACGACAATTGACGGCCAAGTTTACCTTTTTATTATGCCTCGTATCATTCCAATACGTCTCGGACGTACGCGCTTTCGATGTGAACGCCGTTTTCCGTCACTCCGAGGGGGAGTTACGTTACATATTTCCCGACGGACCAAATTGGATTAGTCATCGGTCAAATTCTTTGTTTCGGATCCTCAACTTTGTGTGGTAACGGTTTTAAGGCCGTACATGATGGCGACATTGCCGTCACCTTCATCCCAACAACTGTTGGTTTCATACATCAGCACTCACGGTCCAGTTTCGGTTACCACTCTGTCCAGGTGGGTTAAGTGGCTTCTTACGTTGGCCAGGATAGACCCGTTGTTCGGTGCACACTCTGTTCTGGGAGCAACAGCATTGTTGGCACGTCCCTTTCTGACATTTTACAGGCGGCAGACTGGTCACGCGAGTCCACGTTTCAGGCATTTTAATTCTGTCCGTCAGAAAAAAGAGAAGGTAATAGGCGCTCACTATAGAAATAAGTGAAATCAGCAGCAGTATACAGAACAAGGATTCCCAAAACCTTGTGGAATAGGTAAAACGAAAGAAGAAAATGTAAACCGCGCTTTTAAAAATATAAATAATACATACATATACTTGTAGGTAATTCCAATGAGTCTGAAATCTCGGAATAAATAAAATAAAAGAAATAATAGTGCAATACAGTAACAATAAATATTATGAGATAGCGATTGTAGCTTGTAGTTCAATCCACTCACATTTGTATGAGCTATAACAGAGCTCAGCTGTAGTGCGCTTGGACGGTATAATCCCTGTCTTAGGATGTGATGTTCCAACTGGTCCAGATATTTCAAAGTGCAGTATGTGTAGTAAAAAAAAAAAAAAAGTATTTTTCAGGGAAACTATTTTCTAATAAACACAATTTCCGCCGCTTTTTTTTTTTTTTATTACGCATACTGCACTTTGAAATATCTGGACCAATTGGAACATCACATCCTAAGACGGAGATTATACCGTCCAAGCGCACTAAAGCTGAGCTCTGTTATAACTCAGGTTGTAATGTGAGTGGATTGAACTACAAGCTACAATCACTATCTCATAATATTTATTGTTACTGTATTGCACTATTATTTCTTTTATTTTACTTATTCCGAGATTTCAGACTCATTGGAATTACCTACAAGTATATGTATGTATTATTTATATTTTTAAAAGCGCGGTTTACATTTTCTAATTCTGTGTCGTCTAATGCCGTGTTTTCTCTTCTTATGAAGCATTAAAATTGCAACATATGAAGCTTCCTGTCATGTTGTAAAATTTAAAATTATACTAGCGTTAGTGTACAAATAAGCGTAAATTTAACAATGACAGGAGGCGGATATCTCCCCTCCCTAGTTTTATTCTTCCCAACCCTGGTATACGATAAGTGTGGCGTGTCACGTTATTTGTGGATTGTAGTAAAGACATCAATATATATTCATGTGTATTGGATTACGTACTAGGTGGAATTTAAGTTACAGAATGCTTAGAATATATGTTTATATTAATATTATATTAACATAAGCTCATTGTTATATGTTCATACATGCAGTTCCGCATGACTGAAACTAATTTATTTTCTTTTAGCTTAACTCCTTATCGTAGTTTATGGGAGGAATTTGTTTGCCTTATCCATTTCAAGGCTGAAGTTGGACTGTTGTATTACATAGTTACATAGCTGAAAAGAGACTTGCGTCCATCAAGTTCAGCCTTCCTCACATAAGGCAAAAAAACAAGTCTGTAGCACTTCCAATTTTCCAACAAACTAGGAAAAAATTCCTTCTTGACTCCAAAATGGCAGTCGGATATCTCCTTGGATCAAGCAGCTATTACCCCACTAATTAGAAATTACATCCCTGTATGTTATGTTTTTGCAAGGTTTTATCCAATTGCGGTTTAAACATCTGTGTGGACTCTGATAAAACCACCTCTTCGGGCAGAAAATTCCATATCCTTATAGTTCTTACTTTTCTATGCCTTACATAGATTTCCAAATAATGGTTTGTATTGGCCCCAATATATTTATATAATGTTATCATATCCCCTCTGAGGTGCCGTTTTTCCAAACTAAAGATATTTAAATTTTTTAACCTTTCTTCGTAACTAAAATGCTCCATTCCTTTTATCAATTTTGTAGCTCGTCTCTGCATCTTTTATAGTGCCATGATGTCCTTTTTTAGAACAGGTGCCCAAAATTGCACAGCATATTCAAGGTGTGGTCTTACCAGCGATTTATAAAGAGGCAAAATTGTATTTTCATCCTGAGAATTTATTCCCCTATTTATACATGACAAAACCTTACTGGCCTTAGCAACTGCAGATTGACATTGCATATGGCTGCCTAATTTGTTGTCTATAACAATTCCCAAATCCTTCTCGTGTGTGGTTATGCCTAATTCACTACCATTTAGGTTGTAAGTTACTTGTGCATTTCTCCACATTAAATTTAATCTGCCATGTTAGTGCCCAGTGCCCCAATCTATCTGAATCCCTCTGCAGAAAAGCAATATCCTGCTCACATTTTATTACTTTACAAAGTTTTGTGTCATCTGCAAACACTAAAACGTGGCTTTCAATGCCTATTGCAAGATCATTTATAAATATGTTAAAGGACCACTATGGGCACCCAGACCACATCAGCTTAATGAAGCTATGTTTATATTAGGGTTAATCCAGCCTCTAGTGGCGGTCTCATTGACAGCTGCTAGAGGCGCTTGCGTGCTTCTCACTGTGATTTTCACAGTGAGAAGACGCCAGCATCCATAGGAAAGCATTGTGAATGCTTTCCTATGAGACTGGCTGAATGTGCGCGCGGCTCGTGCTGCGCATGTGCATTCAGCCGAGGAGGAGGAGAGCTCCCCGCCCGGCGCTGGAGAAAGTTGTAAGTTTAGCCCCTTCCTCACTCTAGAGCCTCGCAGGAGGGGGACCCTGATGGTGGGGGCACCCTCAGGGCACTATAGTGCCAGGAAAACTAGTATGTTTTCCTGGCACTATATTGGTCCTTTAAATAGAAGTGATCCCAAAACAGAACCCGGAGGGACACCACTTAGCACTTTTGTCCAGCTTGAAAATTTATGAATGACAGCTTGTTGTACTCTATCCTTAAGCCAATGTTCTACCCAAGAACAAGAATATTCATCTAGACCAATTTCTTTTAGTTTGAAGACTAACCTATTGCAAGGAATTATATCAAATGCCTTGACAAAGGCCAAGTAAATCACATCCACTGATGCACCCTGATCTATACTTTTACTTACTTCTTCGTAGAAGGCAGTCAGGTTAGTTTGGCATGACCTAGGTTTCCTAAAACCATGCTAATTATTGCTAAAAACAAAGTTCTTCCCAATGAATTCCTGAATATTATCCCTTAAAAGCACTTCAAATATTTTCCCAGTCACAGAAGTTAAACTCACAGGTCTATAATTTCCAGGCAAGGATTTTGAACCCTTTTTAAATATAGGAATGACATATACCTTCCTCCAATCCTCTGGTACAATACCTGAAACAAAATAATATTGAAAGATTAAATACAGAGGTTCACTTAGCTCCTTAAGTACTCGTGGGTAAATACTGTCTGCTTTATTTACATTAATTTTCTTTAACTGCTGTAGAACCTTGTCTCAAGTCATCCAATCACAAGTTATCTGCAAGTTTTTTGCAGCAATTATTTGCATAGCTCTTGACATGGGATATTCATTTATACATACTGAAGAAAAAGTTATTTCAAATTTGTCTTTTCCTGGTCTTCATTAACTAACAGACACATCTCTGTTTCCAATGTACCTGCACTTTCATTTTTAGTTTTTTTTTTAGAATTGATGTACTTGAAATAAATTTTAGGGGTTGGTTTTGCATTCTTTGGCTATCCATTTCTCATTTTCTAGTTTGCAAGCATTATTGGCTTCCTTAAATCTTATATGATTTGTCTGATTTAAATGCTTTAAATGCTCTTTTATTGTTTTGAATCTTTTGTTTTACTTCTCCACTAAGCCACATTGGTTTCAATTTGTTTCTTTTATAGTTATTACCCAATGGTACATACTGAGAAATGTACATTTCTAATATTCGTTTGAAGAGCTTCTTTTTATCCTCGGGTTTTTTTTTTTCCCCAGTAAGGAGTTTATGCCAGTCAATATGTTGTAGAGCTCCCCTAATCTTATTGAAATTGTTTCCTGTTTTACTATGGACTTACAATGTCACATTTGTCAAGAGGAAGTGCTTTGCATATGTGTTCCATTATATACACTCTGATAAGTTCTTTATTTCTCTTGTTTTTTCTTTGCTGCTATGGAGTTAGTAAAGAAAGTTAATGCAAAATATTTGCCTTCTGTCATTATTAAGATTATTAGTACACTAACACTAGTATAATTTTCAATTATTTGACCTCTTTGCCCATGTGGGATACCTGAAATCGTTTGGCAGCACCATTGGGCCCTTGTACTCAACTCCAAGTGCACAGATCCTTATTTGAGGGTTAACACTTGTCCCATTTAATTTGTATTATGGTATTTGTCAGGATGGCCTTTATACCCGCTACTATTGGGTTTCTCATTGGAGCCACTGTCTAACCTGGTTAGAGAGCACAAGGAAATGGAAGGCTTCTTAATAGCTGTAAACGTTTATAAAACTTTGGTTTATCCTGAACATGGTAAGAAAACTATTAAAAATCTCCTGCAGGTTTTCCCACACAGAGACAAAATACAGATCACAAATAACACACACGGCAAACATCTTACTTGTACACACATTATACAAAGCCAGCAAATGTATACAGCTTGCATGTACACACACTATGGGGAGATAGAGGGTGGCACACTAGGGGTTATTCACTAAGCACTGAATATTCACAAATTAATGGACCAGTCGAAAAGTCAAAAGCACGTGGAATCAAAAAAAAAAAAAATCACTGTTTAGTAGATATGCACTGTTTAGTAGATATGCATATATTTTTAATGCAAATATTAATTTGGGATATATCTTAAGTGCTTGCAAAAACTGCAGTTCTTATAAACTGCTGCCTTTGCATGCCCTCCTCTTTTTTCTTGGAAAATACCATCATTCTCTTCACAGTGAAATAACCAATCAGAGGCTTTTTAATAGTAAAATGAATAGCTGAAGTACTTAATGGTTGTGGTGTCCCTTAAATCGGAATGCATAAACTAAGGCACAAATTGTGACTATTGCTGTGCTTTTCCAGAACAGTTTTTGTCTTTTTTGCCATTTGAAATGAATGCACATAAATTCTGGGCTGTGAATATGCGTGTCTATTAGTTATTTTGCCGTTCTTATGGTCTAGCAGAGCTAGATATTCCTAGGTTCCTTTGTATTACTATGCAGCACAATTTTCTTTGGTTGTTGCCTAGCAACTCCGTATATGGTGTAAATGGTGAGCTGATCTAGAGGTGGTTTTAATTCCTGATTTGTCATAGCTTTTTGTCATAGCTGTCATATGCTTGTGGGGGGCATATATGAGCGAGCCCTCATTGAGGGATGTGATTATGTTTGTGTAGAGATTGGAGATCTAGCTTTTTTGGATTGGGCATGTCATACAGGTTTTTTCGAAGGGGGTGAGGTTCGTGGTGCTTGCTTTTTTGTTTGTTGGGTTGTCCAGGAAGCTGCGGATTTGGATGTAGCGGCAGTGATTGAATGTGGTTAACAGTGTCTGTTGGGGTAGATCTGGAAAGGGTAGTAGTGTTCCGTTTCTAAAAAAAAATGGTAGAAGTAGAGGAGATCATTGTCTTCGAATCTGGAGAAGTGCTGGGGAGTCATGCTGAACTGTGCGTTGCGTAAAATTGGTGTGAGAGGTGAGGGGGTAGAAGTCATTGAGCATTTGTGTGCAATCGTATCCCAAATTTGAATGGAGTGTGTTAGTGCTGGTGTAGTAGTGGCGGGTATGTGTGGTCTAGCTTGTTTGGGTAGCAAGATATAGAGGGATGGGAAATACCTGCCAAATATGGTGTGTTCCAAGTCTACCCATCTCTTAATGCCGTATGGGGCGTGCAAGTGTTGTATCTGTGCGAATTACGCTACGTGATAGTAATGCATGTAGTGAGGAAGGCCCAGTCCCTCTGATCTATTAGGTATGTAGAGTGTTGCCCTTTTGATTCTGGCCTTTTTATTGGCCCAGATGAAGCAGTCAGTTTTGGATTGTAGTGTCTTGAAGTCGGCGGTTGTGATTGGGATCGGCGGTTGTGATTCGTATGGGCAGTGCCTGGAACAGGTAGAGGAATCTGGGAAGTAAGTTCATCTTGATAGATGCTAATCTACACAGCCATGATAGGCCAGCCCATGACTGGAGGTCTTTTGATGCCTGTTGTAGTAGTGGTGTGTAAATGAGCTTGTATGTTTGTGTTAGGTCTTTTGGGATGCGGGTCCCTAGGTATCTTAACTCCATGTTTGTGAGGTCAAAGGGGTATATGCTCGCCAGACATTGGAGCTGTTGTGGGTCTATGTGGATAGGTAGGGCTTCTGTTTTTTCTATGTTCAGCTTGTATACCGAGATTGCTGCAGAGTCTTGTTTGGCTGTTAAGAGCGGTGGCATGGAGTTTATGGGGTCAGTGATGGTTAGTAGTATGTCATCCGCGTAGGCCGCAGTCATATATTCTTCCGTACGAATCGTGATTCCTGCGATGGCTTTGTTTTGTCTGAGCGTTTGTAGAAGGGGCTCCAACGAGAGGGTGAAAAGTATGGGGGATACGGGGCAGCCCTGTCTCGTGCAGTTGTGTACTGCGAATGATGGCGGGTGGGTGCAGTCACCTTTAAGGGAACCAAGTGGGGTTCATCCACAATTATGGCAGTTAAACTGTCAATATAATAATGACAGGGGTAACCTGTGCAAATCAATAAAATATATAAGGGGTTCACCCTGAGAGATAAGGCACGAGGGGTCACCCTCAATAAAGAGGCACAAGGGGATCACCCTTAAATCAAAAAGGCAAGAGGGGGTCACCCTCTAATAGGCATAGAGCTGTATAGTATAGTTTGAGAGCAATCTGCAAATAAAAACACAAATAGGCTAATATAAGCAAGTGTTCTCTGTAATATTCAGATGAAATAAAAAAAATGTACCAGCAGGGGGCAATTAAACTTACCGTCTAACAGAGCTGCAATCCAGTAGCAGAGAGCTGTTCACCGAAAAAGCGCGCGAACGGAAACTAACCGCCGAACAGAAGATGGCCGCCGGCATAGAAGGAGGAAGGCAGGAAACTGCGTGTCAATCAAATGACGCGAAAAAACGGGCGGTACGGAAATAGATCGCGGGCATGATTAAAACGGGCCACAGCAGTGGCGCGGTCTGAAGATAATTTCACCAAGGAAAAGGTTATTAAGGTTTTACTACAAAAAAACCCAGTCAGTCATAAATAAAAAGCACAGGGAAGGGACTGAACAGTGGGCTGACCTGTGAAAAGGTTTATGTGGTAAAGTGCAC